CTCTGAAACCTTCCTCTCAGTGGATCTACCAATGGTTTGGTAGTGTTCATATATGGATAAAATCAATTTACAAAAAAAAAAAAAATGCTTCAGCTATCAGAGTACTTAAAGGTGAATATGTTCATAAACAGTTTTTAACATATCAACTATGAGCTAAAATTTCATTCTTTTACAGGAGTTCGCACATACTGTATTTCTGCAGAAATGACAGAAATTTGCACAACCTTTCTTTTCATAATTGTTCCTGTTGATAAGTTGATTTTTTGTTTATTAGTACTCTATGTAAGTATTCCTTCATTCTCATCTGTACCACTAGGAGGCGTGAATATATTTCGCAGAACTTGTTTGTTTACGATTATACAATAGATAGGAATTATTTCTTTGTATCCGTCTATTAATCACACCCCATTATGTAAAACCAAGAACGACGTGGACTTGCAGGAATATAAATTATTTCATAATGTAATCATAAAGAATTATTTTTCAATATATAATTAAACACTACCAAGATACGTCTCATAATGATAAAAAGCATTTGAAAAGTAATTTAAATTAGACTGACATTATATAAGGGTTGTTTAAATTGGGATCAATCCTTTTCTGAAAATTAATTTTAAAAAGTGTATCGGCACCTAACCTGTAAATGCAACTAAACTCACTTAACTCACAAAACAAACAAACAAAAGAAAAAACAAACAAAATAGAACAAAACAAAATAGAACAAAACAAAACCAAAGACAAACAAATAAATAAACAAATAGATAATTTAGAAATGTGAGCACTGAGCTCACAAAATGATACCACCGCTCCCATAGTATAATGACAAAGTCCGATGTTTCGCTATGGGAAACCCCAAATAATAGCTGTTTGATCAAAACGTAAAATATGAGGTGCACAATGGCACTATATTGTAATAAAGATTCTATGAAAGTTTCATTAGATTTTATTCAATGGCGTAGGAGGAGCTGCATATAAGAGATGGGTATCCCCTGATATCGTAGATAGAATGGCAGTGTCCATGTTCTGCTATATGAGAAACCCCAAATACATCAAAACGTAAATTAGGACGTGTACAATAAAGAATTCAGTGGTATAGGAGGAGTTGCGGATAAGAGGTGGGTACTCCCAATATTACAGAAAGAATGGCAGTATCCAGGTTTTGCTATGGGAAACACCAAATGTGTGTAAGATGTGTCCTTAACCGGTTTCTTTGTTATATATTTACAAAGTACTTAGTAGTAACAACGTTACTTTTAAAATTATGTCAATTAAACAAGTCGCCGTTTTTGTAATGCTTTTTATTTACACGAATCAAAAGACTGTGAATATATAGTTGAGTACCATGACGGCTTTAAAAAAGAAATCTGATAGCCTAGTTCTCCGAAATATACTTCAAAAAGGACTCCAACTATGTTGTTCGTGTAAGCTGCTCAAAGTAAATCTAAGACGGAAGTTTTTTTTTTTAAATAGAAATAATGATATTGTTTTATTTTTTCTTTTCTTCAAAATGACTATTTCCCAAAAACCTAGCGGGCGGGTGAGGTTAAACATAAAATTAACTGTAAACAGCTTTAAGATATACATGTATTAATTAAGTTGAAATAACTGCAGTTTGTCTACTTTGAGTCATTAAAAGTGCAAGGGAGAAGAAACCTTAAACAGGCCTTTTCGAAAATATTTGCTGAGTCATCGAAAATTTGGTGACCCTGACCTTTGAATTTGTATTTTAATTGTCTAACTTGAGAAAATGGTCTGTTTTGTTAAAAACAGAATAAGGTGATTTTGATATTTAGTGTGTTTTAAATACCTGCTACATTGCATTTATGATATTTTCATGATTTCTGACTTTGACATGGGAAAATGACTTCTTTTAAACTTGATATAACATCAAGTTTCTGCAAAAAGATATCAATCCTCTATTAAATATTGTGCACGAAACCAAAATCAAAATAAATAAATAAGAAATAAATAATAATAAAAATAATATTAAAAAAACTAAATATAAAAAAAGTAAGTGCGTGTATAAAAAAGGAAGGTACTTTTATTATTTATATACACACATACTTTCTTTTTACATTTACTTACAGAGTCCGTGCAAAATATCAGCCTGTTTTAATTTAAAAATTATTATTATATATTATTTTTTAAGAGGTTCGCACGGTCCCTTTCGACGGCCCTGCGTTCTGCAAGTAAAACCATAGTACAGTACCTGGCCATAAGTGAGTCATAATTTATTTTTCCACTATATATTTCATTGAAAAATGCATTTTTCTAAAATAATATTGCAGTGTTATTTGTTGATCATTTTTTATGACTAAAACACCATAAAATGTAGAATTCCTTGCAGTTTCTTGATATAATTTCAAAATTATTTTCTCTGTAGGCACTACGGTGATATCACACGTCAAATGCGAATTAAAAATTTTACGACTCTAAATTGTTAAGAAATTGTAGTAATTTGAGGTTAGAAAGAGCTAGGTTCACTTTATGCATAAAATGGTTCTGTCCTTATATTCAATTAATTGATTATCACCCTCTGTCACATTTCATATATCAAAATAAAGTAGAGACCTAGTGCATTTATTTCCTATAACAAAATTTCTTTAGAATCCAGGTATTGGAAAACAGGCTTTGAGAAAATGCAATGTTCTTGAATTTGCAGAAAACAATGATGCGTATATTTGACTACATTCAGCAAAGAATTAAAATATGAGCACAGCCCACGATCCAAAAATTAAAACATGTTTTGTAATCTTCAGAAACAGATCTTTCATTATGTACATGTAATTGCATATTTTGGATCAGAGGTTGTGCTCTACAGGCCCGTAGGAAGCAATTTCACTTTGAGGGGGCACAACCATACATTTTCAGTTGAGGGGGCACTATCAACTACCAAAATTCCCTGACAAGCAAAAAAAAAAAAAAAAAAAAAAAGGTCATCAGTCGTTATTATTGAGGGGGCACAAGCATATAGCAGCTGTGTTTTCTATAGTATTCTGTATATCGGCAAAATTATTGGGGAGGGGGGGCACGGTCCCCCGTGCCCCCCCCCCCGGTTCCTACGGCCATGCTCTATATGAAATATTGGGAAAAAAAACCACCTCAACTTTTGGCCATTTTTAAGGAGGTTCGATCCTGAGCTTTTGAGCAGATTTTGGTCAGGACCTTTATTTCTTAAATTCTGCATCATTTTTATGTTCTAACATTGAATCTGGATTCTACAATGCAAATTAAACTATATCCAATGAAAAAACTGCGATGAAATTCCATTAAAATAGGATTAAGCCAGGAACTATATTTTGTGGCGGAAGGTTTTTTAGAAGAAAATGATCAATTTTTCCCTTTTGAAATATATACAGTACTGTTAAGTTTAGATTACTATTTTTCCATGCTGGTTGCACATAGAGCTGTTTTTTGCAGTGAAATGTTTTATGCTGGTTCTGAAATATCTAATAAATTATTTCTTATGAATTCTTTCATTATATTGTGACAAATATAGTAAATATATTCTGAAAGTCCAGGAAAAAATTGAGCCAATTTTAACATAAAATTAACACTTTTTTAGTAATATCTAAAAATTTAGATCATAGACCCCCACTTTTGTTTTTCTTTTCTGAATGTATAAGATAACTTTGATCAATCTGCTTAAATTCAGCAAAAGTTTAAGACTTTAAAATAATTTTCTTGCTTTTTAAATTTTTAATGCCATAAAAATCACATTTTGTGAGTGCAGAAAGGTCAAATATTTCATTATGCGAAGCAATTTGAAACTTTTTCTTCGTCACAATTTTAATGCGTCTTTTTTTAAATAGACTAATAGTTTATTTTGTCCCATGATTTATTTGGATAAAAACTTTGGAGGGAAAACATTGAAGATGTGATTTTTGATTAAGACACAAATATCAGTGCATAAAGGTCAAATTAAATGTATTGTAGCACCGAAAGAAGCATATTGACCCCCATTTTTTGTTTTGATTTTTAATTAAGCTATGTGTGTAGAAACTAAAAATATACTTGACAAAAAAAGTTTAAGACTTTAAATATCAGGATCCAACCTCGTTAAGGAAATTTACAGGATATGGGAAAAATGACGCATTTTATGACGTCATAATGCATTGACTAGAGAGAAAATTACGTCATGTTCAATAGATACACGGTCACCAAGGGTCCAAGTTATAAATAATGCATTTTCAAACAAAACTGAGCAGTTTCGGTTTTTCAGAAATTCTCAGGGCCAAAATAGGCCCTAATTGGCTCCTCTTTTTGTCTTGACGATTTAATAAATTATTCAATTATTCTCAATGATCTGTGTATCATTTGCATTATAAGACAAGAACATTTGAACAAATATGCATGAATTAGTGAAAAAAGCATGGAAATTGGGCTAAGATTGACATCATAATAAGTTTTTTTTTTTTTTTTTTTTTATAAAAATTAGTTTTTCAATGAAATATATAGTGTAAAAATGCAAAATTTTTGACTCCCAAATGGCCATATACTGTAGCATATAAATTCAACTCCCATTTTTTACCATATACATGGTATTCAGCAGAAGGGCGTGGCTAAACTGCATTGTTGTTTTTTTTGTTTTTTGTTTTTTGTTTTTTTTTTGGTTTTGTTTTGTTTTGTTGTTGTTGTTGTTGTTTTTTTATTTATTTATTTTTTTTTTTATTTTTTTATTTTTTTGAATTACGTTATTTTCCCGTGTAATATTAAAGATTTATAATCGTTATATTTCTGTGTTACCTTTTTTTCGAAGTTTGAGATTTACACCTTTTAAATGATAAAAATTTCTTAATATTAATAAAAAAACGTGTTCCATGTAGTGTTTTAATGGCCCTTCAAGTTTTTTTCGTCCAGAATCGAGCATTTCTGCACGAGGTGTGTCACGTCACATGAACGGTTTGACTATTATACATGTACCGGAAGAAGATGTATGAAAAAGTCGAGAGTTCACAGTCACGCATTTACCTGAACAACAGCGGTGCGGGAAAGATTATTGACAGTATGAATCAACGTTGATATATGCACGATTTTATAAACATTATAATCATTTCAATTGTGACGATGAAGAAATTGGGCGTTCTAATAGTTGTATCATTGACATGTGTAGTTTTTGTTAATGGACAGAATTCTTCAAATTCGCAGCCAGTTTCCACCGATGGTAAATCTGTACTGGGAGACGAGTCTCCCCTAGAAAAAGGAGCAAAACCTTTATATGATTTGGTGCATGGATTTTTAGACAGTGTTCAGAAAGATAATTTTATAGTAGCCAATGGTGATTCAAAAATTAGTAAGTATTGTTTTTAAACCCGTTTGAAGGTTTTAAAAACTTGAATGAGCCAAACAAAAGGAGGATTTGTAAGTGTATTTCTTTAAAAAAATAATCTTAGATGTAATCTGATATTGCAGTTCAAATATCCTACCTTTTAATTTCGCAGAGGATGGGGGGTTACTGAGGTGTATAATATGTAGAATTTTATGAGTATTTACGTGTCTTATAACACGATCTCAGTCACCATTTATATGTATGTAAAACTCTACCTTACATTTCCCAAAATATCATTAATTAGAAAACCAAGTGTGTAGGCCAACATACATTAGTTATTGATTGAGATTGAGAAGAATTTTAGAAGAGAAGGCCACTGAACTCACTAAATTTCATACACACAGAGGGGAAAGAAGTAATCAGTACATTCATTGTGTTGTTTGTGAAACTTCTATGTGAACATCCACATTTATTTTTATCTCACTGAGGCAAAGTCAACATCAGTTACCCAAAACAGATAGCCACTAGTAAATAGTATATAAATACAAAATGTAGGAACTTGTGGTTTGGTTACATTGTTTGTTACATCATGATGAATACAGAAATTGGTAACACATGTTGATACTGTTATTTTTGGGACTAGTTTTAGACTAATTCAGGAAATGTGCTACTTGGCTCAAGAGGCAAGCAGAGATGTCACATTGTATCTTGCTGAATTCAGCCAGTCATAAATTTGAACATGAAATACATTACATTGTTTTGATAAAGGTTTTTCCTGGAAACAGACCTTCTTGTACATTGTTCTACACTGAACCTATAGGCACAGACACAAATATTGATCTTAAAATCAACAACAACTGACATTTCTATAGGATTTTATCTGAAATAGCTTATTCTTGTTGTCCCCATATCTATAGCGAAAATTTGTGTGAAAGTTGAAAAGGAAATACACAGTACAATGTTTTCAGATTGTTAGTTTTGTCAATGTCTCAATGACACATTTTATCTATTTTAATTGATTGAAGTGTTTGATAATTGCTTTTTGAACCAGGAAGTATTCTTATCAAGGAAACATGTTGTACATAGAGGAATTTTCTGAGTTTCAACTTCAGTAATTCTAAAAGGCAGCAGGTCAAGTGTTGTGGGGCCAGTGTGCAAGGGATAAAATTTAACATTCCATACAATTTTATTGTCAAAATGCACTCTTGTGTGAATTTAAAGTAACTGAAACCAAGCCTGTGATATTTATAAAGAAGGGGGTCCCCCTTCTGTATTGTATTTAGTAAATGAATTAGTGTTCCTAGAGTCACATTTCTCTATGACATAAATAGCTAAAAAACAACAACAACAACAACAAATGCATGGCAAGTAGCATAGTTTGGGTGTTTCTTTTGTATTTTGAAATACACATCATCATGTGTCTATCATGTAGGTCAATGTTGTACCAAGTAAGCCTTTAAATCTTTAAACATTTTAGTACCTTTGAAACTTGATGATAATTCAAATGGAAGTTATTCAAAAGGATTAATATCGAGTCAGAAAAAGAAACTCAGCAGAATAATTCTTGTGAACTTAAATTAATCAAGATGAATGCCAAATGAAGTATAAATGAAAGTCCAAGAAAAACCTAGATAATATTTTTTTCCTATGGTATTCAACAATGGGGCATAAAGTGAGATAAGATAGTGCTTCATATTTACTGTTCAGATCAATATTTGTCAGCCCTCACATGTATTATCTGTGATATCCACTGCATGTAAATTTCCTGGCTGCTAAATAGGAAGAGACATTTATGTGTCTACACATAACACACCTGAACACCTTTTGTCTTAGACTGGTCTAAGGTAACCTGGTTTTATGACCGGATTATAATGTCCTATTTCCTCGTCTAATAATATTGTTCTCTTTAATGTTTATGTCTATTTAATTGACAAACCTTTCATGTTTATATATAGTATCAATCCATGATGTAGGAATTATATGTATTTAAGTATTTTGTCTATAACATTGATGAATTGGCTCAAGTTTGTGTGCTTGTATATTGATTTAAGGATCAAATGCATGTACATGTACTTATACATCAGGAAAAAAGCTTGGATTCATGTTTTAATTGGTGAATAATTGAGTTTTTGACAGTTTTAGAGAGAGTACATCATTAGGTTCTGGGATGTTTGCCCCAAGGGTGGACATACTGTGAATCTGAATTTACATGAGGTCATCAGTTGATTTTATGGGACATCTTATTTAACATATGTTAAACTGTTTGACTAACACTTTAAAGGATCATTGATGCAAACACACACACACACCCTCAAATCTAAAGTTAGACACGTAACAAAGAAATTCATGATTTAAAAAAAAATATTGAAACTTAGAATTTGCATATAAAACAGTATACCAATTATTTTGATATATTTTATGTATTCAACTTAAACAAAAAATGGAAAGTGTCATTAGTCATTGCATACATGTAAATTTATTTATTTGGGTAAAAATACCTGAATGATAAAAATACTTTCTATTTTTCTTAAGGTTTAAGAATGCAGGAATGTGTAAATGATGGAAGATAAAATCTTCATTATTTATAAAATACATTTTACCTGATGAAAAAACATTACAATTAATCATTTATAAAACTGCCTTGTGATACTTGCAAGGAGAGACCGACTGTCCAAGCTTATGATCTAGGTAATACAGAATTTTCAATACTGTTAGTTTTACCCACTTACCTAGTATGTGATTTTTGAAATAATGATAATTGATGTATAAAAATGATATCCATTGTCAGAAAAAAATAATCTCATTAACAATTAATTAAGAAAAAAGTTGTTACAGATATTACAATAACAAACATTTTTGTTAATGCGTAATGGATATCTGTATTGAAAGATAAAGAAATAAATGGTTTGTTTGCTTGTATCATTAGGAAGCACATTTCTATCATTAACAACATCCAATCACTTAAAAAACCTGAGGATTGAAGTGAAATCGACAAGATGACATGCACGTTTAATGACTTTCTCTTTAGTGTTTTACGCCAATCTTACAAGAAGTTGAAGTGATTTGTAATTTGTAAGCACTATGTGACTTTGATTTAACCTTTTATTGTTTTTATCTAAGTGTGCACATTCTGGTTTAAGTATTACGGAAGCTGTTTTTAGGAAATGATTACGCTATTCGACTAAGCATTAACGTACATATGTTTTTCTCTTTTGTTTTCTTTACACACAGGTTGGGAGATTTTTATCCAACAAAGAAAACGTATCCAGGGTACAAGGTTTCTGTTTGAAAAAAATGCCAGGGTTTCACATTTTCTTTGTGTTACAGATAGAAATTTAAAGATAGGTCTGACAAAAATGAGACACCGATTATACTGTGGCCTGGGGATATTTTTCTAAATGTGGTGTAGGAAAGTATCCATTTGAAACGGATTAAGAGATAACTAGCATTATATCATGTCTCTCTTTTTTGAGTAAAAGCTTTAAAAATCAGTGTTAAAAACATTGAAATTATTTATTTAAGACTCCATGGAATTTTTACAAATTGATTTTATTGTTTTTGTGAAAAACTATTTTAAAATCAAAATGGGGGAACATTGCAAGGAATTTTTATTTAAGTTTTGGAGAAGTACATGTATATATATATATTATCAAATTACTTCTAGAAAAAGTATCGGACTCCAGTCCATTGTACACACCAGTTGTGTTGTGGTTGGGACTGATTTTTCTTTCAGTGGTATTTTGATAATCTTACAAAATTACAGTGTTTAAATACAACTTACAAATCGTACAAAAAGGATGTATATATATGAGTAATTTATGATGATGTCATATACAAACAATTCTTATGTGGTCAGCATCATTGCGTTGTACATATGTGAAGAGTATCCTATTTCCTTATGTAAAAAAATACATTGTAGTTCCTATGAGTCAACATTGGGGCCACAAAACAATATTTCGAATTGTAAACCATGATACAGATGTACTGTGAATGAAAGAACTTTTACACAGAATGTTGTGATTGATTTGAGCTGATGGCTAATCTTTGTCTATAAAGCTCTTTATCTGTTCATTTTGTACAAAACATAAACATTGGAGAATTTATAGTTACATTCTGAAATGAGTTCATTTCCTTGCAAGAGATGTTTTGGGAATTCCTTTATTATAGACAAATCATTGTTAGTTTTAGTATCTGAATATTTAATGTATTCAGCATATATGCAAAGATCCCAATCTGATAATGAACATAGAAGTATGCATCAGAATGCATTAAGATGACAATAGTATCTTAAAACTTGTAGGTAACTTCTGGTGCATGATTGCAAGCTACATCAAGTAGTGCTTATAAACTGCTAATAAGTGAGAGTAAATTGATCATGGTATGATATCGGCCAAAGTCTGTTTCACCCATTTCCGCAAGTCACCCTTTAGTTCTGTTAGAAGAGGAAATTTTGGATTCATTATTATATTCTGTTTACTCAGTCATAGGTAATCAATATATGATAAATTTTTAATTAATACCAAAATTAACTCTTTTTTTTTTTAACTTAACACATTATAGTATAGGATGTTAGACTCCAGTTCCAGTGTAATGAATTTTATTAGTGTTTCAGAAATAGAACTCATGGGCATTGTGAAATAATTGTTTTATTGCTTCTTGATGAATGTAAAAGGCAACTGTAGGAATGAACCTGTATGGTTGAACTGCATTTTACTGGACATCAGTTGAAGAAGTATAGCACATATCATTACAGATTTTAGAGAGAGAGAGAGAGAGAGAGATCTACATGTAATTCGATTAGCTGGCAAATTCTCTGTGGGGTTGGTATAGTGTTTCTGTAAATTGGTATGGAGACTGGGTTATCAGCTGACTTGATAAGGGCTCCCATTCCAGTTGGCTATTTCAGTTGGAAAATATAGTAGAGATAAGACAAAATTTATTGATTACCTATAGTAACAACCTACCTGGTATTACCTGTGCACTGCTCTTGCTTCGTATTGATTGCCATCTTCCTTAGAGAGAGATTGTGCGCTTTGTTTTTGCAATTAGAAGATTTCTGTTCCTAATTAGCCTTTCTTAATGTTATGAATCTAATTCTACAGTCTCCCATTTCTTTGAAACACACAGTTTCATTAGCTTCAAAAATTCATAACCTTGTTTAATACCAGGGGAAAAATGTTAAGGTCAAGGCTGTTGATATGTTTCAAATAATATTACTGATTTGTACGTAGTGAGATTCTTAAACAACTCACTCTGTGTTTTCTATCCCCTTACCAAAGGCTCAGGCACAGCTGGTTGGAAAAAAAATGATCATATCCAATCACAAACTGTGGGCATGATGGGAGATCCTATATTTACATAGTATACCTAGAATCTCACCTGATGATGAAACAGACAATAGACTTACATTAATTGTTAGCCAAATTAATTTGTTGATATAATGGATCAATCTTCAATAGCATTTTTATTTTTACTTCAGCAACATAGTTACAGAGCAATATATACATTTTGACTTGAGATGTTTCATGATCCTTATGGGCCATGTATAGAAGTACTAACGTCTTAGAGAATTGTTAATATGTTTGGTTCAGTTCCTGTCAGCTTGAACAGTTTGTTTTTATACAATTTAGAAAGCTAGGACATGTTATACAGGTTCACATACTTATTCTTTGCAAAAATCTGTCACTGATAATTTCTTCTCATGGAAAAGTTTCTATTTATTTATTTTTATTTGCACAATTACCCCTTTAAGTGCATCCTGGAGTATTTTCTGATTGTATGAATATAAGGGTTCCCCTTTATTAACTTATGGTCTCATCAGAGTTTTCTAAACCATCAAATCTACATGTAAAACCAATTGAAAATCGAAATATGTTCAATGACCATGCCATTGATCTGTGTGAGCAGAGACAGAGTGATTGACAAAATCTTGAAAACTTTGTTTTGCCCAACTTTTGATGGATAGGGTAAGAGCATAGACTTGAATCAACTCTATAAACACAAACATTTGATTTCATGGCAAATGCAAAATAACCACCCCCTTCATGCAATTTTTTAAGAGCTAAAGGCCCCGATATATGTAATTGGGAGTACATGTATACGGTAAATGAAATGTGTTGAATGAATATAATTGCATAAAGTTGAAAGGTTTTAGCATACCTTTACAACAAAGTTGTTTTAAATTAGTTTTTTTTTAAGTGCAATGAGTTTACAAGAGCTTTTCGTAAAGTTTGCAGACTTATTTCATAACTTTTTTACTTAGGTAAAGTCATATTATATCTAAATTCGGTAGACATGTTTTAACGATTTCAAATGGTTTAAATTTAAAATATCAAATATATCCTGATATGTATTTAAAATTTAAAACTATGAAAATAGGATCATGGGACAGGTCAAAATTTAGTAATTTACAAATTATGCTCTTGATTTCGTCTGTAATCATGTCTCTGTACAAACATGCTATTGAAACAAATTGTTAGCAAACTTAAAGCAAAATGGTCATGATGGTATAAATTTTTTTTTATAAATATTTTTGAATAAGTGGGTATATATGCCAGACTGGGGTGTAAATGTTTAGGGAGAGTCCTAATGTTTAGGGAGAGTCTTAATGTTTAGGGAGAGTCCTAATGTTTAGGGAGAGTCCTAATGTTTAGGGAGAGTCTTAATGTTTAGGGAGAGTCCTAATGTTTAGGGAGAGTCCTAATGTTTAGGGAGAGTCCTAATGTTTAGGGAGAGTCTTAATGTTTAGGAGAAACTCCTTTATACTTTATGATGTTACAGTGCTGTTAAGTTGCTCCATGGTAACAAATCATTTTAATTTCTGAATTAAATAATACAAGCTCCATTTAATCATTTGGAATGAAACATCACAAATCAGCGTCGCCCGCGTGGCACAGTGGTTAGAGCGTCTGCTCTAGAGTTGCGAAGTAAGGAGTTGATCCTTACGCCGCAGGTTCGAATCCCACTGTGGGACGTGGAGACTGGTCTTTCGGATGAGACGGTATTAACCGAGGTCCCGTGTCGCAGTAGATGCTGGCACGAAAAAGATGCTCAATGGCTGTAAGTGCTGAGTATAGGACAAAATTTGCAGTTCTCCACCGGCAAGTGGTGGCGTTTCCATATGAGTGAAAAATTCTCGAGAGGGACGTTAAATAACATACAATCAATCAATCACAAATCAGCAAATTAAATATCTTTACATATGATAAGATTTCTATAGGAAAGATTGACACTGTCTGCATACTTCTGAACAATCTTTCAAGGAAGTTTGAAAATTGTACCAAAGTAGAAACATTGACAGTTTATGCGGTTGTAAATGTTTTTGACAGCAGACTGCTCTTATCTTCTCCTTTTGCAACATAAGCTTATTTTAGCATTTTTTATTTGAAGTTTGATAACAGAAGACATTTGTTAGATTTAGGGACCATCATATAGTGTTAAATTAATGGAAAAATTGCTGAGTATTGTGTTGTTAAGTGTCAATCTGGGACAGTGTAGATAACCTCTACTGTCTTCCTGGTTCATTGTACTAATGTTCATGTAGAATAGAATTGTACATCATGATCTCTGTTATGTTTACTAACAAGATTTTATTTGGCCGACCTGAGTCTTAGAAAGGTCCAGCTTCAGCAATTTTTACCCAATATTTTAGAAGAGATACCGGTATTTCATTGTAAACCCCAAAGTTTGTTAACTGTCTGGGGCTCGATTCTTCATCTTCTTTATATAGGCTGTCATGCAAGACTTTAACTATGTCTGCTTCTCTTATTGTTTGTCTCACTGTCTGACTGACTTGCAGGATGTGCCTTTATCCTGACATAAGGTTAGAGGTGAATATCTCAGAAGTCAAGGTCATTGGCCAGTGAGATATTGAAATAGCATCATGTTTAGGTCATGATTTTAATGATTTTGAGATGCATGTTTTTCTCATATAAGGAGTTTTTTTAATTAATATACTTATTCAAGGTATCATGTAGTAATGGCCTAGGCTTGGGATCATGAATCAAACTGATAAAGTCAAAATGTCAGTCATTGGTAAGATGCATTTAACTATGAATTAAAACTCAAAATTTCTGGAAAACAGCAAATTTGAATATTTTCATTTTGGATTGTATAAGTTGTACACCATTTTTGTGCAAATAGCCATATTTTGACTGAGCTTAAGATCTTTGATGATCCTGTGGCCAGGATATAATATGGGATGGAGAAATGGTTTTTTGTCCAAAACATTTTTTTGTTTCTTGCTTTTAGGAACCTTTTCCAGAAAATATCAATAACAAAAGTTTACCCTGAATTCTTTCTTTTTAGCATATAGGTATATGAACGTAAAGTGATATGTCATGAACGATCATGACTTACAAATATTAAGTATGACCTTGACCTTTGATCTCAACCTTATTGTTTTTTTTTCCTCTTAGGTTAAGAAAACCTCTTAATGTCTCTTATCCTAGACTTATAACTTACGGATTATCACATTGTGGGTAAAAATTCATGAGTCTGTGTGTCAAGACATGCAAGTCATCTTTATCTTGGCTTCAAAACAGTTGCAAGACCTAGCTTTTTAAAATCCAATTATATGAAATAATGGAGTTATCAATAATCATCAGAAAATGTGTCATGAGCCACACACACTTTAATTTTTTTTTTATCTTACAATCAAATTATTAATTGGGGGGGGGGGGGGATAGAAAACATGTGCACCCTATTTTCAGATTTTTACTTCACACTTATGATTTTTACCTGGAGGTGCTTCCTTAAAAAAGTGTTCCTGTCATAATGATCTCATTCTGACCCAGATCTTTGAATTAATTAGTTTGAAGGAGAGACAAATGTTTTGATGGACTAAAATAACATTTGTAGTTTATATTTTTTGATATACACTAAAAATGATGTGATTTTCTTTTTTGTTTTAGCATACAAAGACGTAGAGAGATATATAACAAATGGCACATTATCAGAATTGGCAGATCGATGGCAGGATGTAAGTACAAAGAAGTGATGTAAAGGCAATGAATAAAGATTACTAATAAAATCAATATATTTTAAAAATTAATATACCCAAAACAAGTCAAATTTTTTAATTTTTCGGACCTATTACCATAAATAAGACTTTGTATATTTTGATTTTCTTCAGTTGGTGTCAGTTTTTGGTGGCTATGCAGCCTGTATTGTGGTTGGGTTGCTGTTTGCCATCTTTATGCCCATCATTGGCATGTTCTTCTGTTGCTGCTATTGTTGCTGCAAAAGATGCGGAAAAGCTCGGGAAAAATCAGATCCAAAATCAGCTGGTTGCAAGCGAGCTACATTTTGTTTTTTCTTGGCTGTATTTGCAACCATGATGCTGTAAGTAATTAAGATTAACATTTTAATCTCTTATCCATTACCAAGTTAGATTATCTTTAATATCAGCAGATCTGTTTACTTTTATGGAAATTCAGTATTTATCTCAGATTTTTGTTTCAAAATACGGATTACGGATTGGCCTCCTGAAGTTATACTTCTGAGTTATGCTCCAAATTTTAATTTTTTTGGTGTCATACCACAGGGGCTTGCTCCTGGAGTGTATATTTAAAAAAAATCATAGACCAATTACTGAAACAACGCAAGGGAGAAACCATCTTCGATCACCTTTGTTTTCATCTGAAAATGTGTATTGTAAAGGCCACAAAGGGTTAGTTCTAACATTGTATCTTTAATAGTAGAATCATTACTTGAAAAATTCTGAGGCAGTGAGGCAGTAGAATATGGGGAAATAAAGTGAACACAAAGGTTGAAGCAAAGAAGGGGTCCAAGATGGTTTCCTTCCTTGTGTTGTTTTAGTAATTGATTTATGATTTTTTTGACACTCGGGGAGCAAACCATGAAATTACACTGATTTGTATTCGCATTATCTATTATGTATGATACATGGTGACAAAATGGATAGTAACAACAATCAAAAATCATTCATATCTAAAAGTTATCAAATGTGTAATTAGAAAATTAAGAAACAGTTTTGCCAACACTAAATAAAAATGAAAAGCTCAAATTACAGATAGTAACCAATTAAATAACTGAAAACTGCAGAATTGGGTAAACACCTCTGACTATCAGTGCCCGCATGTTCAATTGAATGAACGTGAGAACTTACTTAAGGGGAAAAGAAATTGTAATGAGTATATTGAATAAGATTCATTTTATGCATTATCCTTTTCAGAACTGGTGCAATTGTATCCATAATTGCCAATGAGTTACTTCACATTAAGCTCCAGAATTCAGATAAGAGGGGACCAGTTCAGTATCTGAATAGTGGCCTGGAAGACCTTGTGTTGTATGCAGACAAAACCACTGCAGTAAGTTCAGTCTGTTGTAGAGTTTAACGCTGATGCATCAGGAAATGTATTCATTTATAACAGGGTTTCCATTTTGGTCATTTCAGTAAATTATGGGTGCACATTTCAGTAAGTTAATTTATTAAGGGTGCACAGTCCTGGTTTTTGAAGTATCTTAAGCAATTTTGGGAGAAGCTTTATTCAAAGCTTAGAAACCTTCATGAATTAACAGCATTGATGCATTATTTTGATATGTGGTTCCAAATCTTTTTGTAGCTTATTATAAATCTGAAAAAAAAAATTGTGCCCTATAAAGAAAATTTGCAATATGACTGAAATTTGTGAATTTCAGCATGGTCAGTAAACAGCTTTTGTATCTATGACATTCTCTAAGTTTAAACTTTTTTTTTCTTTTTATAGGATCTTGATAAAGATACTAAACAGATTGTGAGCAGCACCATATATGATATAAAGCAGCAAATAAATGGTATTTATGTCAACTTTAAACTAAATGTCACTTCTATTTCTCTCTTTATAAGATAAGTTATGAGACAAATATAAATCTAGAAGATATAGTTAAGTACAACATTTTCTTATAGTATGTGTCTTCAAAATATTTCTTATAAAAGTCAGCTATTTTTTTTAAAGTTTTTTCTCTCCACACACCAGGACACTTCATTTAATTAATGAGTAAAATGATGAAATTGCTTTAGAATTTTTTTTTTTTTAATTAGGATCAGTTTCATCTACAGTGGAAAGTGTAAAATCATCTATTAATGCCTCGGCATTACTAACTCAGACAGAAAACCTAGGAAACAGTAAGTAATTTTCGCAGTTTCATTTAAAGATAATCATATATTAAGGAGGTTGGATCCTGCCATCAAAAGTAATGAGAATTTTTTATCAAGTATATTTTTAGAATTTATACACATAGCTTAATTAAAAATCAAAACAAAAAATGGGGGTCAATGCACGTCTTTTGGTGCTACAGAGCATTTAGTTTGACCTTTGTGCACTGTAAATATGTCTTACAATCAATTTTTAAAGTTTTTCCTCCAATATTTTTTATTCAAATAAATTATGGGAACAAACACAGTCTTATTTCATCTTGAATAGACCCATTAAAATTTGTGACAAAGAAAATTTTTTTTCAAATTACACCACATGTTCAATTATTTGACCTTTTTGCACTCAAAAAATTTCATTTTTATGGCATTAAAAATTTAACAAGCAAAAATATCATTTGAAAGTAATGACATTTTACTGAATTTAAGAAGAATGGTTAAAAGTATCTTACATATTCAGAAAATAAAATAAAAAGTGGGGGGTCTGTGATGTTAATTTTTAGATATTACTAAAATCGTGCTAATTTTAAGCTTAAAATAGGGATATTTTTTTCTTGATTTTCACAGTATATTTGCTAATTATTTATCATCTATGATGATAGAATTCATGACAGTTTATTTAATATATAATTTAGGACCAGTATAAAACAGTTCACTGCACAAAATAACTCTGTGTGCAGACTGCATGTAAAAATAGGAATCCAAACTTAACATACTTTGAATACTTCGAAAGAGAAAAAATGATCATTTTCTTCTAAAAAAACCTTCCGCCACAAAATATAGTTCCTCACTTAATCCTTTTGGTATGGAATTTAATAATGGAGTTTTAACTGAATATAGTTTAATTGGCATTGTAGAATCCAAAATTATTGTAAGAATTAAAACTTTATGCAGAATTTTTGAAATATAGGTTAAGATATAAATCTGCTCGAAAGCTCAGGAGCCAACCTCGTTAAATTGGTTTATTAGCTCACCTGAGCTGAAAGCTCACCTGAGCTTTTCTGATTACATTGATTCTGTCTGTAGTCAGTCTGTCCGTCCATCCTCTGTAAACTTTTCACATTTTCGATTTCTTCTCCAGAACCACAGGGCCAATTTCATTAAAAAAAAATCTTGGTGATTTAAAAAGTTTGCAATACTGTGAATTTTTCATGTGGATTGATTTTATACCTTGTATGTAAATATTGATAGACAGTTTTGATTATATGATGAAAGTGAACAGATACATGTAGTATTTTGACCCACAGTTATATATTTACAGATGTTTAATTTTATTTTGCATTTGAAATTCAAATTTAGAGTCACTATATTATATATATATATATTATATTATATTATATATAATATATTAGTTTGTAACCATTTGATATTTATTTTGCTTATAGAGGCAAAGCAGGCCTATGATGACTTGGTGGATATAATAACAAATCTAAACAATCTAAGGACACTTCAGAGTAATCTTAACTCAAAAATAAATGAAATCAACAAGAATTTTACAGATACCTGTACCAATCTATCTGTGTCACCTTGTCCTCAAATACCAGGTCTTTCCAATGATTTCACAGGGGTAAGGGATTTTGTTACGCCAGGTCACTTACATAACAATATATCCATAATAGTTGATAAGACACTTACATGTAAAAGAAAGCAAGACTGTGCTAACGAATTTTTCATGTCAATCAGACTAATTGTTTTATATGTACATTTATGTGTACTGGTTTTTTTCCCCAGTAGTTTTTTATATTTTAAACTTGCCAGAGTTTTAGAAGCCAAAAAAAAGGAGAATATTTACATTTCTAGTATTGGTGTAACCGTGTTAAGTTTCAAAACTTACTATGCATAAACTATTTTGAGATATACATGTATGTATTATTTAACTGCATCACAGAGTTCAGCTTATAATTCGTGTCTTCCACACTGATATGTGGAATATCAAGGATATGCCAGTATAGGATGTACTAGTATGTGGCTGATTTTAATACTAAATCTTTAAGACTGTATTTCCCAAACTTAGGACATCTTGAACTCTTGGGTGTCTCAGAATCTTGTCAGTTTTCACTGAATTATTCAAGAATATGAGGTTTAACTACATAGAGAGATTTTTATATATGTTACATTTGATTTAATTTTGACACGTAATGTGAATTTGAGAATTTGAAGTCACAGAAAAGGTTGTTTTAAGAAAATGAAGTTATATGGCATTTTTTAAACATTTCAAGTAAACAATGGTAATGACAGGTCTTGCATGAAGTATTACAGTATTTTAAAAGACCTGTCCATTATGAAATCATCAATTCTAAATAATTATTCATTTCAGTTGGATAACCTTACTTCTGAGATAGATAAAGTTAAAGATTCCTTAGATATATCAAATTTAACAGAACAGGTAAGCGTAAAAATTGCTTCATTATCTTTGATAAATAATCGCTAACCTAGTACTGTAAATTTGCTAACAATATCACAAAGTTCCAATAGGCATCTATTACATGTATTTACGTAAAAACTTCATTCTCATGTATATTTGTATCATGAAAGATTATTCAGAACAACAAATGAATTTGTGAAAATTTTGACTCTCCTATAAATACGAAACATCACATGAAAATAAGGTGTCACAAAAATTAAGTAATTTAAAGTACTGCTTTGCATAATAATTAACATAATTTTCACAAAAAAAAAAAAACAAGGGAATTTTTATTTAGAGAAATTTGTCTCATTTCAGGCCAAGAAAGAATTTGACAAAGTGGTGAATAATGTCTATCCTTCACTGCAAGGAGAAATAGATGGTATGGTCAATATAATGATATATTCAAGCAACTTTTTTAAAAACAAAATGTAAAAACAAATAAATTAGACCTCTAATATTAATATAAATATATGGTTTGATTTTTAAAACAAAATTAAAGATGCCATGAAGAAATCTGATGACATTGAGAAAAATCTTAAAGAAGAGATATCAAAACTCACTGACACTACCAGGCAATTTGTAAGTAAATGCAGTTTCTCCAGATTTGATCACAACATCTGTAATATTTTAAACATTATTCATAGCTCTTCTGGTTGTATAGACATACAGACTATTCAGTTAAGGTCTGTTCACAGAGTAAATTTTATTCTTAATTGAAAATCTTGGTATTGCAATACTTATTTGATATGAGTTACTCTACAAGTTTTGAATGTAAATCTGTTTTTTTCTTCTTTTTTTTTTTTTTGAAAGGCCGATGGTCTCAGGAATGATTCCTCAAAGGAAATTAACAACATTGACAAGTATTTGAGAGATTATGCTGATTACATGTAAGTATGGCTATAAGTTAGAAGGTAATGACTAAAGTAACAACAGAGTATTACATTGTTAATGTCTGTTTCTGTGGTACTGTGTTGCTAAAGTAAGGTTTCACATGTTTAATTTTATCATGAAAAAGCTGTGCACAAAGTATATACAGTAAAAGCAGAAATATTTGTTGAGGATTTAATTTCGTTGTTAACAATTATCAATGAAATTAAGTCTCACACGAAATTTTTATATGACTATATATAGAATAGGGCTACTTTCGAAACAACGAAATTTAATGCCCATGAAACCTTTAGATGACAAAACAACAAACTTTTATCCCCATGAAAAATTGTGCTTCTACAATACTGTATTAATTTCTTTAAGAAAAAAACACAGGCACTTGGGGTATGGACCCCCCCCCCCCCTTTTCCATTTTTTTTCTTTTTAAATCTGGGGTCGAGTCACCTTTTTCCTATTTTTGTATTCTAATATGCACTGTATGTTATCAATAATGTAACTCTTTTGTCTCTATATGCTGTTTTTAAATATATCGTTTTCGACTGATACATAAAAAGAGAGAAGGCTTGCAACTCTTTTCTCATCGTCTGCCTCACCTCGCTTAAATTTCGCCTGATTATTTATCGAAAGAATAAGAAAACATGGAATATGCATACATCAATAAATTCGTTATACATTCTTCTTCCTTTTCATATTTCCATTCAATTTTTATGTGCCCCCGATTTGTAAATATTTCGATTAAATTACCCGCATCTAGGGTAAATTTTGTTGCAGAAGAGCAGTACAGGATTTTTTTTTTTTTTTTTCAAAAGTTGAAGCACGAGTAAAAAAAAAAATCCGGTCTCATGAGTGAAATCATGATACAAATCATTGAATTTATCGTTCATAACATTTTTTCCTGTTTACCTTTTGAGTAGTTTCAGCTACTATAGGTCAATCACCAAATATCCGCGACACCTTATTTTCGTGATATTGGTATTTTGCATTTATAAGCGAGACAAAATTTTCACAAATTCTGACTATTGTCCTATATATTCTTTACTAATAAAAATGTAAGCGAGAATGAAATTTTCGCGAGGAGACAGTATTGTGTAATAACGTGAAAATAAGGTTTTCACGAATAAAAAGTGATCATTTTCACTGTGTGAAAATGATATGTCCTTGAAAATATCAGTTTTATTCAATGGATATATTACAGTATATCACCATTGAATTGTAATAAATGTTTTTGTTATATCCATTTGGTATTTTGAAGTAACTGTTCCCAGTTAAAAAAAAATATTCCTAGTATGCAATTAGCAGGTATTTACTGTAAATATTTTTACTGTTTATCATACATGTATTAAAAATTTTAAAGTGGATGGTTTGAAGATTGAATTTGAATATAATATTGTTTCAGATGGTATGGAGGAATTGGCCTGCCCTGTATCATTGTTTTGACATCAGTGCTTTACTACCTCGGAATCATGTTTGGTTTGTGTGGACAGAGACCAGGACATGGGGCACCCTGCTGTAACAGAGGAACTGGCTCCAACTTCTTAGTCAGGTTAATAATAATAAATTTAAAGTAATATGTGTATGAATAGCTATGTATCAGAAGAGAGGTTTTAACTGTAGGAATGAAGTTTTATATGTGTTTACAGGAAAATTTCTGCCCCATTTTATATTCACACCTTTCACCCTCATCGCTTGTGGGCGAATTAAAAATGAGCTGAATTTAAAGTAAACAGCATTATATCTTTAACACAACTGTGTCTGGGCAAATTTAAAACGGGCAAAAATGTTTGCAAATCATGAAATGTGCAAGTGCAAACATAACACAGGGCAAAAATAACCATGCATGTATACAGTATCTCCAAATTTCAGGCATGTCAAGGAAAAAATGAGAATTTTGAAAAGAATACTTTTTGATAAACATCAAATTTGTCAGGACACATGTATGTACTTGTACATGCTCTTTGAATCAATTTGAAGTGAACACTAGGACTACATACTTTGTTGAAAAACAAGTTGTTCACAAATTGGGTACTAGCAGGGTGGTTTCGTCATGTTCTTCATCACAATTATCAAGTGGTTTGTGTAAAAACTGATGAATAGACTTTGAGTTTATCCTTTTTATATGGAACATGGATGTCTGCTCCCTTTTGCCATACTGACACCGACACACATATAAATACAATATTTGTGAATTCTTTTTGTTCTTACAGTGGGGTAGTGTGGACGTACCTGTTGTTTTGGCTGCTTATGTATATAGTACTGATCATCTTTCTTGTTGGAGGACTGTTATATACAAGTGTGTGTCGAAACCTTAACCAGGGTGTGGAAAATATAGGGGTAAATTACCTAACTCTCTACAAACAGTAAGAATTATAGTTAGTAATAGATTTGGTGATGAGGGTATGCATAAGATGTTTTACATGATAGGAAAAAAGTTCAAAAATAACAAAGTAAACGTAGAACTTTTAGAAATGAAGACTTAAATTAAGATATTTTTAGATATTCAAAATTCCAAAAAACAATTTTTAATTTTTTTTATACGTTTCTTGTGTTTCAGGACTATGAACCACTGCTAAAGGAATATGATATTGACATCAAGAATCTTCTTAATTACAGTGATAACTCAAACTTCTCAGTCAAGCAAGCACTAATGTAAGTGTTATACTTTATGTAGTTTTGGTACTTAAAAAAATTTTAAGTCCTTGAATTAGTATTGTGGCATATTTCTAAAAGTGGTCATGACAGATGCTTTACATTGATATAAAGTAAGTTAAAATGAGGTTTTTTGGAATAAACTTTAAAATTGACTTCTTAAGGAAAATATGCTTTGCATATTTTAACATCTTGCATTACACAAAATCTTGTTCTTAAAATGAAATGAAAAGCATGAAATAATCAACATCAAATGACATCATGAAGCACTTTCAGGTTAGACAATGTTTTAAACAATTGAATTTGTACAAAGGGACTAACAGTTTTCATTGTAATAAACAAGATTTTGGGTTACACAACATCAAACTTAGACAAGTTTCACTGTATCACATGAAGTAAAAGCATAAGAAACAGTTAAAGTATGCACAGCAATGAAAACAATCAAGTAAAACACATACATGTACATGCAATTCTTTCTGTCATGTTGGTAAATGTGAAAAATGATACTGTTACTGATTGTCTAGTGCTCTTCCATTTCATCATTTATTCTCGCTGCACTTTTTGAAATATGTACATTTATTTTTGAAATTTAATTCCTCTTTTCCAGGGATTGTCGAAGCAACAAGGGGATATATTCAGCCCTTCAGTTGCAGAATAAATTTAACATTGATGAAGTCTTGGATACTCAAGTAAGTGACTTCATTTGAAGAAAACAGATTTAAAAGTATTATATTGAGTAGGCCTGGGTTATTTTCAAGCCTTTCAGTCTGTAATTTACAGTACATGTAGAAAGGAGGAGAGATTTGTTAAGAATTGATGTTCTGTCTGTATCATTGTACATGTATAATGTATAAATGTTTTAAAGCAAAGTTTTTACTTAATTTTCTCATTTATTACATTTTCAACAGTGAAATACTGTAATTTACTTATTGAATAAAAGTGATGTCACAGTGTGAAAGAATATCAAAGTGACACAGTGTGAAAGAATATCAAAATGATATTTTGTCATAGTGTGAAAGAATATCAGAAGTACAACAATATTCCCTTCACAAAGAGTGTTAAAAAAACTTTTTGGTCTGTTAAATGAGATAATAAATAACCATCTTGACAGAGACTAAAACTGCCAAAAATTCTCCAAATATTTTGTTGAAATTCCTGTGATTACAATGTTTTCAATCTCACAATCACTAAGCTATGAAGTCTCAACCGCTCAACTTTGATGTCCCAGCTTATGATACTGATTATGATTATGATTATGAAAATTGAAGAAAATGTAGTAAACAGAAAATTCAATGTTTTGTAGTTTCAACATACTCGTGAGACAGGATTTTTTGATATTTTCACTTGTGCTTTGCACTCTTGAAAATATATATAAAAAAAAATCCTGTCTCACTGGTGAAATGAATTCCATATCTAACTAGAAACATTAAATATTCTCTATTTGTATATTATATATGCAAGTACTGCAAAAGACATAAAATATGTGATATCATAGCTGTTAATTTTCAAGTTGAAGTAAAATCCATTGTCCTAGATGGCTGGTTATGTATGTGTAGCTCTGTACCCCATTTTACAACATCATAAAAAATTGTGCTTAAGCCCAAAATATGTTTTTGCAAATTTTCTTCTTTATATTAATTTGAAAAAGTTATATAATCTAATTTATGGTGATGGGAATCAATCGGTAAGATTTTCATATAAATAATCAATGATGAGTTTTCTGTAACTAATTACCTACTGGTTATATTTAAAAAACAAATAAACATCTTTTTCATGTCTTTGCATACACTTTTATGATTGAAGAGATGTAAAAAAAAAAAAAAAAAAAAAAAAACTTAGAGTAATCTAAAGCAAACCAAAAAAAAAAAAAATACTTGTAATCATTGATGGCAAGAACATCACTGCTAATTTAATAGGATCAAGTTTAGAAAAATTTTCTTAGAGCAATTAATCAAAAATATAAGGTAGGCATGATGTTAAAAAAGCTAAATTTCTTGGTCTTATTTGTAAGTTATTTTGTAAAACAGACCTAGATAAAATGATTTATTAATATATCATTTTACAAAGAAGATACATTGTATATATTTGTAATTGTAGGCTGTTTTGGAAGAAGTCAGAAATCTAACGAGCAGCAGTAATTTTAACATTGATCCCATTGTCATTCTGTCAGGCAGTCTCAATAAATCTTTGTCAGATTTTGCCAATTCTGGGATAACCAGTATAAACTTCACTTCGTATGAAGAGCAGGTAGGATTTTTTATGACAGAGAAAGAAAGAATGTATTTAGTTTGAAAATGATTATACTTACATATACAATGTATAATACAGGGTATAATGTAATTTCCATCTGTGATCTTTATTTGACAGAATGCTATCAAGCATGTTTTAATTTTCAAATATGCACCTTACTTTTAAGAGAATTATTTAAAAGATATTAATATTACATGTATTACAGGCAAAGTTTATATTTTTTCAAAAATAATTTGTATGCTGTCTCACATGAAGAGTTAAATTATTTTCAGTTGGACAAGACCCCAATTGCTAATTTAAGTGGGCTTACTGAGGAATTACGAAACAGAGGATTGGTATGTTAAACATGTACTAATGGAGTATTCTCAGTTGTCAACATTAACTTCATTTATTAGATAAACTAAATTATAAAATATAAATTTTGAATGAATTAATTTGTCAGTAGTTGCTCTTCAAGGCCTTTCTTTCTTACTTGGTCTGCATTGACATTGAATTCTTAGACAATGACAGTGCCATATGGCTAATTGTCCACTGCTTTTGCAAAAGTGAGGGGACACTAAAATCTCGTTCATCTGTTAGACTGTCCGTTCTGTCAGTCTGTCACAAAAACTTAGGGCTTTCATGTTTCATGTGAACATTACCTGTGAGAAAACCTTTCAAAATATTGACAAAATTAAAAAAAAATTAACATCGGTTATAACTTTTGAATGAGAAAAGATAGGGCTTTCATATTTGACTTGTGCATTACCTGTGACATGATGTGTCCAAACATGCTATGATTTTTGACCCTGTGACCCTGACTTTCATGCTTGACTTAATTAAAAAAATTAAACATTGGTGATAACTTATGAATGAGAGATGTTAAGGTGTGCATATTTGACAAGTGCATTACAGTGTCGTAAAGTTTCTGAATATGATAATGATATTTGACCCTTTGACCTTGACCTTGAAGTTTGACCTAATTTTCAAAAATTTTAACATTGGTGATAACTTTTGAATGAGAGAAGATAGGGCATTCATATTTTTACATGTACTTTACCTATGACAACACCGTTCAGAAAGATATATCATTTTTTACTTCATGACCTTGACCTAGAATTTTGACATACTTATAAAAAAATTTTAAATTTGGCCATATCTTTTGCTCCGGAAGAGATAAGGCTTTCATACTTTTTTTTTTTTACATGTGCATTACTTGCGAAAAGATCTTTCAGATTGTATTTATGATATTAATTGACCTCATGACCTTGATCTTGAAGTTGGATGCAGTTTTGAGAAGCTTTAATCTTTGCCATAACTATTATAAATTCAATAATTTATGTGTTCTTTATAATGCACAAACAAGACAGGACAAATGAACAGGACAGTTACAATATGCCATAAATAATTGCATCCTAACCACTAAGACACCGTAAGCAGGGGACCAAAATTCTTTGAATTTACTTGTTCAACTTCTTTCATGTGTAGAGATTAATTATTAATAACATTTTAATCTTTTCAATTTTTAAAAACGGATAGTTGAATTTGGTATTTCAAACTTTTATATCTTGAATTCCATGGTTTGGAAGTAGGAAAAACCTTTTCTTTTATGTAATTTATCCTTCATGTCTTGAATTCTGAGATTTCTCAAAGTTTTGAATCAGTCCTGTCGAGTTCAAGATAAATGATGTTTAACTGTATATAATATCGTAGACTTTATGAAGCCTTTTAGCAAGAATTCGTTCGCTGATTTATTTACCAGCTCATTGTCAGGATATATACTGAAAGTCACACAACCTGAAGAGTGATTTAAGACTTTCTGTTGCTGCAGATACATTTTTACAATGCATTCATTTTTGTTATTATTTGTAGACTGTACAAGCGGATATTGTAAAAAATTTACAAAAAGAAGAAATTGCAGCTTTTGAAAGTAAAATGGTAAGTTGAAAACTACAGAATGCCACAAAATGCTTGAACTCAATACTTTATTAATTGACAATTCTAATGAATTGTAGCTTTGTTGTTATCCATAAAACTATAAATTCCTATCGTATAAGCAGAAATTTTAGTGAGGATTCAATTTTGACATTTTTAGAGAGGGTGTTAAGATCGCTAAACTTAAATATCAATAACAATTTATTCCACATTAGAGGTTTCTGTTATCTTTCTGTGCACCATAAATCGCTAAAATTACTTCTCAATAAAATTAATACTGATTTTTAAGGGCAAATGGCTTAATTTGTGTCTCACTAAAAACTCCACTTATACGGTATGTTAAATTTGATCCCCTCCCCCATTGTGCCCTTTCCCCATCCTTTCTGCTAGATTTGAACTTGGGTATGCTTCTGTTTCAATTTAATTAGGACCCTTGTTCTTTAAAGAAGATTAAAACTTTTCCTAAGCATTCTTATTATAATGTGGATCCATTCTGACCTTGTTAGATTTGAACAAACTAGGTTTCTTTGCAATCGGTTTTTACATGATAAAACTTGTTTTTCAGGGGGAATTGAGGGTTGGTCTTGACAAACTGAAGAATCATACTTCACTACAGGCAAGTATTAAATGCAATTAAACTGATTGAAGTTAGATTAACTTTTATTAATGAAATTGTTTGGTCTAAGAATATTGTCCTTTTACAAGATACACTCTTTGGTTTGGCATTTTGAGGTCACCTGAGTCACTCGGGTGACCTTTTGCTATCTATTTTTGTTCATCACTGTGCATTGTGTGTTAACGTTTGAACATACCAGCTTCCTCTCTGGAACTACTGAACCAATTGAAAGTTATTTCCCTTTATTATTCCCTTATGAATAAGACCCCATGGAACTTCTGTCAGCCATACCATGATTACAAAAAATTCAAATTGTCTTTAAATATCAAAATACATGTATATCTTCAGTGCATCAGGTGGTATTACAAGATGAGCTGACAAACCTGTCATCATCAATATGCACATGTTTTTGGCTTTTTACCATTTCCCATGTTGTCATACATTTCGTGGTTGTGTAATTCTGAACACCAATTTGAGTGCACAGTTACCAAGAAACCCCTTTGACCAGTTTTCATGAATTTCGGTCATGCAGTCAAATACTTTTCGAATACTGTAAAACAAGAAAATATGGCGCACTACTACTCATTTTAGCACTTTTTTGTGCAAGCGCCACTGAATGCTAAAATTTATTGTGCACTAACGGATATCTAAATTTTAAAAACTTTTTTGTGTTCAAAGCTAACACTTACCGTTAAGTACATGTTAACCAGAATGCACGATTACGTAATGTCACTGTATATTTGTATAAACACTCACACTGGTAAACTGTAGGATCGATCGAGAAAGTTCTGCGAAATCAGAAATTAATTTAACTATTGTTAGTTGTTACCCTGTACTTATCATTAGCACCTTCAAAGTTGGGCTTCTCACTGTGTCAATCATCTATGTCCATCTATCGCCTCGAGGTGAACAATGCCTTCAAGCATGGTGATAGACCTTGCAGACCAGCTATCCAAGCAACTTTCCTTTGATGCCTGTACGGTTTTAATATGAATAAAATGCGTTAGCATTCCACAATGATATATTTAAGTACATTCACAGGTTGAGTGACCACAAAATCAAATACGGGTGTGGATCAAAGGAAAATATATCACATTAATTTTATATTTTAATGACAAACACAAGCGCTAAATTTTGTTTGCGCCACTGCATTCCCACTTGCATTTGTGCTTAAATCTGTATGCATCAAATTTTCTCTTTTTACAGTATTATGTTACCCTGCATTTTTATGACGTCGAGCTCTTGGAGCTCGAACGTCATCTAGCAAGCGCCCAGTTGAAATCGTGACCGGATATGTACGCGACCGAATGTGTCAGTCGATGCATCCGCAATAGAAAGTAGCAATAGCTATAAACCAATTTCTTTGAAAACGCTCAAAATGAATAATAGCTTGAGAATAAAACTGCATCAATTATATCTGCAATTAATTCTATTGCAAAACAACAATATTATGTTTTATTCTCACACAAGAAAAACGTGATGGTTGTTGCGGATGAATTTCTACAGAAAGGGTGCGTTGAATGACATGAATAACATTTCGGAACGATAACCGTGTAACATAAACAACACAACAGGAGGTAAAATAATTACAAAATTACATAAACACGAATACTACAAGACTGAAAAGATTGAATTTCTAAATCTTAGCTTTACTTATACAATCTTCTAACCAACTCTATCCTAAAAACCGATGATATTGACCAGTATTGCTGTATTTCTCCATTTCCTCAATTTCCCGGTATACCGTATACCACGCCCGATCGTAACTCGATCGTAATTGTAACAGAACAGAGTCTTGGTTGTAGTTTAGATGCAATCACTAATACAATGCTTTGACATTGGCAATTAGAAAAAAATATTATATAAATTCATGAAATCCTTCATAGTTCTTCAACTGACTGAAAAGACATGAACATATTCGACGGTGTCTGGTCAATTCGAACCCTGCTCCATTCGGACCATGACATAAGGCCCTAGAGTGTAATTTTGATATTTTTTAAAACTATTTTTTTATTACGTTTCCTGAGTCACTCACTTGACTTATTGCTATCTTCAAATTCAAAATGATCTTTTGAAATTGTTTTTCCTCTTCGACGTCATTGAAGCCTTTCAGGCTTTTGATTTTTCCTTTCAGTATATTTACCATTCTAAGGAGATTAACAGGATACTCAGGTGACCGTTAAGGCCCTTGGGCCTCTTTTGAAATGTTAATCTTTGTTTTGCAGGCAGAAGTGGCTCACCTGCAAGTTTCTTTGAAGGGGACAGAGGACAAATTTAACAATGAAAGCCAACAACTGATTAAAAAAGTAATTAGAATTTTTGCAACACATTCTAAATCTATTTGGATATACTATTTCTTTTTAGCTCACCTGAGCTGAAAGCTAAAGTGAGCTTTCCTGATCACCGGTTGTCCAGTGACTGTCCGTCTGTCTAGCTGTCTGTCTGACAGTGTCTGTCTATCCATCCACCTGTAAACTTTTCACATTTTCAACTTCCTCTCAAGAACCATTGGCCATTTTTAATCAAATTTAGTACAAAGCATACCTGGGTAAAGGAGATTCTTAATTGTTAAAATGAAGGGTCAAACACCCTTCCAAGGGGAGATAATTAAGGAAATGGAAAAATATGGTGAGATCATTAAAAGTCTTCTCAAGGACCATTGGGCCAGAAAAGTGAAATTTATGTGGAAGCTTCTTGAGGTAATATAGATTCTAAATTGTTCAGATCATGGCCTTCATGGGTAGGGTGTGGCCACAATAGGGGATCAAAGTTTTACATTAAAATATATAGGAAAAAATCTTTAAAAAATTTCATCTCAAGAACCATTGGTCCAGATAAGTTGAAACTTTTGTGGAAGCTTTCTTAGGTAGTGTAGATCATGGACCTGGGGGTAGGTTGTGGAGATCAAGGTTTTACATTGAGATATATAAGAAAAATATTTAAAAGTTTTCTTCTCAAGAACCATTGGGCCAGAAAAGCTGAATCTGATGTGGAAGCTTCCTAAAGTAGTGTAGAATATAAATTGTTCAGATCATATCCTCTGAGGATAGGATGGGACCACAGTAGGGAATCAAAGTTTTACATTTTAATATATAGGAAAAATCTTTTAAATCTTCTTCTCAAAAATCATTGGGGCAGAAAAGCTGAAACTTATTTGTCAGCTAACTGAGGTATTGTAAATTGTTCAGATTATGGTCCTTGGGGTCCATTGTGGCCCTTTGGGCCACCATAGGGAATATATTTGAAAAATCTTTAAAACTCTTCTTCCCAAGAACAGCAAAGCCATGATGAATCATATGACTGTAGAAGCATCCACTGGTAGTATAGATTATAGAATCCAACTCATTTTTATACATATTATCATACTAAAAAAATCCTATATTGACTAAATGAAAGCTTTATTTACAGCTGTACTATAATCTTATATTTTTTTCCAGGGATTAAACGATACAGTGAACAATGTCACAGATATTGTAATGAAAGGCATAGAGAAAGCTAAAGATGTAAGTACAGAGCTTACAGTCTTGTATGTAGTCTTGAATAGCACAAATGTACAGAGACAAAAAAGTGGCCTCCATCTCTTAATCAACAACAACTGAATATTACAAAAATTAAGGTGTTGATTTTTATATACATGTACATTTATGAGGGGCATTTGAAAAGTTCTGAGAACTGCTTGATAAATTATTAACCATTTAATGGAAGTTAATGATTTTGATATATTTGAAAAGAGCAGGAAAACATGCACTTATGTGTATGTCACTGTTTTTTTTTGACATAATAACTCCAAAAATGACGTCAGAATCCTTTTCCAGAAAAGCTTTTTTGAAAAGATTTTTCGAAGAAAATTTGCAGGGATCTAGAGTAAGACTGTTAGAATGGTACAGTAAATCAGCAATCCCATATTTCATTCTATGATTGGTTAATAAGCATGATTTATGACCGGTTACGCTACCATAGACATTCATAAAAGATTTTTAACTCACCTCAACGAAGTTGGGGGAGCTTATGTAATACCCTCAACGTCGGCGTACCAGGTTAAAGTTTTTTGAGCAGATTTCTTTTCAAGTACTTTTATGCCCTATATCAATCAGAGGTGCATGGAGGATGCCTCTAGTGTGTTTCATTGTACCAGTCAAGGTTTCAGATGCTGCATTTTCAGCTAAAGAATGACCAGGTTAATGTTTTTGGAGCAGATTAGAGTTTTTGGAGCAGATTAGAGTTTTTGGAGCAGGTTAAAGCTTTTGGAGCAGATCTCATTTCTGAAAAACTATAAGTCTTATTTTGACCAAACTTGTATGGATGATACATCTAAGGATGCACACTACCAGGCTTGCTTTGGATAGTTGATCTGACCTACATTTGAGTGACCAGGTTAAAGTTTTTGGAGCAGATCTCATTTCCGAGTAAGTATAAGCCCTATAATGACCAAACTTGCATGGATGATACATCTAAAGATGCACATTACTGGACTTGCTTCAGATGCTGGATCTTATGTACATTTTCCTGATGAGTGACCAGGTTAAAGTTTTTGGAGCAGATCTCATTTCCGAGTAACTATAAGCTCTATTTTGACCAAACTTGCATGGATGATACATCTAAGGATGCACACTACTGGACTGGCTTCGGATGCTGGATCTGACCTTCCGGATGAGTGATCAGGTTTAAGTTTTTGGAGCAGGTCCAAGAAACTATAAGGCCTTTTGAACCAAACTTGCATGGATGATGCATTAAGTGTGAACACTTTCAAACTTGCTTCGGATGCTGGATTTGACCTACATTTTCTGGATGAGTTACTAATTAAAAGTTTTTAGATAAGTCCATTCCCAAGTAACTGCAAGCCCTATCAGACCAAAATTGCATAAATGTTAAAGTTTTTGGAGCAGATCATATTTCCGAGTAACTATAAGCCCTATATTGACCAAACTTGCATGGATGATACATCTAAGGATGCACACTACTGGACTTGCTTCGGATGCTGGATCTGACCTTCCGGATGAGTGATCAGGTTTAAGTTTTTGGAGCAGGTCCAAGAAACTATAAGGCCTTTTGAACCAAACTATCATGGATGATGCGTTAAGTGTGAACACTTTCAAACTTGCTTCGGATGCTGGATTTGACCTACATTTTCTGGATGAGTTACTAATTAAAAGTTTTTAGATAAGTCCATTCCCAAGTAACTGCAAGCCCTATCAGACCAAAATTGCATAAATGTTGCATCTATGGATGCACACTACTAGATTATTAGTTTAGTGTGGGGCTTTGCCTTACTTAAAGACAACATTTGTTTAGGTGAGCTCTGTAATCTCTGATTACCTATGTTTATTTATTTAATATAGCTGGACATTCAGTTACCGGTATTTTATATAGCTCTCCTCTGTGTAACAATACAGTTTTCCACAAATGTATCTTCGAGTAACAGTGCTCTTACTGTTTATGAATTAAATTGTACATGCTATGTTTGACACATTCTTAAACCACCTCAAAAATATAGAAGCTCCTGATTTTAACTCCATATGATGGACTTTAGTCTATAAAAACATTCTCTCAACTGGCAGTTATGTCTGTTAGAAAGCATCTAAGAAATGAACAAAAGTTGAGTTTTAAATTTTACTTTGCTGAAATTATGTCTCATGTTACATCAATTTTATAGTCAGTCTTATTTGGAGTACTTATCTAATTAAAATTACAAAGGGACATCACAATATGTATATATTTTCCTGATATTTTCAGTGATATCAAACTCATTGACCTCCATTAAATGGTTAACATTTTATCAAACAGTTCTCAGAACTTTTCAAATGTCCCATGTACACATATAATGAAGATTGAAATGATTTGTTTTATAAAACCTTTTTTCACTGCGTATGGAAACTTAATAGGTGTTTTTAAATGATCACCTTTCTTTTGGTTGTGATGTGCAGGTGACATTTTATTACCGGTAACTTTTACATAGAAAAAAAAAAGACAAAAGGGAAAAAAAGTCAAATTTGTTTTATAAAGTGTATTAAATCCTAAATATTGAAGCTTCCTCCTCTTTCATATTAAGACCATCGAATGTTCAAGAGTTTGTAAAAAAAAAAAAAAAAAAAAAAAAAAAAAAAGAAGGAAAAAAAGAAAAGAAAATCTTCAAAAAATATTCGCTTTCATGATAAATAGTAAATACCCAGTTAAAAGAGCATTTCCATGTCAGTAAACCTCGTATCTTGTATTGATTTAAAAGTGTTTTTTTTTTTTATTTTACTGATATATAGACAACCAAAAACATAGGAAAGTGTGAAAAAGTGTACTCTGCAGCCCAGAAACTGTCAAATGCTGTGTGTGTTGTCTTACTGGACCCATTTGTAAGTTAATTCATCCAATTCCTCTTAGTACTGGTATTTTAATTAAGATGAAAATACTGCCAAAATTTGGCAAGGCAGATCTGCAAAATAAATTTTGGAAGATGATACAAAATTTCTGATTTGGAGGTCCAATTTTTAAGAAAATTTATTCTTGCTGATTTTCTGATCTGCATATCAGCATGTCAGTTTAGACTGAGCAAATTACTGTATATAATTGCAGCACTTTTTTCTCAGTATTCTGTTGTAAACTTCTTTCATTGTGGTTGTCTTATACCTTTCTGTCATTCAAAGATTTTTGAATCTAATCAGTACTACTTTGCGTATGAAACAGAGAATCCAATAATACCCTGATAATACTGGCTAATCACATTGAATGTTTGTTTACCAGTATGGCATTTATAGTCAGCAGCAACATGTGGTCATGCAGTCAAAGCCCGTTTTCTGTCCTCAAAAAAGCATGTGTCATATATGGTGTGATTTGACATGATGGAGTTAATATGCATAAGAAAATTTAAAGCATGGAATTAGTAAGGCTACTATGATACTATATTATACTTTCATGTAAATTAGTTTCTTCTGATTCGAGAAACATTTGTTAAAAAACACTATTATCTGCTGAATAATGAAGCTATGCCCTCCAGCATAGCAACATTTAACATTGCTTGATAACGGGTGATATTCCCAAAAATATTGACGACATAGAATTCATGAGCACAAGTTTCACTGTATTTGGATAAAACATTCAGTATATTATAATAAATATTGCATGTAGTTGAAAATACGTTGAAAATTTTCACCCCAAGAAAACTATTGTCAATCTCGGCTGCGCCTCAGTTGACAATGGTTTTCAAGGGGTGAAAATTTTCAAGGTTACACTCAACTACATGCAGTATTTATATAATATTATAGCTATCGATATCAACATTATAGGAAGTAAAATTTGCTTTGATTGTCCACCTGTAATTGTTGTTTACTGCATACTCATGAACAATGTCAGTGGTATTGCTGGGTTCTTTGTTTCGTATGCAAAGTAGTATTGATTTCATCGAAATCAACCATCCAATCGATGACTAATATGGTAATCAATTTGTAAAATTTTACTACGGTTGATCAAGCAAAGTGATGGCCGTTACTGGAATGGAATGCTAGTAAAACAGAACAGTGACCACAATTTGTGAAAATTTTGTTTTGCTTATAAATACAATATTACCATCTCTTGAAAATAAGGTGTTGCAAAAATATGGTGATCTATAGTAAAAAATATGCATTTCTGCTTGATAGAGTGAGAAATAAATATTTGTATTTTCTCTTCAGAATACCTTTTGGTTTGGATTAGGTTGGGGAATATTTTTCTGCATTCCAAGCATAATATTTGCATTACTGCTGGCAAACATGTACCAGAGAGAGGAGAAATTTGATAAAGACCTTCACAAAGCCAAGAAGGAGAGCAGACAGAAGCAGCAAGAACGGCAGGATTTCGACAGCCCGTATGTTCATATTGAAATTATCCTCCCCCTACTCCCTGTAATTATTAATAGAGTTTAAGTGAATAAACTGATTCAGATGATCTTTTGATTTGAAAATGCATTCATTAGTAATGTTTTTTTTTTTTTTTTATAAGAACAAGATGTCAGCAAACTTCTTATGCAGGCAATATCAGATTAACTGATTTTGACTTTCTTTCCTTAAAAAAATGACTTGTTAAAGATAATCAATAAAATGTTTAAAAATTATCAATATTTATAAAACTACTGAGGCATGCTTTAGTGTTCAGTTTTAGATATTACAAAAGTGAGAGTTTATCTACTGAAATAATTTTTGTAGAATGATGGAGCAGTATCATGATGATAGCATTCCATTAACCAGGTGAGTAAAGTCTAGGCATTTCCTGTTGTGGTGCACTGTGGGTATAGTTGTTTGTGGTTTGGGGTGGACTTTAATTAAATGTGTTTTGTTAAAGATAACAAATCTTGAATTTTATCACCTAATATTACACAATTTTTAATTTTTTTTTATAAGTTAATTCATACAAACATATTTTTCTCTATTGAAAACATTTTTGATATCCTTTCCACCTTTTTCACTTGTATGCTTACATGTATAGGTGTAGGATGTAGTATAACAATACATGTACTTATAAGGGTGAAGGTTAAGGGTATAGGCACGTAAGTTTTGCTCTGTCCCTCCACCCATACCTCCATAATTAGAGGTCATGATCACAGGCTTTGTCAGGTCCATACTTTGTTTTTAACTATTGGGTGAAATGATTTGGAATTCGTTGCACTGTTCTTACTTTTATGTAGTGATTTATACTTGAGGTCAAGGTCTTTCTTTTCGAAGTTATGCAATGTCCTTACTAGAATCCACATATTCACATTCTTAGATACAACATGGCCAGTTGAGTAAAACATATAATTTTTACAGTATCACTGTGTGAATACCCTATTCACATTTCCCTCCATAACACTGGCTTGATTCATTATTAGCTCCTTAATTCCAAATAACTCATTATAATTTAATTCTGATTGTAATGTGCAATTTGATTGGATAAAAAATTTACTTTAAATTGTATAAATTGGGTTGCCTGTGTCACAATGACTTGCGTCAAAAATGTATCGATCCGCCTGACGTTACATTTAAATTTTGTACAATTTGAAGTCATTTTTTATGTGCAATTATCTTTTTTCTTACACTAAATGAATGAAAATTAAATTATAAGGAATGAATTTAATAGCTACCCAATTTATATGGTATAAAGTGGGTTGGAACAGTTTACGCTTTTTTGTAAACTGCCTCAACCCACTTTATAAATTGGGTAGCTATTAAATTCATTCCTTAAATAATTTAAGTTCTGGGATTTAATTTTACCGTTTCAAAAGCCAGTCAGCATGTAATATTTATGATAAAAACATGGGGCTTTTAAAATTTGACCTCTGCATTCTCTAATCCTAGTCCTCCAAATGGTGGATATGGTCGGTCAAACAATGGGGCGGTCAACCAAGGCTACTACAATGATCGCCGTGACGATTATCACCGTGGAAATCAGTACCGTGATGATTATCGCCATGACGATTATCGCGGCAGTCGAGGGGACCCATACTATAGACAGGGTGAGAGAGACTACCCCCCTCCTTCCTATCATGACTCCCGAAACTACCCCAGCCCAGGGCATCATGAGGCTTACCCAGTGCTGCCCACAAAGCAACGATACTAATTATCTGCACTGTAAGTAGTCGTATATAATCAGAATATAGCTCATTATAATCACTTATAAGAAATAAATCTCAGGGATTGAAAATATGCTGAATTGTATCTATATTTATGTGTGCAATTTCATATGGAATGAAAGCTTATTAATAGAATGTGCATTTTGAGCTGTAGGATTGAAATTTTCTCCTATATATTTTTAGGCATATTTTTTTCATCATCTTGACTGCTATCCTTTATCAATATCTATTTATGACTTTAATCACATTTTCTTCACCGTTGTTTATTTTTTCACTTCTTTAGAAGAATTTTTTTTTTCTTCTGTAGAGAGATTTTTTTTGTAGATAAATCATTTTTGTTTTTCAGCTGACTCAGGGGCAGATAATAAGTTCTGACTAATATTAGTTTCCTTTTCATATCACTATTTTATCACTTTAGTCTTCTCTGCATGTTTATTTAGAGAGCATAAAATTTTAAATTAGTTGTAAACACTTGTGTTAAATTGACAGAATTTGGATAAAAGTCTGATGAAATGAAAATGCTTTTGGTTGGGAGAATGCAAATATTGAAAGATGTGGTGGATTCTTAAAAGAATTTGAATTAAGATCTTTACTTATGGTGGAGAGTTAATTTTCTTCTTATTTTCTGTTTGCTTATTTTACATGTAATACATGTGTACATGTATATCAAAAGTTTAATTATTTCTCCCGTATTTTCATTCCATCGTAATGAAATTGTTAAAAGATATAAAATACTAAAAAAAATTGAGAAATATGCACGACACATAAAATATACTGCTTTTTGTGGTGTTAATTTTTGTAAGCATACTGACTGTTGGTCTTATGTGTTGCTAAACACTAGTTAGAAGAGCACTTTGGGGATTCATTTTGAATAATTTTTGTCTTTGTTTTGTGATATTTTACAAGTGGCTTTGCTTACTGAATTTTGATAATAAAAGAAACAAAACCTTCCCAGCAAAAGGAAAATTGTTGAAAAAAATTACCATTATGAAATGTAACAAATGTGAAAACAATTTAAGCAGAATTGCAACTGACTATATTACTATGTATTGCATGATTCTAGGGCTAGAATAAAGAATTCAGAGCCCCTCATGACAATCCCTATCCAGTATAAGTCCTTAGGTCTGTAAATGAACATGATTATAGACTTTCTGCATGAAACATCCTTTCACCCTTTACAACAGACTGTATATAGAGCTAGAATTATTGATGACGATGTACATGTATGATAATGAAAATAAAGTATATACAATGTACATTTATCCTGATAGATTACAATATTCATATAACTGTATATAATAAAAACAAATGTGCTTGAAAGTGTTCCAATTTTAATTTAATCTTGGTATTTTGATTTATAGATTCAATCTACATAGATAATTAAAATCATTTTTTTTTTTTTGGAAAGTGAAACTATTTATTGAAGAGTCCATGCAAAGCTTTAAAAATTAGCCTTTATAGTACATGAAAGAATGTTTTGCAAGTAATGTATATGTATAATATAAAACTTGAATAAAGTATCATATTTAAAATAGGATTATTGTTAAAAAAAAAAACTCAAATGTTTTAATTTTTACCTCTTACAGAGCAGGAGACTGGTGACAAAAACTGAAAATTATCCATAGACTGTTAATTATCTGGAGACAGAGAATTATCTGGAGACAGAATTATTCTGGAGATTGATTGCAGAGCTGTGATATGATCTCATACCAAAAAGAAAAAAAGTCCAGTATCTTGATCCCAAAAAATGTTTAAAAACCCTATTGTGATTTGTTACCAGAAGAAAAAACACAGGTTGTTGTTCTGTTGGAATGTGAAAGCCAATGTCACATTGATTGTAGTCAAAGAGATTTTTTTGTTATTTGATGTTGAACCAATTGTTTGTCATCTTTGTCTTCAATAATAGGGTGGTGAAAGCCCTTTAAAGTTTGAATGAATGGCATGGAAGTTAATTGTTAAAACATTTACATTTGGAAGATGAACCTTGTGCTATCACTTTTTTGTTTATAGGATATTTTTATACAAGAATTGATTTTTTTGATCACAGATTTCTTATTTTGTTTTATATTGGCAATTTACAGACTATTTATGTTTTTCTGTTTTGCTCACAAATTTCTAAGCCGTCTTTCCCTGGAAGTTTTTTTTCTTGTTTTGAAAACAAAAATCATTCCACAAGATGTCATGGCTCAAAAATCCCTTTTCTACATATTTATAACCTTTCATTCCAAACTACTATCTAACGGGTCTAACTTTCTGCTCTCTTCTCTTTTCATGTGTTTTTTTTAATTGTAGATACTAGTGTGTTCATTTCAAGTTTGTGTATATGTTTGACATGCAAGTAAAACTGAGAAACCTTTTCTGTTAAAAAAAAATGGTGCTATAGTTTTCTGCCATTTTCTGTTTCCCAAATCAAATTTTATATATGACCCCAAAAATGGCTTGTATTTCAGTGATTGTTAGCACTAGATATTTCTATGTACTGCTAAGTGTTTTATTTCAAGCTTACATGTATTTTAAAAACATTTTTATAAAAATATGGCTTATTGTGTTATTTTCTTTGAAGAATAATTTTTGTCAATCCATGTACAAAAGGGAATTGAGAAGTGTTTGTGTTTAATCTTGGTAAAAGCAAATGAATTTTTGTTACTAAAATGTTTATACGTGATATATACGTGTCTTTGGTACAAAAGATTTAGAAGTATTGCGATTTATATGTATTTATGAAATAATTTTTATTAGTGAAATCAACTTGCATATCAGATTTTCTATGCAAATTGGAAAAGATTGCTAGAGGCTAAATACAGGGATGTGTTCAAGATTGTAGCAATTACATCGATCTGTGATCTTGAGTGACGTGCTAGTATAGCTGCCATGTAGGGATAACAAGCTTTCATAGTGCATTCAATAAATCTAGATATATTGTCAAGCATCTAGGGTAGCTGTTATTGTCTTGAACACATCTCAGATACATGTACTTGGTACGGAGTAGGAATGGTTAGGTCAATAATACATGGTTAAGATAAAATGAAGACTACTGTAATATTTAAATTATTATTTCTGTGGGTTTTTTTCTTTATTTCAAAGTAATCTTGATATATAGGTATATATTATCATTGCCTGACTTTTGAAAATTTTGTGTTCTACAAGAATTTAAAACCAGCTATAAAATATTGGTAATTTTTAGATTTTTATTATATTTATATATAGACATGTACATGTATTTATAAAAAATATTTTCTTGCCAAAGCATCCCTAGCTAGTAAAGAAATGATGAGAAAAGGTTCAAGTTAACATTATTTTATGCCTACTTAGAAATGAAACATTCAATTAGAAAGTACTTATATGATGTGTTTTCACTAAAATATAATATAATTAACAAAGAGAAATTGATTTGTTCTATATTATCAAATTCTCCAGTATTTCAATATGTCAACGAAATTTAACAGTATGTATATATAAACATATATAAAAGAATGTTATGTATATGTTCACATCAGAACTGTCCAATTTTTAGGTACATAATTTAGCAGGTTTAGTGGAAGCTTTGGATGAATGTTGTAGTTTTAGAGAACTTGCAGGTTTTAATCGATAGCAAGTGATGTTTTAATTAAACCAATTATTAATTCTTCATTATTCATTACCAAGATAAGGAACTCTTCCATCATATCAAGAATAAAAGGAATGTTTCAATTACATTGTATTTGATGTACATGAATTAATAATGAATTTTAAAGCATGTTGTATTACAGTCTTAGAAACAAATTGTCCATGTGAAAGTTATTTCAAGTGAAGAATGAAAGTTGAGATATCAGAATATTTTTCTGTAAATTATAAAACCTTTGACTTTATAAGTAATCTCCAAAGATCTTTCTTTTAGAGTACTGTTATAACAAGGTACATGAATAAGTGGAGATGTAAAAGGACATGTGCAATCTAGCAACCTCTTTTGAAGAGATGAATAAGATAAAACAGGCAAAACTTGCTTTATCACACTTTTTCAGTTTGAAATATTCATACACTGATGAGATTTTTCAATGCAGTTAAAATGTAAATAATATTACACCAAATGTAGCCATTTATTTTTAGAAATGTACGTTTATGTACAAGTTTTTAACCAGATTTTAAAATGTGATATATCCAAAACCGTCCTTTTAATTAAAAGGATACTTTTACCTCAGCTGAGGGGTAATAACATTGGTGTAATGGTTGTAATGAATGCATAATAATTAATCCTATAACTGATCTCACATAGTGATTATTTAAACATGTTATCAAATTATTTACCAGATGCTAATTTTTGTCTTTGTTGAGTTCTGCATACAGAATATACGTATTGTCCCATAAATTTATTCTTCTGTAGCTTTCATGTTTTAATCTTAAGAAATTTCCCCTAGAAACAGTGAGGGAGGTCCAGTATATAGCGTGCCTTTCAGAAAATTGGGACCAGGTTTTATAGAGTCCTGTATAACATTCCACCACTGTCAACATTTTACTGAATGATTTATAAATGCTTTGTTTGGTTGAGAATTATGCATTGTACAACCTTATTATTGTCTGAATGTTGTTTGCATCCATCATTAAACCATTAAATTAAGATTCATTAATATAAAGCTTGTTATTTTTTCTGCTCAAAGAGGTGAAGCATCTTTCCTGTAATTAAGGTAACTTGTTGGGACCAAAACATAACTAGGTAATATGTGTACTGTAAACCAACTTTTATTCGCAGGCGAGAAATATTCACGAGTTTCGCTACCTACATTAACTCGCGAATATAAATCGCTGCGAATCATTTATTTTGCTTTGTATTTGTAGAGAATGTTTCCTCAGTCGCGACAATTAATCGTCATGAATTGATTTCAAACTGACTTGACACGAATAATAGTTGGTTTTCAGTATTCCTTTGTAAAAGACTGTCCAATGCATTTTGAATTTCTCAGCAGGTACAAAGTGAATTCTTTTTAAATAACTTGTTCAAAAGTGACTAGTTATTATGCATTTTAATTTTAAAATGCTAATAGACAGGCAAAAGATATTGCTTTATATCAAATGTCTTGAAATCATTAAAGGGGAGTTCTCGGTCATGATACAATCTCAGTCATAAGCAACTACAATGTCTACAAAGCCTTGGAACAGACATGATTTTACATCTTGTCCTAATGACCATAAATTGGGTCATGTCAATCCCTCTGGTAGTTAGCTGCCTATGTGCGAAGTAAATGCTTCTGCCTCCATCGAAAAGACTGAACATGAAGTAGTATGGAGACAGAATGGACATCGGGATTCCCATAAAATTATTCCCTGATAACGGCTCATATCTGTGTAAATGTTGATAAGATACATAATTTCATGTACATGCTATATTTCAATGAGTAGTTTTGCCATAGTTACTGTCACTAACGATATGTTACTTTAAATTTTTTTTAATTCTGTTTCAACAGTTTTAGTCTAATTGAAATAGAACTTAGCACAAAATTAGACAACAAGACTACAAGCACGATAATTTGTTAAATGCTAATCCTTGATCTGATATGAATAAAACCAAAGTTCAACAGGGTTGAATTTACATTTCAGGTACATGTAGGTACTAAAGTACTACTATGTACAATGTAGTACAATGACTTCAATTATACCAAATTCAGACAATCAGAAGGGACAAAAATCACCCACTTATACATGTACATAAAATCATGCACTTTAAAGATGTAAAACAGATAATCATCAAAGTTATATAAATAAAGACAAAAAAGGACAATATTAATATTTATTTAGTTTTTAAATCATGTGAAACGTATGAAGGCATAAGGAATTTTTCCTTACATGTATATCACAACACAGCTATCCACTGATACACTGTAAAATTTAGAGGTATTTACACAGAAATTTAGCACTAATGGAGTTTGTGGACCATTTCCTCTTTTGTAATCAGGTGATTAGTTTTGTTGACCAGTTGCATTAAGGTGTTTATGTTAAATGACCAATCATTAAGGATGTCACTGGGGTCTTTGTGTTCACTGAAATGCACAATTCCCTCCAGGCGATCAATCTTGGCCTGCACTGTTTTGTTTACTACCAAAGTAGAGAGAAACTCCTCAGTTTCCTATTAAAAAAAAAAAACAAATTGTAAATTTTAAGAAACCATTTCGTCTCAAAAATATAATAAATTAAACGTTTTATAGAAAGGTAGCGAATTTCTGTAAATGGCATTTTAAACAGAGCAATGTATTTGACGTACACGGACATGTAGCACTATATTCTCTATTTGCTGTATACAGGGTTATTTTTGTCCTGTGCTATTTTTGCCCTTCCACACTTGCAATTTTGCCACATTTTAAATTTGCCCCAATACAATTGTGTTTAAGAGATAATGCAGTCTTCCTTGAATTTTCCCTGTATTAAATTTGCCCACTTGCAATGACGGCGAAAGGGGCAAAAATGAAACTGGTGGAAAATTCCCTGTATTACAGTTAGATTTTTCATATACATGTATTTCTATTTCTGAAGTGAAAAGTGTCATGTTCATTAATAAAAAGATTATAAACAACATGACTTTTTGTATAAAAAGCTTACCGATTCTGCCAGATCTAGAAGTTCTGCCATTCGCTTTGTCCTTATCCTTGTGTAGTACTTGGCCATCACTCGTATATTCTTAAATGAAGAAAATCACCAAGTAAAAACAAAATTTCAAACAAAAAAAGTCAGACTTAACATTAAATAAATATATAATAAGTAGCCTACCAAATATATGTAAAGGTGCTTAACAATGATCTATACATTGGCAATGCTATTTATTAGTGATGGGAATCGGTAAGAATTTCATAATCGATGATCTGGCTACTGTAACTAACTAATTATCAATTATAATTGGACATTTACAAAGTCTGTCAATTTAGTTTATTAAATGGTAAGAATAGGTGAATAACTACTTTCTGTGGCGGTCCAGCTGTAGTTAGAATAATCTAACTGTGTCTAGGGACAAGCCAAAGTCCATAGGACAATTTCATTTTAACGATAGAACGTTCTATCTAGTCCAGCTGGTTCAACATTCATTTTGTAGAATCCGAAGTACGTCCATACCCGGGAATTAGCGTTGTTACCCGGGTATGAATACAATGTCTGTTCGTCTGCGCCATTACGATGCACAAATAAGTTAATAGACAAATTGCAGCTGGAATATTCAGCTTAAAACTATTATGCTAGTAAAATAAAATAGATAACCCGATTAATCGGAATAAAAATTTTGTAATCAAGCGCTTGAATTATGCCAGCAATCGACTGATTTTCGATTATAATCGATGATTGGAACACCACTACTATTTATTTTCTGTAAAGCTATAATTAAATATATACATGTATATAAAAAAAATTCTGTACTTCAGTACTATGACTTACATGTTCCACCACCCTATTTTTGAGATCCGTCCATCTCTTTGCTCCTCCCTCCAACTTTGTATTGAACACATGAGTAGCAGGACTTGAGGCGGAGCCAAACTTCAATTCACTCTCATATGTAGTACACAACTGTTTCCAGTTAATCAGCTCAGCTGTCGTGAAACATTTCAGTAGCTCTCTGAAATGTCATGTATAATAAAAACTTGTCATGTATAATAAAAAATTTTACATTCAAGTTTAAAATTTCCTGCTAGAAAAAAAACACACTAAAAATGACGTGTTGAAAATACTAGGAATATTTCTTTTTTAACCACAAAGCTAATAAAAGTTCTTTCACTTACTTGTACACAGGGATTTCTTCTAAGTGTTTATCTTCTTTCACTCGATGAATCAAATCAGATTGTTCATTGTCATAAGGGGCCAAGATCAGATACAGTACCACATACCGTAGTGCCTAAATATAACACTCATTATTTAACACACAACATCAAGAGTTCGGTATTAAATTTGTACATTTACTTTAAACCAATTCCTTTCTTTATACTGATATACTTGTAATTAAATACATATTTATGTAAGAGATCAGTGTGAATATTTCAATTCTTTAAAAACAGAAGCCAGTGTTCACCTCTCTCATTTTGTCCTTATCTTCTTTAATTTCTGGTGTTTCATACACAGCTCTGTAATGTTTACATATTGCCAAGTACGAGCCTTCATGCTCATCCAGCTCTATCATTAACTGATAATACTTCAACTTCAGCTCCTACAAAACATAGTCAAACTGCAATAGGATTCAGGAAGTATTTCAAAATTAAATTCAACCAAATGAGGCAATAAATGTTAGCTATGAGTAGATCATGTATACAACTCAATTACTCCAGTCTGTATCTAAGACTTTATTTTTCATAAAATTGGCTCTTTTAAATGATTAAGAGTGAAAATAACAAATAAACCACATAAAATATTATATCTATCATTCTAGTCTACTCTGCAGTAATTCTACACGAAAGTTCACGACATTTAGGAATCCTTTTGCTCAAAACAGAACCCACTGATTTACATGTACTTGTGTCAATAGTATGTGTTCTTACTGTGGTGTTTTTATCTTGTTACAATAGTATGTGATCTTACTGTGGTGTTTTTATCTTGTTACAATAGTAGGTGTTCTTACTGTGGTGTTTTTATCTTGTTACAATAGTAGGTGTTCTTACTGTGGTGTTTTTTTTAATCTTGTTACAATAGTATGTGTTCTTACTGTAGTGTTTTTATCTTGTTACAATAGTATGTGTTCTTACTGTAGTGTTTTTATCTTGTTACAATAGTATGTGTTCTTACTGTAGTGTTTTTATCTTGTTACAATAGTATGTGTTCTTACTGTGGTGTTTTTATCTTGTTACAATAGTATGTGTTCTTACTGTGGTGTTTTTATCCTGTTACAATAGTATGTGTTCTTACTGTGGTGTTTTTATCTTGAAACAATAGTATGTGTTCTTACTGTGGTGTTTTTATCTTGTTACAATAGTAGGTGTTCTTACTGTAGTGTTTTTATCTTGTTACAATAGTATGTGTTCTTACTGTGGTGTTTTTATCTTGTTACAATAGTATGTGTTCTTACTGTGGTGTTTTTATCTTGAAACAATAGTAGGTGTTCTTACTGTGGTGTTTTTATCTTGTGTCAATAGTATGTGTTCTTACTGTGGTGTTTTTATCTTGTGTCAATAGTATGTGTTCTTACTGTGGTGTTTTTATCTTGTTACAATAGTATGTGTTCTTACTGTGGTGTTTTTATCTTGTTACAATAATATGTGTTCTTACTGTGGTGTTTTTATCTTCAAAGAATTTGGTGTTGATTTTCTTGCTGATAATCTGTGTCCTGATGTAATCTTTCTTTGCCAAACATAATCTCATCTGCTCCAGGATAAACTCAATCTTCTCCTTCCTCTCCATGGAGCCAAACGTCTCCACCTAAAATTATAATTCAGCAGTATGGCTAAAAAGTTCCAGGTATCAAGAGAAATGTAAATGCAATACAATAAATTAATTAAAGTGACCATGTAACAAAGTAATGTATAGACTCAAATGGTCCTGGAGAAAATTACTGTGGTAAATAACTCTCAAGCATTACCTCCCAACTACAAAACAAAGTGCTCTAATCCAAATACACTGTACATGTATTTTCACATTGATAAATCAGAATGTAAACCTTGGAATATCTATAAACTGGAACCTGAATTTTTCTGCAATGTCACTGAATACTTTTTTATGAAACTTTACTTCTAATGTTTCCTTTATTGCAGATGTTTTGGATATTTACTGTATATCCTTACCTATAAGTCCTTCTGCTTATAAGTCGGTTGTATTTTTTTTTAAAGGTTATCTAGAAGGATTTGCCATTGACCCTCTGAAAAGTTAATACAGCTTTCGGACAGAATCCGTTTTTTTTTAAAGGTTATCTTGAAGGATTTGCCATTGACCCTCTGAAAAGTTAATACAGCTTTCGGACAGAATCCGTTAACAATTTTAAGTGAGTTGGAAGTTACCACTTTTCTTTTTCTATGTATTTTAAATCTTGATATCTTGAATCCTTGGATATCTCAAAGTCTTTCTAGGTCCTACTGAGTTATGACAAAACGAGGTTTGACTGTATTTTGTTAAATTTTTGTTTTAATGTTTTTTGTTGGAAAGGTATATCCCTTGTCCCTACATTTTACCATAAAAAAAATACCAATGATTTTAGGACTCCCCTTTAAGTCAGACATAGAGTTTGGGCAAAAATCTAACTCCCAAACATCCATCTTATAGGTGAGTATAGACGGATATCTTCACTGAATTTTTTTTTTTAATTCTATGTACCTGCAGTTCTTGTAAGATGGTTGCTGCCTCAGCAATCTTTCCTGCATCCTCTTTGATTTTTGCTAGGGTTCGTGTCAGTCTCGCTCTTTCTATTTCTACATATATCTACAAAATCATACATCACACTTAAGCAAGATTATTCATTTGTGTATTCCATATGTATTATCTAGACCTTAACCTTCCATAAGCATACATTTGTAGGTTTATGAATCATTCCATTTCAAATAATGATGGTAATTTCCATACTAAGCAAAAGAAGATGAGTAACTTGATTACAATTATAACAGGACCTAAACCTACCTTCCCAGCTGTTACTGTCCGTAAAGTATCTATGAGTTTCAGTTTTATATCTAGGTTTGGTGTTTTGTCTACATAAGTGCAGGCCTCTTGTATCATTTTTGTCACAGCCTAAAATAAAATGGAACAAGGCATGCTATAAGCATTAAACATGCATGTAAGATTTGCATGAAACAAAATATTTGATTACAATAATTGAAATGAAAAACTCCCAAGATTTTGGTGAACTCTTGCTGATTTGTTGACCTTGTACCTGCTTAATCTGTCCCCTTTTCTTGGTAAGGAGTATAATGTTCTCATTTAAAGCATCCCAGTTCTTGGCTTCAAAGCACATTTTCACCACGGCAACCAGAATACGACTTGTGGAATGTGTATCAGAAGCCTGCAATAAATGAAAAGAACAGTAAGAGACAACACCTTGGCATTAAAATATTGCACCTAAATTTCAAAGTCATACAATTATTAGTACAACTCTAGTATCAAGACAGCTCAGCTCTTCCAATCAGTGTTTAAGTTGCAACTAATTAAAACTTTTATCCATGCAGTGCTTAAAAATACACTTATTTCAAATATTTAACAAGTTTATCATAACCTAGGCCATAAAAATTAAACAACCAGAAATGTCTGATGAGAAAAGTTGCAATTGGACTTAAAATTTTAAAGTTTTATATATACTGAACCAGGTATCCTGAAATTCTAAACTTGTAACAAGTTTGATTAAAATCAAAACCAAACCATAGAAGGAATAACATTTTTAAAGATTTTCACAGATTTTCTTTTTTATCTTAAACTGGTTTATAATACAATTAAGAGATTATTAAGAGACTTGACAAAGTCTACATGTGTACCATTTTTTTTTTAAATCAGACAAAAAAGTGTTTTGATTTTTGAAAATTGATTACAGATGAACAGAAGATGAAAATTGGTAAATAAGCTTTTCTATCTCTGACCAGTAGAACTGAAAGGTAGATTATTAACCTAACATCAGTGACCATGTATGTGACTAAAATACTCACAGTTCTGGTTTGTTTTTCAAGTGACAATAAAGTTTCAAGTGCCTCTGTCAACTTCCCTTGCTGAAAAAGAAAAAGGTTTATAAATATATTCAGTTTTAACTATTGAGCCTGCTGCAGTTTAATTCATGAAATCTCACAAGCCCCATGCCCAAGTCTACTAAATTTTGGTCTGATTTTGTAAAATAAATTTTAGCAGTAGTCTGATGAACTAATAAAAAACAGAAAGTTGTTTCTTCTTTTTAATGAATATTATGAAATAAGCAATAATAAATCAACTTTCCTTTGTCTCTGACTTACTGCCACCTAAGTTCTCGTCTTTGCTATAGTTATTTAAAGCTTTTATCATCTTCATAATTAAGCCAAGGATAAGAATCTGGTCCCATTTTACATAATAAGAACTTACGACTAAGACCAAAATGTAATTTTGTGAGTAATTTCCTTCTTTTACATTAATTTAAAAACAGTACTAGAAATACTTTCAAAGAGTTTACTTTTAAGATATGTTTTGCACATGAAAGTTTTTAACAGAATTGATAATTTTGTAAGAATTTACATTCAGCTGAAGTTTTTAGTCTAAGTCTTAAGTTCTTTTGTAAAACAGGGCCCTGCTCCTCTCCTCTTTTTCACCCTTGGCAGATATAGATATTCTTGGCTTAATTGGGATGAACAAAACAAGGGTTCAATTTTTTTTTTTTTTTTTTTTTTTTTTGGATGCTTAAGTCCTGGACTTGAAGGTTGAATTTTAGTGATGTCCAAGGAAGAATTGTCCAAGTCTGAATCGATAGCATCATTTTGAGATAAATAAATACAACTTGTTTGATGTGAATAAATAAAAACAAAATGTAACTACATATCTTTATTTTTCTACATAAAATATACCATAAAACCAGCACTCAACCCCTGACACCCCAACAGATGGAGGAAGCTTGTGAAATTGAGTAAATGTGGGTCGTATCAAAACAGAAAATAAAAAAAAAAAAGACAGATTGTAATTCTAAGAACACTCAAACTATTGAGATAAAAAATTCCCAAAATTATACTTTTATGAAATAATCAAGAGATGTTCATACTATTTAAGATTTTTGGACCTATTTTTCTGGGGTTTATAAAATTATTAATGACAACAAGTCCTCAAACTTTTAACAATTCTAAATGCTGAGTCCGAAACCAAATTTACCAAATCACAGATGTCAGGCTTGAGGAATTTTGAACCCCTGCTAAAGCATTTCATAATCACAGCAGGGTTGACTATATAAATTGTTTTACTATAGTCTGTCCCATATTTAGTGCTTCCACCTAATCTTTGATGGTAGCTAGTGTTCCAAAACTGGATAAATTCATTATTGAATGAAATCTGAAGCATCATGACATGTTGATTGATAATCCAAAAATTGAACATTCCTGATAATGATCATTTTATGCATGTAAATTGTTACTATCTCTGTTCATTTATTTTCTCAAATTCATTTCATAAGGTTTTTTTTTTCATTTCACATGAAAAAACAAGAGGCCCATGGGCCACATCGCTCACCTGAGTAACTTTGGCCATGCTGTTCTTTACCAGATTTCCCCCTTGTAATACTTATTGTGGCCCCGCCCTACCCCCGGGGGTCATGATTTTAACAATTTAGCATCTACACTATCCCAGGATGCTTCCACATAAGTTTCAGTTTTTCTGGCCCAGTTGTTCATGAGAAGAAGATTTTTAAAGATTTTTCTTACATATTTCAATGTGAAACTTGTAATACTTATTGTGGCCCCGCCCTATCCCCGGGGGTCATGATTTTTACAATTTAGCATCTACACTATCCCAGGATGCTTCCACATAAGTTGCAGTTTTTCTGGCCCAGTTGTTCTTGAGAAGAAGATTTTTAAATATTTTTCTTACATATTTCAATGTAAAACTTGTGATACTTATTGTGGCCCCGCCCTACCCCTGTGGGTCATGATTTTTATAATTTAGAACCTACACTACCCCAGGATGCTTCCATATAAGTTTCAGCTTTTCTTGCCCAGTGGTTCTTGAGAAGATTTTTTAATGACCCCACCCTATTTTTGTCTTTTCTTGATTATCTCCCCTTGTGAGGGGACTTGGCCCTTCATTTTAACAATTTAAACTCCCCTTCACCCAAGGATACTTTGTACCAAGTTTGGTTAAAATTGGCCCAGTGGTTCTTGAGAAGAAGTTGAAAATGTGAAAAGTTTACAGACAGACGGACAGAAAGACGGACGGACGGACGACGGACAACGGTTGATCAGAAAAGCTCACTTGAGCTTTCAGCTCAGGTGAGCTAAAAAAGGTACAGGACATTATTTTGAAAAAGGAGTGAGTTAGAATGTTTTCCCTTGGAAAAATAAAATATGAGCTCCTAATGAAATTTTTGAAGAAAATGTGTATCAATGATACAACACTATGGATAGCAAAATGTATTGGAAGTAAATTTCATTCAATGTTTAGAGTTTTATCATTTCCAAACCATTTATAGTATAAAGATTGGATACAAGCAAGTTGAAGCAAACCAGTTGGAATGATTTTTTTATTGGTTATGGAAATTCACAATGTTAATTTAGACAATTACTATCAAGAACAAGAGGGAGAAGTATTTTCCTGTCACTGAACTTCAAAATTGACTCTGAATCAGAATGTTTACCATTTCATTTCATTGCTGACTGCAAGCAACAGCAAACAGTCAAATACTGATCTATATTTAATGTTAATTCCCTGACTGCATACTTCAAATTTGTTGCCTATGTTAAACACTAGTTGAACTCTTGAAAATTTGGAGAGAAAAAAATTCACTGATGAAACCATGTTTGAAGGCCAAGAAATTTTGAGGTGATGCATGGGTTCTAGGGTTTCAATCTGTATGAATATGTATGTTAAAAGAAAAACCTATGAAAATTTCTCAGGATGCTTCCAGAATTTTTAAGAGTAATTAATGTTTTAAGATGTCTTGTGCATTGAACATGGTAGATGCAGCTTCATTTTCAAATAACAAGCTCTGTAAATAACCCAGACAGCAGTTGCCATTATCAAGCCTATGTATATTAGGTATCATACATTTCATAGTGAGCGCAGCAAGCGGCGCGATGTGCCGCTCGTCACTGTGAGCTCTAACGACAACACCTGGGCGAAGAGAATATTCGGACTACTGCACATTCATTCAATAGAATTTTTTTCCACAGTAATTCTGGACCCACAATGCATCGCTTGTTGTTCTCGTTTCTAACCTCATTCGCGTGGTAACAACAACTAAAATTCACAAAAAATAAATTCACCTTAATTTAATGGATATTGCATACAGATAGTAGATTAAACGTTCTTTGTTAAAATTTTTGCACTTTTCAAACTTCATTTATGGAAATGCTGCTAACATACGACGTCATGTGATGTCACAGTCTAGACGTTCCAAATGTCTCGTGCGGTTTGAAGAGGTGGATCTTAAAATTAAGTGAACAATCCGCTCGCCCCAACGGTCGCACCGTCAACATATTATAGATTAAAACCCAAGCACCTGTGATGTAATCCACAAATATGATGATGCTGATATGCAGGAGACTTTATTCATTTAAAAATTATAGTGTGAGCAGTGGTGCATGAGCTCTTAAGACAAAGCCTTCATGGGCAAAGAAACTGCATGAGCATAGAAAAAATTTGGAATGCTGCACAATGATCCAATAGCATTTTTCCGCAATTACCTCTCGACCCACAATCTTTGCAATTTGTGACTTGCCACATACTACATTCTAGCAGTAACAACAAAGTTTGCCAAAAAATAAACTTGCCTTGATTTAATGGATAATACAAATAGATAATAGATTAAATGTTCTTTCTCAAAAATTTGCACTTTTCAGACTTTGTTATGGAAATGCAAATAACACAACAAAGTCATGTGATGTCACAGTCTAGATCTTCCAAATGCCTCATGTAGTTTAAAGAGGAAGATGTAACATTAAGATAAAAGTGAATAACATACAGCTGCACTCGCTCAAACAGTCAAACCATCAAAATATTACAAAGTTAAATACCACGTGTAAATTATTCACACAAAAGTAAGTTTCACAGAAATTAATCATTAATATGTTAGACGGTGTGACCGTTGGTGAGGGCGGAGCCATCAAGTGAACATTTCTACATTTTATTGTTTAATGATAAGTCAGTGTTAAAATCAAATTGTGTGCAGTCTAGACCAACTCCAAAAACGGCGTGAACTCCGAAAACGAAGTCTTTGGCTCCATCATGCATTGCGGCAAAATGGCGTCCGATGTAAACAAACGATGGATTGTCGTTCGCTTTCTCCAAAATATACGACTGCATAATGGCTGTATTTAGTTCATCGTGACTTTATTTTAATTTTTGTTGAATGGATAATTACATTTATTAAATTATTTTGTGGATATTGACTTATTCATCGCTTCAAACTCTTGCATAATAGTAAATTGGATATACGAGATCGAATTCAATACCGCCGGTAAGAATTATTTTCTTATTTGATTTATTGTCTCCTTGATCTAAATTTTATGTCCTTTCTAAAATAAAGGTGTTTTTATTTGTTTTTGAAGACACCAGCTTGTATTTATTTTAATCAGAAAATTGCGTATTTTTCACCACGGAGCAGAGATATTCACAGGTTCATTTTTAGAAGACATGTTGTGACCTTAATTTCTAGAAGAGTGGTTTTTCGTTTTCATATTGATAGATTATAGTTTTTAAACTGTTTTCATAATAATATTTGTTCGTATGTGATAAAAATTCGGTAATTAACAATGATAAGAACTTGCGCATTTAATTCAGATATCGTACACAGATAAAAAAAACAAAAAACAAAACGGAATGCTAATTTATGTGTAAAATTCAGTCAAGATTTTAACAGTTACATTGTATTTTGTCCAATTTTGCATATATATCCCTTTTATTATACATATTTACTTCTCAAACGTATCATTTTCTCTGTAATTTATCTGACTTCAAACGTCAACTTTGAAAGAAAATATCTCCTTTTTTGCAAATAAAATAAAAAATCTCTTCCGAAGTCTTTTATTTAGCATTTCTGAGTACTGGTGTAATTGCCATACTTTCCAAAACTTTGCATGGACAGTTTTTGTAGACCACGGACTCTATTTTCGGAGTCTTTTTCAGTCTCAATTTCTTACTTCCGGAAACGCTGTTTTTGGCGTTCGTTTGGACTGGTGTGTAGTTAGTGTCAGAAAATCATAACAAAGACCTCATTCTTAAAAAAAAAACCTTCAAGTTCTCTTACCTCAAATATTTTTCATTTCAAATAAAGAAATTTAAGGTATTTAGTTTTATAAATCTGGAATACTTTTTCTAAGTTATTTCATCATGAACTGCCTAGCCACTCAAAATCAAGTAGCATAACGGGGAAAGAGCGTGCACTGGACCAGTCAAGGATTCAACCTACCAAAGCCCAAGAACTCTTTCACCTATGTATCTGTCCAACAATATTAATAAACGAATATGCCTGAGCAACATTTCTTTATCTTTCATGACTTAATTTAAAAATCCCAATCCAGAAAAATCAAGTCATTTAATTCTCATCTTTTACTTCCAATGCATGGTCATGACATCAAATACAAATAAGGACAATTGTTAGGATCGAATACATCGGAAGTCGAACTTGGGACCCAAACTACAGAAAGATGATCTAACTCCTGGGTTATCAGGACACTCGGAAACTGATCCTCTGACCAACACTAGGGCTGTGTATCGTGAGGGCTAAAAGTATCAGCATCGCAAAATTTCTGAGAATTATTTTCTTAATTTTAACGAAAAAAATGTACAGTAAATTCAACATTTCTGCATTTTAAAAAATTAATCCGATTCGAATAGTGTTTAGTGCTTTCTAAAACTAACATAAAAGCAAGATAAAAATCTTTTCTGGAAAAAACAAATTTAACTCAATAAAAGGATTTTTTTTTTACAGATATTAAATTGTTTATGCCAAAACTATTAGAATTTTAAAACCAAAACTTGTGAATAATAGCTAGGGTACATTTCTGGGAAGTATCAATGTTTTGTGACATCCCTATTCACCACATAAATAAAAAAATAAAAATTAGAAATCATTTTCTTTTATCATTTGAAGCGTATCCATAAATGGAACATGTGTTTGATGTGGTAGTTTAAGCTTCAGACATGTCCAAAGATTCTTCTTTTGATGGGGAACTTCACGAAACTAAATTTGACACTTAAAAAAAATGATAAAACTTTTGAGAAAAAAAATTCACAACAACAAATATGAGACACAGGCCTCCACCTGCAAATGTATATAGGAAGAAGCAGGTAATCAAAGACAAGAATTAATTAATTAATTAATGAAAAATGAAAAAAAAAATTAAAATGCATACCCCTTCCCCCCTTCTTGAGTTCATACCAGAATTCAGTAAAGCTTTTCATGCAATATTTTACCACTGAAACATTTTTAAAATGTATTATTCAAGAGGAAAATTATACCAAGTCACAAAAAACTTTTATTTCTAGTTTGTGTATTGAAAATAATCCTGAAGACATTCGTAATTACTAAATTTTATTAACAAGTAAATTAGAGTTGTTTCTTTTCCCTAAAGTCTGGTGGAAGGGACCACAGAAAGATCCGCCCCTCCATAGTACGTAGTACGCAGTCTAGACAGTGACGTCACTGGAATTCGTTAAACTGTTTTTTGCTTCACCAAAAACATATTAAGGTTTATTAAAAGGTGAATAAATTTGTTTTTAAAAAGAGAGTACGCATACGAAATATCAATTATTACAGGTTGTTAAAAATTCAACAGTTTACGCTGATTCATGCAATGAATGACGTCACATGTCAGGTCTATGACGATCGAGTGCAAGTTAGACTAGGCCTAGATGAAAACGAAAGTAACAAGGATGTGTACTATAAGGGTGTTTTTGATTATTAGAATTTATAAAACTTCATTAACGCAGGATTGGAATTAAAATTACGATTCTCCAGCATCTCGTTTATGCGGGAATTTGTCGCGAGATTCAAGATGGAAATGACTATGGACGCCATATTGTCGACAAGGTTCTCAGTTCCATAGGTATTGTAATAAAAATATAGTTTACAATAGAATTCAATATATTTTACATACATACGTGTTACCTATAGGGAGAGCTTCGCTCTCACGGGCCCTTCGGGCCCGTGAGAGGGCTCCGCCCTCTATTAAATATACCATAAACGGACCTTGGGGAAATGTATGGTTCCTTAAAAAATCAAAGGAAATTCGGACTGATTTAAAAATGTCTCCATCTCTGTGATATAATTGATAGAGGGCGGAGCCCTCTCACGGGCCCGAAGGGCCCGTGAGAGAGAAGCTCTCCCTATAGGTAACACGTATGTATGTAAAATATATTGAATTCTATTGTAAACTATATTTTTATTACAATACCTATGGAACTGAGAACCTTGTCGCCAATATGGCGTCCATAATCTTTTCCATCTTGAATCTCGCGACAAATTCCCGCATAAACGAGATGCTGAAGAATCGTAATTTTAATTCCAATCCTGCGTGAATGAAGTTTTAAAAATTCTAATAATCAAAAACACCCTTATAGTACACATCCTTGTTACTTTTGTTTTCATCTAGGCCTAGCCTAACTTGCACTCGATCGTCATAGACCTGACATGTGACGTCATTCATTGACTGCATGAATCAGCGGAGACTGTTGGATTTTTAACAACTTGTAATAATTGATATTTCATATGCATACTTTCTTTTTAAAAACAAATTTATTCACCTTTTAATAAACCTTAATATGTTTTTGGTGAAACAAAAAACAGTTTAACGAATTCCAGTGACGTCACTGTCTAGACTGCGTACTACGTACTATGGAGGGGCGGATCTTTCTGTGGCCCCTTCCACCAGACTTTAGGGAAAAGAAACAACTCTAATTTATTTGTTAATAAAATTTATTAATTACGAATGTCTTCAGGATTATTTTCAATACACAAACTAGAAGTATAAGATTTTTTTGTGACGTGGTATAATTTTCCTCTTGAATAATACATTTTTAAAATGTTTCAGTGGTAAAATATTGCATGAAAAGCTTTACTGAATTCTGGTATGAACTCAAGAAGGGGGAAGGGGTATGCATTTCATTTTTTTTTTTAATTTTTAATTTATTAATTCATTCATTTATTCTTGTCTTTGATTACCTGCTTGATCCTATATACATTTGCAGGTGGAGGCCTGTGTCTCATATTTGTTGTTGTGAATTTTTTTTCTCAAAAGTTTTATCATTTTTTTAAGTGTCAAAATTCAATTTCGTGAAGTTCACCATCAAAAGAAGAATCTTTGGACATGTCTGAAGCTTAAACTACCACATCATGCAAACACATTGCTCCATTTTTGGATACGCTTTAAATGATAAAAGAAATTGATTTCTAATTTTTATTTTAAAAAGTACTTTTAAAAATATAGAACAGAAAATTTATTCAGCCAGTTGGAACCTATGGTGGGTTATGATAGTGTATAAAGTCCAAAATCATATGAGAAAAACCAAGTTAAACAATACATTGAGGGACTTCAACACATGACATGTATATTAATAAAGTTTAATGTTCTCTTGGCTTAAAAATACCCCCGCAAATACAGAATCTTCATTTGACATTACCCATGGTGATCCATAAAGAGGTCAATGTTGTTGAATAGTACTAAAATATCTTTTTCTTTAATCTTCCATATATGATCCTTTTTATTAATTATGTGGTTATTTAATTATTTCCCCGTTATGCTACTTGATTTTGAGTGCTCTGGCTAGGCAATTCATGTTGAAATATCTTAGAAAAAGTATTCCAGATTTATAAAACTAAATACCCTTAAATTTCTTTATTTGAAATGAAAAATATTTGAGGTAAGAGAACTTACAGCTTCTTTAAAAAAAAAAAAAAAAAAAAAAAAAGACTGAGGTCTTTGTTATGATTTTCTGACACTAACTACACACAATTAAAACAATAAAATTAAATGTAGAAATTTTTACTTGATGGCTCCGCCCTCATCAACGGTCACACCGTCTAACATATTAGCATTAAATTAACTATTTGTACAAATTTGTAAGTATAAGAAGGTTGCTTGGAAATTGAATACTGAACTAAATTTGGGGATATATGATCACTGAAAATGCTTATTAGCAAGTATGACAAAGCTGTTTTGTCACGAGGCATAGCTTAAAACAATAATACGAAAAAGTGAGAAAAACTTAGATTAATCATATGAAAATTTATTAAACACTTGTAAGACTATACATACCTTTGCAAGCTTTTCACATTTTGGCAGTTTTTCATCTACGGTGGAGCTGTAGTCCACTTCCATTTTTTGTTGTTTTTCATCGCCGGTGTCCGCCATGATTTCTCACAATCTCGTATATAACGAGAAAAATCGAGAAAGACAAGTTTCATCTTGGTAAGATAATTTTAAGACGGATTTTCTTCAAGATTGTAAAAATCAATATAAATCAAATCTACTTTCAATGCTCAAATCACACAGACATACATAAATATCTTTTTTTCATTTTATTTTATCACTTTTGAGTATATATTCGGAAACATAAACGTTACCATTTCTGCCTTTAGAACTACTTCATCCCCCGATGGACTCCGATGTGTTCCGAAAAACAAGGTAGCAGAAGCTTGACTGTGTTTTTCTGTAAATAACTTCTTCAGGGCATATTGATTTTTATATGACATTAGTGCAGATGGATTTAGGAGGCTTGCAATTCATTCTATAACGTCAAGAAGACTGTGTACGATGTTGTTGAAGGAATACAGAATATGCATGCCAATGACAGTTGCAGAGGTAAATTTCAATAGAGATTTGCTGCTTGCATGTGCTTGTAGGTCATTGAAGAAAGTAAATCATACATGTGATATACTGATAGATGACCCTTGGTTATTGGTGACATTAATTCTTGCCTTTTCCTTTGCTGATGATGTAGGTTTATTAAAGTTACTGAATAAATTGAATGTATAGTAAAATATTAAATTATCTATAAGTGATTAGATATTTTGTATTACTGTATGTTGGAACAGGGATAAGGTCATATGCAGACTTTTAACCATATCATAAGATAAAAAGTTACTCTTATTTATATTTAAGTAAATATTGATATTGAAATAAGCTTATGATATATATACGAAATTCTCAGATTGTGAAGAGTACCCCATGTAAATGCCTGTGTTCATAATGTTTTGTGACTCTCGATCTTATCAGGTACAGGTTGCATGTATTTCAAGATTACATTCACTATACTACTTGCAAAAAATAAATAAATTAATCAATTAATTAACTAACTAATTAATAAATAAATTAATTCATAAACACATAAATTAATTAATTAAAGTAATTAATTAATTAATTACCAGGGACAATTCATATCACTGGAGCTGCATGGTAGGTTGAGTTAAAAAAACTGATTTCTTTTTGATATAGAAAAAGATATAATTATGCATGAGGTAGACCATGGAGAAAAAAAATCAGAAAAGTATGATAGATATTCAAGTCAATTTGCTAACAAATATAAAAACAGAGGGTTAAATCCAGTCAATGCCCCTTAGGGTACATGTACTCCACATTACGTTTATAAACTGAAAAACTCAAACACGAATTAGAATAATAAGTTTATTTTTCATTTAAAAAAGAAAGGAACTAAAAGAGGTTATTAGGCAACAAATGAAATGAAAGTACATGTATACAAATGCTTAGAAAATTTTGCAAACTTCCAGAGATCTGACTCACACAGAAGGGTAAAACATATGTAATAATATAGTATGACTATGATCACTTTGATATATATGTTTCAGCAAAGAGATGTATAATTATATATATATTTAATAAACATGAGAAATGAAAGAGGTTTGCTGATTGTATCAATTGCACTTTTTGAGAGTTTTAATGAGTTTAATAAGGGAAAATGGTTTAAGCCCTTGTATTTACTGAAAGTGCTATTCAAAATTATCTGAATCTTTATTTTCATGATGAAAAACTTAGTTATAAAAATAATGTTAAAACAATTTGAAAAAAAAAAATATTCCTAGTATTTTCAATTTATTTAAATTTTGCATGTTCAAAAAATAATTTAATTGTCATTGAGTCAAAAACTCATCATTAGTCATGGTGAGACAGATTACCTTTTAGAGCTATCAGTATTAAATAACCATTCTATCATTTACTGATTTAGTCTTGAAATTTAAATGTGACAAATTTTACATATTGTTTCTTTTAGTATCGTATTGGACAACTTTATATGATCGCAAAACACAGCCATGAACAGAGTGAGAAAGGGGAAGGTGTGGAAGTGATCAAGAATGAACTCTGTGAACATTCAGTTCACGGTCAAGGACAGTTCACAGAAAAAAGAGTTCATCTCTCAAGGTAGGTCAAGGTCATGTTTATTTCAGTTTCTTTCATGATGAACACACCATATGCATTCCCTGATTTGGACTTTCTTTTTTTCCCCAGGAAAAAAATATTCCTGGACCATGATCTTACAAATCAGAGACATTCAATGCCTTAATTGACCTTATTCTGGAGAAGGAAATACATGTACTTTAGCTGCAGAAATTGGTTAGGTCTTGTTCTGTTTTTGTCATTTTAGCCTTATTTACAAAGTCTAATTAAGGAAATGTTATATGTGTTAAGTTGTTAGCTGGTTATAGTCTGAGGAAGAAACTGTTTGTACATGATGATTCATCTGTTGCTTTAATGTTGTATTTTTTAAAAGACTCATGCATTTAAATCCCATCAAGGAAATTAATTTAGTTTCTCAACAAAATTAAAAAGAACTTGCGTATAAAAATTTCTTCAGAGATAAAATTGGATACTTTAATTAGCAAACATCACTCTACAATAATGACACATAGCACTAACATTTTTATCTAAATTACGTTTTAAAGAATATTTTTTATTTTTGATATAAAGAGAACAAGATAAATTGTCAGGGGTAGATCCATGATTCAAAGTTAAAGGGGGTGCTAGGTGATTAGGCAGGGGGTCTTTGGCCACCTCAAGGCCCCCACTGGGTCCAGAGCAAAGCCTTAGTGAAGGCCATGGGGGCAAAGCCTAAGCTTATTGTATAATAGGTATCAAAGCCTAGAAATAAATACAGTAGAAGGTTTTGTCTTGCAAGAATATATATAGTAATAAAAATATTTTATCTATACTCCTTTATTGAATAATTAATTTCTTTTCAAATAATGAGCCATATACTTTTTCTTGAAATTGAAAGTTTTAGAAAGGCAATGCATGATGGCTAAACATGAGAGCACATACATTTATCTACCTGTTACTTTCAAAAAGGATGTAGACAACTAGGCAGGGCTAATTAAGACAGAGATTGGGTTAATTTTTATGACATTATTGTAGATCCCGGATTCACTGGGGAGTAGAAATTTGAAATTTAATAATCTTTTTTCCATGAGAATTCATTTTTTTAATATTTATTCCTGACAACAAAATTTTACTCTTTTTCCTAAATCATCCGAGTTCTAACTCATAGGTCAGGACAGCTAGTACATGTACATGATTTATTTCCTTTATATAACAAAACCATCAGTTGACCTACTTTAGACTATATGTATATAATTATGTACTGTCTATAAATATAATACATGGCTCCAATATATTGTGAGTGGGAGGAAGAATAGGGAAATCCTGTTTAGAGACTGAAGGATGATGAAGATGATCTGAAGGATGTCTTTAATATTGATTTTGATGACTGATCAAACTAGCAGAGTTTTCTTGACTCGGAAATTATCACTCAACATGTTATAATATTTTACAGTAAATGCAGTTTAAGTGACTATTAATTTAAATTGAAATTTGATCAAGATATTCATTTAGGAAATCATTGTATATATGAAATTTGACAGAGACCATAAAAATTTTTACACTAATCCAAATACCGGGTACCTGTATTTCAAACTAAATAAGAAATCAATATACTCTCCCAATTACATATACCCCAGTCTGCCATTCTCCTTCAGGAAATAAGGTTATTATATACCTATACATTAAGAATTATTTAAATTTTTTATGGTAAATCCTAACAATTTTCTCATTTACTTTCAATATATGCCTGCAAGTTTTGACCATTATGCCTGTTAAGTTTCATATATTGCATACAAATGCCTTTGCATGTATTTTCAATATGCGTATCTTCAACTGACTAGGATGTATTCAGTGTATCTGAGACATTCTTACAGTGTGTATAGGATTCTAGGTGTTAGAACTTGTGTTCAAACCATTTGTATATTATTTATACCATAAAATATGTTCAAACCATAGGATTCTAGCTGTGCTATAAATTTTGTTTAACAACATACCCGGTAAGATAAGCTGGTACATGTATAGAATTAAAATATTAAATTACAAAGTCCTTGAAAATTACAAAGGAAATACAATAGCTTTTTTGAGTAGATATACTTGTAATACAAACCCATCTATTTTTAAAAGTAAATGAAAAAGAAATTGACATCAATATTTTAAAAGAGGTTGTTTTATATTAAGGAAATATTATTATGTATCTAAAAAGCTGACAAAATTTTAAGGAAGTATTATAGAAAACTAGAATAGATGTTGATCATATATAACAATAAAAAGAGTCTTGGTAAGGAAAATACACTTCAAGCCGCGATGTTTTCATGGCCGATAAAACATCAATTGGATAACACTGTTAGACCTCAGAGGCATTCGTTACATGTGATCTCTTGACTTAGCCAATGTTTGTTGGGAATGTTTTTATGCTATTTACATTTGCTTCCTGGTGGAAATGAATGCTAGAGACAAATTCTACTTTAATTAATTAACAATACAATGTATATAGAATTAGAGGTAATAAATCTAATGTATGAGACAAATTATATTAATAGTTCTGCTCCATTCATTGACATACACCAAATTATTAAAGGAAAAAAAATGATCTTGAAAATTACATATATCAATGAAGTTCAACATACAAAAAAAGATCAACTAATAAGGTACAGTTCTGTTGTGGGGGTTTACCACTGAGGATATAAAAACGGGGCAATACTGTGGGGAACTGGTGAATGAGAAAACCTGCATATTCTGTGACAATTAATTGAAAGAACTAGAGGATGAATTCCATTTTCTACTTCAGTGTTTATAACAACTAAAGAAGTGATCTTTATCAAAGCATTACAAGGAACTTCATATGTATTTAATTTACTATATTTGACAATAATCTATTTCATAATCTCAATCAATTGTAACTTTGCACAAAAAATTGCAATTTTATGTTAGATTTACAAATTATGACAAATTCTCAGGAATGTCTGAAAGAATATCACCATAACAGTTATTGACTTGTATGTCCAATGAGAATCATACCATTATATGATGTAAATGCATCACATGTCACTGTAGTAAATGATTTACTTCAAACATTTTTTTGGACATTGAAAAAATTATATTCTGTGTTAATATTTAAACAATGGATGTTTAGCCATATGCCTCCAAGAAAAATGTTCAAAGACAACAAAGTATTAATTAACAAAAGTCACTGTTGCTTTTTAAAATTACTTAAAATTAGGAAAATACATGCAAATAAAGTTTAATGAAATGTTGCACTAATTTTGAAATTTTTACAGATTGAATAATGTAGATTTCAATTTATTTTATATCTATAAGGACAGATCGCTCTAATAGAAAATTTCACAGTAGAACTCTTTAGTGTGCAATGTGTAGAGGGTTCTGAATAAATGTTGAACTAGCTTATAATATGTTTTAAATAGGACCCTAGATACTAACCATTTTCTGAAATATGAAGCTGTTAAAACAATTAGATTGCATTATGATGATTTGATCTTGGAGAAAACACTTTGGAATTGCAATATCACATAGCAATCTATGTATCATCTAATTTGATAGCTGCGGATCTGCAGCTCACTAATCTGAGAAAATTGGGATTGACATATCTAAAAATATGCTGGATTCTCATTTAGAGAATGCATGTTTGTTCAAAACATGAAATTTATATTAGCTATGGCTACAACAGTTTTTACTAATTTTTACATGGAATTAATTCAATACATATGAAAGAGAAATCCAATGGACTGCGTTATAGTTGGGTGACCAGTAAGACCCATGAGACTGACATGTACATATGTTGCAGAGTATATAAAATTGCCTACCTGAGGCAGAGACCACAAAAATATTTATAAATTTAAGCAACTTCATACATTTTTGTAAAGTTATTTATAGCATATGCATGCCAATAATCAGAAACTTTGATACATCTAGAGGGAATTGTTAAGTTTTTTTGTGTATGTGAATTTGAAACTATGTGCATATATTACAAGTTTCTGCATATTGATGTATAATTACATCCACTTACTATTCTTAATTATATTTACATCCACTGAATATTTTCTCCTTTATTTCTAAAGAAAACCATTGCCATTTATCAGTTCATGAACAACACTAGGCATATCACCTGTAGAGATTTCTTGTTCAGTGGCTGTTCCATCAACTAAACATACAATGACGTACATATCAATAATACAATAATTAATCTTTTTAATCCTACTTTAAATGATTATTTATACAGATATGAATATAAACAATAAAATGTCTTTTTTTGGTTGTTAGTATGGGAATTAACGTCGCGGCTATTGCAGAAAAAAATTACATAACCCGCTTACGCGGGTTATGTATTTTTTCTGCAACAGCTGCGACATTAATTCCCATACTAACAACCAAAGAAAGCATTTTATTGTTTAAATAAACAGACTTGTTCAGTAAATCTAATTTAGTATGAACATAGATATAGCGAATTTATGGATATAGCCAAGTTTTTTATTGCCAACAAAATTTTTAACAATTCCATGTAAAATTTTATGGTTATAATGAACTTTAATATAACAAATTTATGGATATAGAAAACTGATTTTGTGTTAAAAAAATAATGATATTTGCATCTTTTATAACAAATTTTTACTTTGATTTGAACTAGCTGACATTAGTTTTCTGTAGTTCGAAATTAAATTAAATTCATCAGAGAACTTAAGCAATCCAAGGTACATTGTAATTTCTGTATTTTATACTTTCCAAAACATATTCGGTAGTTATACTGGAAGGAAACTTGTATATTTCAAATTCTCTACACAGTAGAACAACATTTTGAACACTGATATATCGAATACCATGGGTATGCCATGATTTGGAAGTCCCAACACTTATTCTTTAAGTAATTTACCCCTGATATCTCAAATCCTCAGATATCTAAGTAGTTTTTTCTTGTTTCCATTGAGTGTGAGACTGTATTTGGATGTAATGAATTATATGGAGTATGAAGTAAACTCACAGGTCCCAAGGACTTGGCTGTAACCGAGTTTTAATATACAGTAATATATTTAATGAAATATCATTTTTTCTTTATACAGGGATGAATGGTTGCAATCTTTGCAAAAAAAATCGTTTATTAATTTTACCTTCTTAATATGTATTTTTTCTGAAATATTGCAACATCTCATCCCCATATATAAACAAAGGAAGCATTTTTTTGTTTAGATAATATCAAGTATGTTCATGTGACATATGAAGGCACTTTAAGTGGCATGCAATGTTTTTTATATATATAATTTTTTTTTCAGTCGATTACCAACTTGGATTCAAAAATTGATTCCAAAAATATTCTACATCACAGAAAAGGCCTGGAATTACTACCCATTTACTATTACAGGTAAATTTGGTTCATTACTGACCATTTGTCCACATGTAATTAGATGTATTATGTAAAGAATTGGACATAATGGCCTGGTAAATGGATGTTAATAATCTGAAAAATGACAGTTTATGGTAACATGGCAACAGATTTATACCGCTTCAAGACTTTAAACTAAAAAATTGCTGTACTGTATTGATTATCTTGTATAGCATATCTGTCAAATTTAGACATTATGTCTTCGTAATTATCCCTCTCAAAAAGTTTTGCATCCTGTTTCCATTTTAAAAGAAAGAAAAGGGTTTCAAAATATGGTGGATTCTTGAATTTGTTTACATTTAAACCTTTTAACATAGTAGACAAGATAATGTAATCAAATTATAAACATTCTGAACTATATGTACATGTTAATCTGCATCTCTGCTGCTCTACACAGACAGCCCTTAATGTTTTAACATACAAAGCTTCTTTAGTTTACACTAAGAAGGTTTCTTTTTTTTCAAAATGAGGCAAAGTGGAAATGATCTTTTAATTGTTTTCAGTGGCTCTTTAAGCTGTTTCATCTCTCAGATCTACACATGGCTCAAATAGCAGACATAACTTAGACAAAATCCATGAAAAATGTACTTTTAAAATATGATTTTGAATGATTTTGTACCGACAGCACATTTCTGTTATTTTAGAGGTCTACTTCTCTAGTGCATGATGAATTATTGTGCCAGACGTGTCAGATTCTGGTGCAACATCTTCATTAAGCTGAGGAGAAACTGTCATAGTTTTTATGCAAGATTTTTTCTCTCTTGAAAATGAATAAATATTGTGTTAACTTGTGATCATTTATATTTATCATGTGAACTTGTCAGTATACATAACGCTAACCAGAGCCGGTATAGGCTAAACATGTAATATGCAGAATGATTGTGTTATGGGAAGCATTTGTGTATAAGAATTTTAATTTATTAAAAAAGTATTCATGTTAATACAATCCAGATGTATTAGGGTATTGAAAACATGCACAAATGATTTTTATGAATGATATATGATATAAATGCTTAATCTATGAAACTGTTTTAAGTATAAACTAAAATCTGAATTTTCTTTTTCATTTCATGTGACATCATCCTTCCAGAATACACAGTAAGTGTAAAAAAAAAAATTTAATATCAGATTAAATCATAAACTTAAGACTCTTATGAATGCATTTATGGTGATCAAAATATCATTTCCTCTATAACCAATATATTTGATCATAATTATATGAGAACACGAAAAGCAGCATTTTTGGTCTAAAAAAAATTGTACTTCCATTTGTATTTTCAATTAGTTTCTTGTTGGTTCTCTTTAAAGTGATATGAACCAATTTTGCATATAATTTTTTGATATACTAACAGTAATATTAGTTGAAATTATAATGTTTATGTTAAATAAAGACTTTGGCAGCAAAATTTGGTATGATCATTGAGATATGCATTTCACGAGCATATTTGTCAGTACATGTATATATATAAATAACATTTTATAAAGAATACAGGTATGCCTAAGCAGAAATTGTTAGTAATTACAAACAAACTGCATTTCCATTTTGCTCTTGAGATCTCTGACCTACTAGGCTGGCTATCTTCAGAATCATCATAACTTTGACTAATAAATCAAAAAATACATATGTATACTGAGTTTTCATTATCAAAATAAATGCAAAGTAATTTATGGACCAATAACTTAAAGTTTTTACAAGTCTTAGTAATAATTTTAAATTTTATGCTAACTTGCAAATCGACATTTAATTAAGACAGTACTCTGAAACCTTTAAATATTGGAATTTTATTATCTTTTCAGTGTTCATTTATGCCAAAATTTACAATCTACATTGAAACAAAGTATGCAGATGACAATGGTTGCAGCGAGAATGTAAGTTCATCATTGATCTTAAAGTTTGTTTAAATATCTTCTAGTTTTTCATATGTACATTTATTATGAATGGTGTTTAACAACAGGTTATCTTATTATTAATTAAATGTTCAGAAATAATGCCTCAAATACTTAACAGATTACTCTTTGATCTATTTGTTTCTCAGACATGTTGAATAATCAGTTGAACTTTATTAATTACATGTATTAATTACAACCTTTTTGACGAAGACACAGATTAATTTCTCTGACGTACTGAAGTCTTGCTTTAACCTTTCATGAATTTTCTGATGGTGACTCTTTTTTTTGCATAATTTGATCTGTCTCAAATAAAATATAACCATTTGCTCTTATATACCAAAGCAAATGTAACCTCACATTTTCTTGCAGATTGACTATGTAAAATTACTTGGAGCAAAGTATTGACCAATTTCTGTAAATGTTGTGAGGTCATTTTCATTAATGTCTTCTTTGTCGCAGAATAACCCTTACTAGGCACAATGTGATGAAATATAATTCCCAGCGTAATATGACAGGAACTCCAGCATGTTTATATAATTAAGGATTGCCCAATATATACAGTATATGTAATCCCAAAGCCAGGTTTTTCACATCAGAAATGTGATAGCCTCATACAGGCTTTTGTTCCTAATAAATTCTGGTCAATTTACCCCAAATTTCGAAGATTTTCCATATTTGAAACTTTACTGACTAAAAAGTAAAAGGGCAACCTTGAAAATTTTAGTGTGTGCCCTGTGGATTTTTGACAACAACCCCCCCCTCCCCTTCCTTCTGGAAGACATCTTGATTGCTTTTAGCACAGAGGTATTTGTCTAACTAATGTTTTAATTCTCACAAAATGTCTCAAAGCCTTTTCATGTAGGAGTAAACTGAAAAAATCCTGTGTCTATTATCTTTTTCTGGCCTAAATTGTCAAGGAATATGTCTATATAGGCAGTCTTAGAAAGCACATATTTTCATTGTCATCCACATCCATTGTCATTATAAAAGCCATTGCAAAATGGTTGAAATTGTGCCTTAATCCCTGTTGATTTGGATGGATAGAAGAGGACAAAATAATGTACCAGGCAATTTTTAGAGCTATGATTATAGAAAGCCTGATTTGCAGCAGTAATATTTTTTTTTGTTACCTAGAAGGGAAGATTATTGTTTTGAAAATGGCCTTTATATTTTGGAAATGTTGGCCAATTCTTCTTTTCCATGTAGGAGCTAATTTAACCTGTCTGAAATAAATGTTTTTAAAATTGAAGTCACTGTAAAAACAAGAGACCCATGGGCCACAACACTCACCTGAGAATTGTGGCCCTGCTGTCCTTCAGCAGCAGATTTTTTCCCCTTTGTATACCTATGTAAAACTGTGATCTCCTATTGTGACCCATCCTACCCCGGGAGGGGGGGGGGGGGTCATGATTTGAACAAATTTGAATCTACAGTACCTGAGTTCTAATTAAATATGACTAATCATGGCTTTATTATTCTTGAGAAAAAGATTTTTAAAGAATTTTTCCTACACCCTATGTAAAACCCATTTTTTGCTAGCCAAGGGTGACAATCCATTTCTCTTCTCTTTTCACCATGTGTAAAATTTGTTCACCCATTATTGCCCCACCCTATCCCAGGGGTCATGATTTTGAACAATTCTGAATCTATACTACCTGAGGATGCTTCCATATCAATATGACTTATCATCTCTTTGCTGTTCTTGAGAAGAAGATTTTTGGGGAAAAAAAATTACCTATAGATTCCAATGTAAAACTGTATTCACCCCTTGTGACCCCACCCTTCCCCCAAGTGTCATGATTTGAATAAACATCTACAATATATGTAATGAAGCTTTTTCATAAGTTTAATTTTTTTCTGGCACGGGGTTCTTGAGATGAAGATTTCTAAATGATGCCATTAAATTTTCACTAATTCTTAATTATCTCCCCTTAAAAGAGGGCATGGCCCTTCATTTGAACAAACTTGAATCCTCTTCACCCAAGATGCTTTGTACCAAGTTTGGTTGAAATTGGCCCAGTTGTTTTGGAGAAGAAAATGAATTTTTGATAAGTTTATAACAATGAGGCTAACGACAACAATGAGGATGACAGAGTAGGAACAAAGTTTGATCAGAAATATTAATATTTATTCCAAAATATGTGTTGAAGTAATTATAATCTCTTTTCAGTTATGTAACTTATGTGAGTCTGACCTAAAGGAGAGGAAAATAGAGGAGATAGATATAGCTTATGATGAAATTTCAGAAAAACATTACAAAGAAGCTGAGGTTAGTGTATTTAAGAATCCTGTGACAATTTTATCTTGAAGAACTTGTACATGTACTTGTGAGAAAGTATTATTTTATTTGTATCCTTTCTGAAAGGGTTAAGGGTGCGGTTTCCGTCATAAATGCTGATTTTTCCTAATTTTTTGTTTTTTTATGTGAACAGGATCCTACAAAGTTTGTTTCCAAGAAAACAGGAAGAGGTCCACTTTCAAAGGGTTGGAGGGTGAGCTAAATAAATACTCGGAAATTTATGTTTGAAAACAATGTTTCAAAGTTTGAAACAAGATTATGTCATAGATTATATCATATTTGATAATATAAAGGTAAATCAATTTGTAATATTAATATTCTGCTTTCCTTCCAATATATAATTATGTCACACTAATCTCTGTACTGAAAAATAAAGTTTACAAAGGAAATGGTTTGAAGGGTAAAATTAATTATTTCCTATGTACTTTGTACGACAAGTTTTGATTGGTAAACAAGCCGGGTGTAAATTTCCATACACTCAGCTGAAACGGGGGGTAAATAATGACGTGACACAATAAACTAGACTCTCTAGCAAAAAGAGTGAAAAAAGTAATATCATGATGCATTGTAGCAGATAGTCAATCTTATTAATGATTTTATATACCATTGTATAAAATCATTGACTAAGGTATCAACTTTATTTGGTTACAAAGGAAATAAATTTGTTGTCCAGGTCCAATCATTAATATTTTGATTAAATCCGGATATAACTAATGTTCATTTTGTGTGAAAATGATACATGCTCTGTACATGATGTTTTGTAAATAATTGATATGATTTAATCCCTCTCCTCTCAAAATATATTTTAACCTCAAATTTATTAAAATACCAACATTTGATTTTCAGGATATTGTTAATCCTATAATGTGCTCGTATAAAGCAGTGAAAGTGAAATTTGAAGTCTGGGGACTCCAAACAAAAGTAGAAGAATTCACTCATAGAGTAAGTTATTTTGCAATTGTAGATATTTTACAAAGAGTACAAATTATACATTTTAATTAAGGTACAATGTTACTAAAATGTCTATCATTTGAATTTTATATATTAGGTATGAATACTGATTGTTCCCACATCATAAATTTTAAAGGAAAAAAAAAGCATGTTGGTCCAAATTTATTACTCAGGTATATACATATATGTATATATAAAGGGCCCATGTTTGAATGCTATATTTCTAAGTTTAGGTTTGTAGGCTAAGTTTGAGAATTTTAAATGAAGATTGCATCTGTTTGACTAACACTGTTTGAATAGTAGTGTTTGTTATCCATTGTATATAAACAGATGTTGAATAATCTGATGTTATATTATCACAGTGTATCAGGGACATCCTCTTACTGGGACACAGACAAGCTTTCACTTGGATAGATGAGTGGTTTGGTAGGTATTTTAGTAGTAGTAGTAGTAGTAAATTTTATTTATAGTCGGAATATATACATTTAACAAAAAACATGAGCTTTAAGGCTCTTTTACCGACTAGTAACATAGAAACACATTTAGCACAAATAAAATGTACATATACATATAAGAGAAAACATGCTTAAATTTGACATAGACAGAAGCACATAAAACACAAGAATGGAACTAAAGACACTGGTAAACACACATAAAAAGGACATAAAAGACACAACATAAGAAAGCACACAAACACACACATATATAACAAAGATCATGCACACACATATATAAGAAAGAAAAAAAAAAAAAAAAAAAAAAAAAAAAAAAAAGAGGGGTTAAGATAGCACTAATATAGTAAAATCATAACTTAAAACCAACAAACAGTAAGCTACAAAGGGGGAGACATCAGGTATGAGGCTTAAAAGTCTGGAGTCTGCAAGAACTACATTTACAATTTATTTCTCCACACCAAGATGAAATGTAGTTTGAAAACTGATTATAGGAGGAGAATTTCCTGACTTCATTTGGCAGGGAGTTCGAGCTTTGCTGCCTCATACCTGAATGATTTCATTCCATACCTTGTTGTTCTTGGTCTTGGGACCTCTGCAGTATTTGTATATCTAAAATTGTATGAATTATTTTTATAAACAACTAGGTCTTGCAAAAAGACAGGACTTAAACCTTGGATAATTTTAAAAGTTTCTAGAGCAATGGCTCGCATTCTTCTAGTTTTCAGGGATGGTAGTTTAGATTTATTTAATAAACTTTCATATGAGCTTTTATAATCTTCATAGATAAATCTTAAAGCCCTTTCCTGAATTTTTTCTATTTTACGAGTGTTTTGCTCTGTACAGAAGTGCCATGTTAAAGGACAATAACTGAAGTTGGACATTATGAAAGAATGATATATTGTAAGTTTACCTAACTTAGTTAAATGCTTTCCTATTCGTTTAAGAACATTTAATTGCCTTGCTGCCTTTTTACACATATTTGTGATATGTGTATCGAATGACAACCTGAAGTCAATGGTGATGCCTAGAAGCTTAACCTCATCATCACAGGGAATTTTGACTCCATCTAAATCAAATATAATGTTCTTACTTTGTGTTTTGTTACCAATAGAAATTGCCTGAAATTTTTCAGGATTAGCCTGCATTTTATTTGAAGAAAACCATCTAATGAGAGATCTACTGTCATATTTTAAACCTGATGAACAGATTAACATAAAAATTGGCCTTATAGAAATAAACAGTTGACGTTTACGTAACTGCTGATTGAATTATGTGTTGTTAACAAATTGAATGGAATTATTGTCCTCAGAATTATTAGCATGCAATCTGATCTCTACAATAGCACATACAACTGATGTTAAAGTTGGATGTGTTCATTCAACCTTGAAAACTTGGTTTCTGGATTATATTTCCACTAAAAAGTAATATGAAAACTGTACTAGAAAATTGACAAAGTCATACAGGACCTATAGTACCCATTCTTATAATTTCGACCTATTGAATGTGACCATGACCTTTGAGCAAGTGGCTTCAAAATCTATAGAGGTCTCTTTCAATTGCATAATGAATAAGAAGTCTGCATGCTGAAATTGATTTTTTTTGTACCAAATGAGTTTCCCTGTAAAAAAGAAAAACATTTTGATCTTGACCTTTAATGAAAAGGTTGAAATCTATAGATGTCATCCTCTTAACATTCAGGTATGAAGTGAAAATGTTCCTTTTAGATTAAAAAATTCCCAAGTTGCAGTACTGCATTATGTGAATATCTAAAGTCTGGACCTTTGACCTTGACCTGTATTCAAAAAATGTCTTCTTCGTCCCAATCTTTATGTAGTGAGAAAAGAAGATTTTATTTTTAAACTAAAATCAAAGTCATTGCATCACAGTGGTCATTTGAACAATCTTGACCTTTTTAGGGTAAGGGTTGGGTAAAATCTTATAAGCACTTTCCATTTATTGGTTTATTTGAACCAAAACAGCCTCAAATAATTTTTTTGAAGCAAAAGTTAGCAGAGAAATCTTCATTTATCCATTGTGACTATGTGTTTTATAGATGTGGTGTAGAAATTGAAGTATTCTTCCACTTCTGTGTTTAATTTGGAGGACACAGATTCATTATTGTTATTATGTACTGCAAAGAAAGTAGTTTTTAGGTGAAAGAGGAAGGAAAAACCTTTATATGTATGAATGAACACTAAACAGGTATTAAATGTGCAATCTTGAATTTACAAATGAAACAAGAGCCATTTAAACTAATATCATAATTAGGTATTCAAATGCAATCTGAAAGGGATTGAATTAAAAAAAAGTTTTCATGTTCTTATAAATACTGTAGCCAAAAAAAAAAAAAAAAATCAAAACATTTAGGTCACTTGGAAAATCAAATAAAATGAAAACTTGTTTATAAAAATATTGAATTCATAAGGTCATGTATGCCCTTTTTATTGGTGGTGACATGCACAAAAATAGACCAGATTGAAAAGGTAGATTGGAGAATGAAAAGAGAACTAGCTTGTTTATAAAAGTACATGTATTAAATTTAAGGTTGTTTACGCCTTAGTCTATTTGGTCTGACATGTGTATAAATGCCAAAAAGTAATTCAAGATATCTTGCATAAAGAGATTTTTTAAAATATTCTTATAGGTATGTCAATAGAAGACATTCGTGACTATGAGAAGAAAATGCATGCAGAGACAAACGAAAAAGTTCTGAGATGACGAAAGCAAAGAAGCTGCTCCTATTCAGCGGCCAGTATTCGGACAAAATCGGGTCAAGTGTATATCTTTTTTGTGTGTGTGTTTTTATGCAGATTGACACAATGATCTTTAAATCCAAAAACCATTCTTTTTTTTGAAAACATAAAGAGCTAGTTATAGTAAGACTTACTTTTGGCGCTTAAATGGGGTCAAGATACTAAAGCTGCATGTACAAGTTGAATTCTTTCTTTCTTTTCTTTTCTTTTTTAAAAAGATGATGCATTTGAGTCTCTATGTACATGTATTTAACTTATAATCACTCAAAGGATGAGTTTTCAGCAATTATAGTTAAATTTGAGAGCCACTATTATTGTAGCTATATTTTTAAATCATGGAGTCATACATGTTTTTTAAGTTGAAAAATGTGTACAGGTTTGATAACAGAATGATCTCGTTCTATTTGTGCAGGTTTATCATGCTTCCAAAATGACATGTTAAATATTGCATTGTTTTTGAGGGTTTATGAAGTTATATAGAAAGTTTTCAAGAAGCAATATTAAAGCTTCTAGTGTTACTGTAAAAAATTCAAAACATGAACAATGCAATTATAGTGCAATATGTTGCCAGTGTAACATGGAAAAAATTTGCACGTAATTTACACCCATATGTCCCCTTTTTATAAGCACATCTGCTGCAATACATTAAACTAGATCAATCAAAACTATTACATTATTAATGCAGCTCTTGTTTGTTTGTGTAAATATTGTCAGGAATTTGACACCCAGATGATCTATAATCAAAGGTATATACAAATAAGTTTCTGTGAGTTTTTCTTGGTGAGAATGATTAAATTTGTGAAACAAGTATATGTTACTGTAATTTCAAGGTGGATCTCATTTTGTTAGCAAATATTATTAAAGAAATTATTCTTTCTGCAAGTTCTCTGAACCTGTTTATTTTGTTTTTAAACCATCTTAGTGTTTTTAACCACAACATAGAATTTAATTTTTTTTTGTCATTTTAAACATGGTTTTCATGTATTATTAACGAGGTTCGCTCCTGAGCTTTTGAGCAGATTCTTATCTTAACCTATATTTCAAAAATTCTGCATAATGTTTTAATTCTTACAATAACTTTGGATTCTACAATGCCAATTTAACTATATTCAGTTAAAACTCCATGATTAAATTCCATACCAAAAGAATTAAGTGAGGAACTATATTTTGTGGCGGAAGGTTTTTTAGAAGAAAATGATCATTTTTTCTCTTTCAAAGTATTTAAAGTATGTTAAGTTTGGATTCTTATTTTTAAATGCAGGCTGCACACATAGTTACAATGTATTTTGTGCAGTGGACTGTTTTGTACTGGTACTAAATTATCTATTAAATAAACTGTCATGAATTTTATCATCATATTTGATAAATATAGCAAATATATTGTGGAAATGAAGGAAAAAAATAGCCCTAATTTAAGCTTAAAATTAGCACTATTTTAGTAATATCTAAAAATTAACATCACAGACCCCCACTTTTAATTTTCTTTTCTGAATATATACGATACTTTTAACCATTCTTCTTAAATTCAGTAAAATGTCATTACTGTCAAATGATTTTTTTGCTTGTTAAATTTTAATGCCAGAAAAATGAGAATGTTTGAGTGCAAAAAGGTCAAATAATTGAACATGCGGAGTAATTCGAAAATTTCTTCGTTGTTAAAAATTTTAATGTGTCTATTTAAGATGAAATAAGACTGTGTTTGTTCACCATAATTTATTTGAAAAAAAAATATTGAAGGAAAAACTTTAAAAATTGATTTATGTGTAAGACGTATTTACAGTGCAAAAAGGTCAAACTAAATGCTCTGTAGCGCCAAAAGAAGCGCATTGACCCCCATTTTTTGTTTTGATTTTTAATAAAGTTATATGTATAAATTCTAAAAATATACTTGATAAAAAATTCTCATTACTTTTGATGGCAGGATCCAACCTCCTTAAAGTATTTTATGAATGGTGATATATGTATTCATTTGCTCATTCACATTATAAATTCAATATATATATCAATACTACATGTATGTATATGTGCATTTTTATAGGGTAATATTTTTCATTGTTTGTCATCATTTGCATTTAAATAGATTTGATTAAGTGTCACAAGAATACTAGTATCCCAATAGTAACATTCCAATTGTATTTTAAAATGGTTCAATTTTCCAAATGTCACATAGTGAAGGATTTGAATTAACAAATAATTTTAGGTGTCCTGAATTTCTCAAGTACATGTATTTACATATCAGGTAAATCAGCTACCTTCCTTAGTACCTATATATGGATATATTATTACAATATTTAATATCTTGACCATTTGTGCTAGATTTGGCAATCTGAACCCTTCCCATTGGTGATATCCCCTTACTTTGTATTTTGAAGAAAATTGAATGTAAAACTTGATGAAGTTTGTTATACAAGTAAGAATTGTAAGCATCTTACCAGGAAACAAATATAAAGTCATAACCTTGATAGGCAGCTAGCTAGTGTAGACAATTCAACCCCAATGTTATATATATATATATATATATATATATATATATATATATATATATATATATATATATATATATATATATATATATATATATATATATATACAGTAGCAGATCCAAAATTCTTGGAAAGGGGGGCCAACGAATTAATGGTCTGGGAGACATAATGTATAATAAATGCAATATCTAAGAACAAAAAATTGATTTCTTAATCTTAATACACTTTATATATTTTGGATTTTGGATCATAAAAAGGAGGCTCAGACTCCCTGCCCCCTCTAAATCCACCAGTAATCTAGTATATAGGTCAATTGTTACTGATACTGGTTTTATACAGTAGAATTTTTTTTTAAAAAGAAATATTATATTAACCCTACAATCTTGAGTCATAATGAGAAAATAAAAGATCAAAACTGGAATTTTTTAACCTTTCAGATACTTCCTATCATTATGTATTTACTCAGACCTTCATAAATCATATATGGTATACATGTACATGACTATACTGTATTGCAGGTTTTCTTGGTGGATGTAAAATTAAGCGTTTTGGTTGCTAAAGGATTTGCCAATAATTTTGTAATTTTGGCAGAATTTATTTAAGCGTACACAAGGTTTCATAACTTTGAAAAAGAACATTTAGAAGAATACTCAATATTTTAGTCACTTGCTGTATTAAAAAAATTTTAGCAAGCTCCTACCAAAACCCTAAAATAAGCCAAAATTAGCACCCTACTAAAATAATCGGCTATACAGTATTCTTTCAAAATTACATGATATCATTTGTTTTTGCCATGTACTATTATTAAGTAGTCATCATTTGCCATGTAAGTTGTTTTAGCTTTGCCATATCTACCATTGTTTTTGCTCATTATTTAAGATACATGTAAAAACAGTGTTATTTCAAAGCAATTTTGTCCTTCTTTTTTTTTTTAGAAACAATTGTTGACTTGTTATAATTATCCAAAAATTTCTGTGATTTTAAATTGGTGAACTATACCTGAAAATGGCTTCGAGTTGTTGTTAGAATTTGCTGTCAACTTGCTGTCAATTCCCTAACAAAAGAGGTCTCTAGAATTTGAGAGATCCATTTTTGGACCCACCCCCAGGAGGATTGATTGTAAAATCCTGGATCTACCCCTCTTATAGATGTACTCCCAGCAGTCATTTCCCTCACACAGATCTCATTCTTGTTTGACAGTACAGGCTGAAATGTCAGTATTCTACAAATTTTGGATTGATACCAACAGTTTATGTGTGTGCCATTTTTTATGGAGAGGGCCTATTTAGGTATTGTGAATTGCCTTGTTCAGTTAGTATGTATTGTTCATATGTATTGTTAATATGGTTTTATTCGATTTTATTGAAAATTTTGTGCAATTTGCAAATGATTCTCATATCATAAGGCCATATTGGTTATTTTTTTGTATCAGTTCAGTGGATTGGCTCTTTATTATTACTGTTTACAGGGATGTACTTACAAGATATAGAGTTATTTTAATATTTCTCTGATTATAGTTTGCAGTGAATTGACTTTTCCATTGATGTCATTATGAAATCCTATTTTTTTTGAAAGCCTGTGTGTTACTCAAAATTACTCTTTCATTGTCCTTGTAAATGTATTCAACTTTATTTTTAAAATGCAGAAAGGGACAGACAAGTAGTAAACTTTTCACAATGTGTAAAATTTTTCATTGACAGAACTATTTGAAAAAGGTATTTATATAAATAAAAATACAAAATCTGACTCTTTGTGCATTTTTTTCAACAGTGTATAATTGTAAGAAGTAATTCACTTGATCGCTACTGCTTTGAAGTTAACTCAGTACTTTTATGTGCAAGTAACATGCAAAGCCAATTATTGCACAGAGCATTTTTTTTATAGCTTTTTCCTCATGTCCTAACAAATTCTTGAAAAATGAAATCAAAGTCAATCCATAATTTTTGGAACCATATGAATTATCCATCAAAGGCCCTTTAAGAAGGTGTTTTCCTAGTCAAATGCCTCAATCACTAGCCATTATGCAACCTTCTTAAAGGATGCATGCATTCATCACATTATGTAGGTACTGATTGTGAAAAAATAACAAGATGTGTTTGTGAAACACTGATGCCCCCCTTATGGTAGTTCAAGGCCAAGATCGAAGTTTTCAAATCATAGGTCATACCAGTAGGTCAAATTCCAAGATCAAGAGTTGAAAAATGGTGGTACCCAAAGAAAAGTCTTGTCACAAGGAATACACATGTGGAATATGAAAGCCTCATCACCAAACATTAAGAAAATATGGCTAAGGTTAAAGTTTTTCAAAGGTAGGTCATACTCCAAGGTCATGAGGTCAAAAATATTAGTACCAAAGGAAAGGTCTTATAACAAGGAATATGTATGTGAAATATGAAAGCCCTAGCATCAACTGTTCAAAAGTTATAGGCAAGGTCAAAGTTTTGTTTTGTTTTTTTTTAAATGTAGGTTAAACTCAAAGGTCAAGGTCATGGGGTAAAAAAAAGTTGGCATAATAAGAAAAGTCTTGCACAAGGAATACAAATGTGAAATATGAAATCCCTAGCACACCATTCAAAAGTTATGCTAAAGGTTCAAGTTTGTCAAGAGAAGGTCAAACTCAAAGGTCAAATGTAAAAAAATATTAGTACCCAAAGAAAGGTCCAGTCACATGGAAAACAATAGAAATATAAAAGCCCTAGCACCAACTGTTCAAAAGTTATGGCCAAGGTTTGGTAAAATTTTGTAAAAGTAGGTCAAACTACATGTATAAGGTCAAGATATCAAATATGTTGGTTCCTTAAGGCATGCAGGTCCTGACACAAGGAATACATCACAGGTGAAATATGAAAGCCCTAGCACCAACCAATGCAACCATTCAAAAGTTATGGGCAAGGTTAAAGTTTTTGCAGATAGATAAACAGACAGATAGATGGACAGGACAGACCATAAACTATATGCCCCCGAATCTTCGATTAGGGGGGCATAAAAATTAGATCCTTTGATTCACCCACATAAATATCTTAGGTAGCTCAAGAGATTTAATTATAAATAATTTAATTTTGTTTGTATTCTAGCCTCTGATTGGTTAATATCCAAAAAGGAACACAAATTATTTCTGTGTAACCTGGTTTGGTATGGGGACACACCCCCCTGACAACTAGCTGAATCATCTGTATGCATACAATCCTCTCATTTCCAGTCCTCGGGATTCATGGAAAATTCCAGATTTAATAACTATACCTTTAACTTCAAACAATAATTCGATCTTACCACATGTAAACAAGCTGCTAGGCCTATGTATCAGTTTTTACCTCCCCTCGCTTCCCATCACTTCCGTTACTTCCGTTACTACGGTTGTATTATTGAGCGGCAAATTTGAACTAATAAAAAGCAACGAAATTTTACACCCATATTTATTTAATGATTTTAAAATTAAATTATAAGGAATGACTCTAATTCTTGGCCAAATTATTCGAGTATAACCTGGTTTGGGTCAGTTTACGCTGTTTTATAATCCGCTTCGTGGATTATAAAGCGTAAACTGACCCAAACCAGGTTATACTCGAATAATTTGGCCAAGAATTAGAGTCATTTCTAATTAATTATAATTAGACTACATACAGTAGGTAGCTATCAAATCTGAAAGTGAATCTTCCCACTAATTTATCTACATTGTACACTCTGTCCAGGTTTGATCAGATCTTGATTTGCAGTCTAGCCATCAAGAAAGGTTGATGGGTATAATAAATTTCATAGCTTTTTGTTTACCGGGTAACATATAATCATACTGAATATGTTCAAATACTCTAACTTTATTGTAATTATACTTGCACAACAGTCAAGTACATATACAGCGTATATAATATAATAGGCAAATGTAATACCACTTGTAAAACAGCCACTAAAAGATAGCAAAAGTTTCAGAAAAAGTACCTGAAACAAGCACCACTTAAACATGTATATTACATGTACGAGGATTGTCCATAAAGTTCGTGGACAAGGCGTTTTTGTCAATTTGAGTGGTTCTACAATACATGTATACATGCTGTATACCGAAATATTTGTTGTGAAAATCCAAGTCAGGATAGTTTGATTTGGAGTGATTGAACTTAGTTTTTTTGTCAAAGTCACCATTTTTAAAGGTTGCAGATAGTGCCAATGGCCCTGAGGGTTGAAATGTTATAAATTTTGAAATGAAGTTTTTGGATTAAAATGATTATCTTATACAGAAAAGGAGTCAAAGTTCAATAAATTAATTAAGATTTAATGTCTCGTAAAAAGGCAACTCCCATTTTTTCCTTGTATCTTTAATATCGGTTCTTGGACCACAAATAGAAACATCAAGAAGAAATGCAAGAAATATGTCTTTGAAAATGCAAGAAAAAGGAACGTCAGCCATCTGAACAGAGCTGCATCCAACCATAAAATTATGTGTTGATATGATTAAAACGGCATCAGAGACAAAATAATTATTTAATCAACTGGGAATATTATAACAGATTTAACTGAAAATTGTTTTAATCTTTAAACATTTACTAAAGCATGGTCTATATAGTAAAACTTGGCAGTGTGGTCATCATTAAGAAAATTATAGCATTTGTCTACAAAATTTATGGACAACCCTCGAACATATACATTGATTACTTAATAACCTGAGTAAAAACTTTGCAGTACATTGAAGTTCATACTACTGAGACACATAATACATATTTTTTACAGCAGTTTTATTTTTGACCAAGTAAAACCAAGAAAATAACCTTAAAATATACATGTAGATATATACACAGATTCTAATTAAAGTAAAAATATTTTGTTTACAAGTGAAAATATATCTGAGCAAAGTGAAAGCCATTATACAATCCATCAACTTTGACAAAAAAATAAATTACCAGGTACAGAAGAACAAGATGTACGTGTACAAAATTTAAAAGATTGTCTATAACTATATCTATGGCTCTGATGTTATGCTATAGTTACTACAACAAGATATATTAACAGGTTGAAATGGTTATTTTGATTAACACAACAGTTGATGTCATCATTCTCCTCTTTACAACAAAAACTGATACATTTATTTTATCTGTTTTCAAACACTGACACTAACAATTTCATTCTCAAGTAAACAAAATTCATTCGATGAAAACCTGACATCTTCTTCACTCAAAGTAATCTTGTTTGATTGTAATTTTTTTTTTTTAAATTCTTTGGACACATAAATAATGATTACTTTTAATACTTTAAATATTCCTTCTATAATAATGGTAATAAGGTCATACATAATGTGGAATTCTATTTTCTAGAAAAGTTGTTCTGTACAGATTTAGGTTCATACACACACAAAACTAAATGCTACTAAATTCCATTAATACATGCATATCATTCAAGTGTCTCATAAACTTCATTAAGGTATCTATTTCTCTATAGGGAAAAAAATCACTAATAGATGGAAAGATGTAAATAATGTAACAAAATAAAAATAAAATAAAATCATGGAATTCAATATATACATGTATCACATATATCTAAATAAAATTTTTTTTAAAAAATGACTTTAAAATGCTGGCTTTAAAAGAAAACATTTTTTAAGAACATTCGTAGCACTTTCTATTAATTCCTACCGATTCAGAATTCAAAGCACCCAAATAACACCACCAGGGTATGTTCTTTTTGATATCGTCTCTGATTCACCTTTTAAAAATATTTTGACAACAGCAATTATAACAATGTACCGGTTCAACACAACAAATGTACATGACAACTTTGGTGCCCTGACAACTATAAAGGAACAGAAATGGTTGTGTGTGACGGACTCTCTACATTCGCCTTGGACGAGGTACGGCGCCGTATAGATTGTGTGAGTTCATTTGTTTCATTCTGTCGCTCATCTTCAGTGGCATTTTCATCCAACTGACGCTTGGCAAACTCAAGGAACACCTTTTACATATATAAAAACAAAATATTTAAGAGAAACTTGCTTAATGGTAAATATAAATATATATATCACACTTAAATGGTATTGGATAAGAAATGTGACAATTTTTACACCAGCTTTGTTTTGACCAGATATTTTCTTCATTAATTGCTAAGTCATTTTAAAACCTAACAAAAAATTGCTTTTGAAATACATATACATGATTTTGAAAGAAAATCCCCACTAAAATTGAAAGTAATTATTGTATAATTTATACACTACATCCGATGATAGTAATTATCTCCCTTTACATCTACCCACCTGCTCCAGAGAAGATTGGCTGAAATTATACTCCTCCATGTCATGTGTTCTCTTGCCTGAAAATGAAGAATGACCTTGTACAACAAATATTATAAATATAATATATGACCTTGTACAACAAATATTATAAATATAGTATATGACCTTTTACAACAAATATTATAAATATAGTATATGTTAATAAGGAACTAAGTAAATCGGGTACATGTATACTAACTTCAATAAAATCTTACATATTAATGTTAGGGTGATGATTTCATTGCAAGAAAAAAAGTCGACAAATTTTCTATGATTTCTTGTTTAATGATGTCCCTATTGATTTGATCATTATGTTTCTGCCATTTTCTGTTTGAAAATTTTTATTTTTCATGATTATGCTTTTTTGAAGCAAGACATTATTACCATGGAACACTTTTTTTTATCTCCACACACAAAGGATGAACTTGTTTGCTACCTATTCTAGATCAATAAGGAAGAAGATATTCTCAAATAAAGTTCATTTTTACAGATCCATAAAATGTTATTTCCCAAAAACTGGATATAAATTTAATAAAGCATCATGTGCAAAAAAAAAAAAAAAAAAAAAAAAATAGTGATAGAGGAAGGTTAAAAGTACATTCAAGTACTTTTTTTTAAACAAATAGCTAGATTCACTTTATGTAGAAAAAGGCCTAGTAGTTTATATATGCACCTCAGTTACATATAATGGATTGCATATTATGTCCCATGCTAAACATTAAAATAAAGACTTTTAAAATGCTTTCATTATCCATGAAAAAAAGTTCATCTGAGAGTCCATGCATATATTGGATAACAGGATTTTGTGAAAATTGCAATGTTCTTGAATTTTAAACTTGAAGCAAAACAAAAAGATTCAATGAATTAAAATCTCTCGCTCACCTTCCTCCAGAGATGAGAAGACATGAGCTAAAGATCTGACGTTGTTCTTGGGCACTTTGTACTGAGCTCGTAATCCAAATCTCTCCACAATAATGGCATCAGGAAACATGGTGAAGACGTATTCTTCCAATGTATCCATCCTCTGATCCACGGACTCTGTCGACTCATTAGCTGCCCCTGCCTTCAGCTTCACTTCTAGTATGTATCCACTGCCAAATTTGTTCTTCAGGTGTTGTGTAGGTCCAAGGCATCTTAAAAGTACATGTATATCAACTTACAAAATCAATTCTTCTACTGTTGATTTAAAGCACTATGTAATATTACATGCACTAAAAATATCTGATTTTTATGTGAGTGTATGTAATTCATCACGTCCAAAAAAAAAAAACACAAAACATTATTTTATGTACTGTAAATCACTTTATTTGCGAGAACTTTATTTTCGCGGAAATTTCTTTCTCATGTATACATGTATAACAATTCCTAAAGATTATATATAGAGCAATAATCACAATTCCTGAAAATTTTGTCATGCTTATAAAGAGTCAATGACTATCTCGCAAAAATAAAGTTTGCAAAAATTAAGTGATCTACAGTATTGTAAATAGTACTGCATTGAAACACATACTTCAAGGATTTTCTTTGAAGAGCAGATACAAGTCCTTTGAAGAACATATTAAACTGGAACTGTCCAAAAGGGACAAATACCCCCAGCTGGGTTTTTCAGAGAAGGTACCAAATCACTAATGTTTTCTAGATGTGAGAGGTGTTCACAATTTGCTTAAATATTTAGAGTGAAAATTTAATTACTCATATTTTTTCGAATGAATGAAACTAAGGTGCAGCCTAATAAAACATCAATACTAATAAGTATAGTGTTTTTCATTACATTGAAAAAATAGTTTGCAACTATCTGTCATCTTCGTGAGACATGACACTCTGCAAATTGATTGTTGAAAAAAAACATCATAATTAAATAATTTAATTTTGTTTGTATTCTAGCCTCTGATTGGTTAATATCCAAAAAGGAACACAAATTATTTCTGTATAACCTGGTTTGGTATGGGGACACCCCCCCTGACAACCAGCTGAATCATCTGTATCCATGCAATCCCTTCATTTCCAGTCCTCGGGATTCATGGAAAATTCCAGATTTAATAAATGTACCTTTAACTTAACAGTAATTCGATCTTACCACATGTAAACAAACAAAAAGGCTGCCGCTAGGCCTATGCATCAGTTTTTACCTCCCCTCGCTTCCCATCACTTCCGTTACTTCCGTTACTACGGTTGTATTATTGAGCGGCAAATTTGAACTAATGAAAAGCAACGAAATTTTACACCCTTAGTTATTTAATGATTTTAAAATTAAATTATAAGGAATGACTCTAATTCTTGGCCAAATTATTCGAGTATAACCTGGTTTGGGTCAGTTTACGCTGTTTTATAATCCGCTTCGCGGATTATAAAGTGTAAACTGACCCAAACCAGGTTATACTCGAATAATTTGGCCAAGAATTAGAGTCATTCCTAAATTATACAAAATCAAATTGATCTTAATACCTTTATATCAAACTCATTTTAAAAATAAAAGGCTGGTTCCAGTAACTATGTATTTTGACAGACATAAATTACAATTAAGAGACTTAGACAACAGAGATCTTTATTTCTTTCTGCCCAATCCCCTGGAGATATAGATAAGACCTGCTTGATCAGAGATGCCCTAACAGCTTCCCACACTGAACTCATTAATTAATCTTTAACTGGATGCATGTCCACTCATTACTCCCAAGGGACAAATGGATTTACACTATCTTCTGTGTAATGTAAAAACTGTTTTTAATACTTTGTGATTTTTTTATTAGTTCTAATGAGTAGTTTTAAGCTGTAGTCCACATTTTTGTACAGATATTCTAGATTCTATGTCTCAAACCTTAGAAATGAACCTGAAATGACCAAGTCAATAAAAATGAAAAAAAAAACACCTGTAAAATGCAGAAAAATTATCCAATAATGTTGAAAATACCAGGTGCACACATCCATATGGCGAATAATAAGTGTACAAATTTTCAGACAAATCCTTGCAACAGTTTCCAAGAAATGGTCCGGACAAAATCTCGTCTACAGACAGACGGACAGACAGACGGACATGCTGATTCCAATATACCCCCCTAAACTTTGTTTGCGGGGGGTATAATTAAAGTATATGTAGTATATGTATAGATAAATTGTTGATAATATTACAAGTATCTCACTCACTCAAGCTTTCCATTGACCATGATTCCTACACGTGAGCAGAGAGCATCTGCCTCTTCCATGTAGTGAGTTGTAAGAATGGATCCCCTCTCTCTGTTCTGGAAACTGCTACTGATAGTATCCCTGTAAAAATTATCACAATTTTCATGGATACTGTTCCAGTCAAAACATGACTCATTAACTCCAACCTAGATTAATTTGTATAATATGCAACTTTAAAACTTGATAGTTATAGTGATACTTGTACATTTCATTAAAATAACTATAGGTAAAAAATATATACATGTATAAAAATTTACAAAATTATTTGATACTTTTAAGGTTAAAAAAAAAGAAAGAAAAGAAATATATGTCAGACAATTTTAGGATACTTTTAAAGTAAGAAAAAAAAGTCAGACAAGGATATGAACCTTGACCTATTGAACTTTGGGCAGGTGCTTTGAGCAATTTGGGCACCAGCAAATGAATATGCCTGACCAGGGATATTCAAATGACCAAACCTTCAAAATCTTAGACAAAGGTACCATAGGCCCTGATGTGGTCCCATTGGCCTTAATGGCCACCTGAGTATGCTCAGGGCAATCTCCTTCTTATTATATGCAAGGTTCTAAAGTTCTTATTTTACAAACAAATTTTTGATAATTTTTTTGGTTTCTCTGTGAGTTAGGTACATGTATATGACTATATAAAGATGATTTTTATAAATGTTCTAAAGTTTACCAATTGACACAAGCAGATACATGATGATGCTGGAAATAAATTAAGAAAAGGTCACTTGAACCATTCTGTTGACTGAAAAATGAAATTTTAAAATGGCAGAATGAAATACTAAGCATACCAAAGGAATCTTTTAGAGGCAGGGTCCATTCCAGTTGAAGGTTCATCAAGTAATACTATCTTTGGTTTTCCCAGCATGCTGATAGCATAACTCAGCTGTAAAATAATAATAAATGGATGGATAACAATTTGAATTAAGCCGGTAGTCAATAATTCCTATTTACTGCAATGTAAACCTTTGATTCCCCTACTACGACCCCATTCTACCCCAGGGAATGTGATTTGTTCAAATTTGTATGTATGACCAGATGCTTGAATGCTAGCTGGTTTGATTGTAGCCTATACAATTTTGACAAGGTTTCTAAAGATTTGTTCTATTTTTTTTAATGCCAAATTTAACCCCTGTTGAGACCGCACTGAAGTGTTTTTAAAATAATAACAATTTTCACTCCATGTATAATAATTTTAGTAATAAGCTTCCTTTCAAAAGGAGTGCAGACCTTAATTTCTTTGAAAAAAAAATGAATTCCAACAAACCAAAGATTTTTGGTCCCAAGTTAAGTTGAAGTTTCCCCCTGTGGTTTTGTAGAAGTTGAAAATGGGAACAGTTAATAATGGACTAACAGATGGACAGACAGGGACAGCAATGAAAACTTTTATCATAAAAAGCTTATTTGAGCTTTAGGCTCAGGTGAGCTAACAAACAAGTTTTAGTGCGAGTTCATAGCAAACATTATAGATAACTTTCTCACACATACAAAATTGGTTTACATAGTCTAATTCATATCTATTATGACAACAAAAAAATATCTCTTTGCTGTGGTCTTACCTTTCTCTTAGTTCCCCCTGACAGTTTCTTGGAATGTTTGTTGGCATGCTCCTGAACCTTCAGCTGTTCAATAAACCTGTAAAATAAAACATTCATTCAATCAGTCAAATTCATCATAGCATACATAGTAAATGTAAGATGATAATACAGAAGATCACCATCCTGGTTCTTACCAATCAGCAATATCATTGACTTTGTCCTCCTGCACACCTCTGATGGTTGCGTACAGGAGCAGGTGCTCCTTCAGGGTCATCAGTTCCTCCAAGGCGTCGTGCTGTGGGCAGTAGCCCATGGCCTGGAATGCTTCTGACATGCATGACTGGATATCATAGCCTCCGACTACAACCTACAGAAGGGATTAAAAGTGAAAAACAAAGGATGAAAATACATGCAGAAAAATTATCCCAAGTCTCCAAATTCTTTTATACATGTATGTATTAAGTGCACACAGTATCAGGCGTATAAAAAAATCATATTGCTTAAACAATCTTCAAAAAATGTAATCATCACATTTAATTCCTGATTATAAAGACTCTTCCCTCAAAAACAACACAAAATCTACATCTTCTATCTAACCCTGTGACAGATTACCTTCATACAGTAGTGATCATGTCTGACTTATTGCAACAGTTTCCTATGAATTTAATAATAATAATTACTTCATCTGTGTACATCTGCACCAAGAATTTACACTTATTTGAATAGATGTATAAAAACAAGCAATGGAACATTTCCTTACACGTCCTTTGGTAGGCCCCATCTCTGCAACCATCATGTTCAGCAATGTTGTTTTGCCAGCACCATTTGGTCCTAGAAGCCCAAAGACCTCTCCTTCATCTACTGCAAAGGACACATTCCTAACTGCGGTTTTTATTTCTTTTTCACCTTTACCGCAACAAGTCCGTTTGCTTTTGTTTTTCTCAAATTCTTTTCTCAGGTTTTCAGCAATTGCCACTGGGCCCTACAAATGCAACATAGAGCATATGACAAAGCATAATCTAACTTTAATTGGGTTGAATTTGGGTATCAAAAAAATTCTTAAACTTTTATTTGCATCAATTCAGTTTTGAATCAAATACTAATATGTAGATTTATCGTGCCTCTCATTAAAATCTTGAAATTTCATTACATGGTCAAGAAGAATACTGTATGAAACTAAATCAAGCTGCCTCCTGACAGCCAGCCTTACTGACATGATATTGTTAATATGCCCCTTCGTGTGACATAATGACCAGAAATCAAATCAATTTCTCCCCTCCAAGTGACCCTACTGACCAGATATAAATCAATATCCCCCTCCACGCGACCTACTGACCTAATATCAAATTCCAAGCACTGTTTTCCTCACAAGAAACCTAATAACTGATGTTACGTAAGTATCAGACAGCATCACAGTGTAAACGATTGTAAGGAATGGTTTGCTTTGCTCATAGAAAATGAACTTTATTGAAAAAACTTTGATAGAATAAATTTTTTACGCAGGCACTAAGAGGGGTAATACGGAAATATATGGGGTCCTTGAAAGAAATGCATATTGGGTTCAGTTTACGCTACATAACCAATAATACATGCACTCTGTCTGATTATTTAAAGCAGAAACTTAAATATTACATATGCCTCTATTTAAAGCAAATTCCTTCTCTCACTATTAGGAGAAATGCATGTAAATAAAATATATCCACACTGAAATACATGGACAACTTTGTATAAATTTCTTACCTTTAAATTGTTTTTATTAAATATGGCCTTGACCCTTTCTCTTTCAGCCTTGACATCATCGTCTTCATTTTGAATGACATCACTGTTTGTATGAGGGATTGTATTTTGTTTTTCGTGACAAGGAAATGCTTCTTTGACATCTCCACCAGTGTTTTTGATGTCCAACATTCGTAACAGCACAAAAACTGTTACTATATCGACAATACACTGAAATCAGAAAGATACTTCAGTCATTCTGCGATAAATGGACCAATTCAGAGTATAAAACATGAAAAAATAATTGTTTCAAATAGCAAAATGAACATCATAATTCTCTAAAGGACATATCAGTGAACTTGAAAACAAAGAATTGTCCACAAATCTGGTATCATTAACTTTTTACAACAATTTCAAGATACCATTGATCTTAAGGTAATGTTACGGAAGTTAATGCTTGATCAAGCCTTAATATTTTTTAAATAAAGCTGAATTTGACCATGTTTTCATTTCTGATGTTCAGTAAAGAACGCTAAAGTAAGATTCATGAAGTCTCGCATGAAATTGAATTAAAATTAAATTTTCAGGAAAAATATCATTACAGAGGTTAATTGTTATGGAATTTAATTCCCAGCAATAAAAGTTAAAATTCTCTTCAATAGTTAAAATAAAAGTTTGTTTTAGGATATTAAACAAAAGTATGAAGCATTTCACTCCCAAAAAAATAATTTTTTTTTTATACCTTTATTGCAAAAACTTTCCTGAATTACTGTTACGGAAGTAAATTTTTAACAGAGACAACTGTTTTTGTCCAATTCATTTTGTTATGTCGAAAAAGTAATTGTCTAAAATAGCTGACTCGCAACTAGAATCGATGATATAAGGTTCCGTGGTCACTTTCAGATAAGTTTAAGTTCTTTTTGAAATCTGCGTTCTGTGCGTGAAATTTAAAACAAAATCATTACGGAAGTTAATTGAATTTTAGCGACATGTTTATGATTTTGCATGAAAGAAGATCCATGCATTTCTTTGCGAGGAGTGGTTTGATTTCTTTTTATATAGGATAAAAAACTTTTTTTAACATTCATTGCAATCTATTTGTAACACTTTTACGGCTGAAAATTCCACCTTGAAATTCGTAAATAAATGAAGCAACATTAAGATTTTCAGTGGAATATGTTTATCAACATTACATTATGTTCATATCAAAACTTTAAATTCATATATACTGGTAAATATTTACAAAACCATGTGTGTATGTTAAGTCTTAGAGTTGACGTCGACCTTTAAATTTATAGTTAAGATATTACAACGGTTAATTTGTAAGCAACATAAAAAATTCTTAATTGGTCATGTTTTTGTAGAATGACTGAACTGTAGTCTGAAACTTGTTAACTGTGTTTTAGAATGGAATGTCTGAACAATGAGCAGGGCACTTTCTTGTCTAGATAGAACATTTTATAGTTAAAATGATATTGTCCTATGAACCTGTTTTATGGTGAGGGCATAGCCCGAGACACAGTTACATTATTCTATTTCTCGTCAACAAAGGCTACAGGTGTAGGCATGAAATATACTTTCTCTTTGTAGTAATTATAATGATTTAATCTGAAAGTAATTTTTCAGTAAGAAGCAATTTTTTTTAAAGGCTTAAGAATACGTAACAATTTTAAAATTTTTTCGGCAACTCTGTAGTAGGAATAGCATTTTTAACACTTTAATAAAAACTCACATATTTTCGAAGGGTAAAATTTTTGTGGTTTGAGGAAAAATTCATTGGTTTGAGGGGATTTAATTTTGTGGTTTTAAAAGTGTTGAGTGATTATGCATTTGAAATTTTTACATTTTTTGGTAGACATGAATTTATGGGTCTCTTACTATCATGAAAATTAAACCCCCACAAAAAATTGTGATATCACAGTGTTTGTTTAGAGAAACAGATAGATGATGGACACTTTACTATCACATTAGCTCTTCCTTTCTCTGACCAGTAGAGCTAAAAAATGAAAACTTACCAGGATGTAGGTGTAGACTATGTTATTTTCTAATTTGAAGTAATCTCCATCTTCCACAGTGCCGAGGGAATAGAAGACCTTAACCCTGTAAATCTACAAAACAAAACAAAAAACAAGACCTTTATGAAAATTAATCAGAAGAGAGAGAGAGAAAAAAAAAGAGGTGGGGGGGATTGTCGGGGTGAGCATGATATCAACGTTTCAATCTGATTCACAAAGTTTATGCTAAATCTTACCTTATCAAATGAATGTAATAATGCAGTACAGTGCTAAATCTTACCTTATCAATATAATACAGTCCCCCAAATATAATGTAGGGGGGATCAATCAAACAGAATACAATATGTAGAATTCTGGCAACATCCTGTTTATCTAACATGTCCAACACAGAAACTGCTGAATAGGGCAACAAGCCAAGCTAAAATATTAAAAATAAACATTACTATTTATAAATGAATTATGTGACATCAGATGAATTTTGTAACTTAAGTAAATCCACAAGGTACCATTTACCTTGATTCAAATATATACATTCATATAAATTTGGGCAAGGATTCTTAACACAGCTAAGTTAAAGCTTCCTGAAGCTATGGAATGCATTCTAAACAAGTCATTGCATGCAAACTGGGTTCTGATTTTGATTTTTGTTAATTATATGTACTGTAAATTTGAATTCAGTGTTCTCCTAGCTATACAAAAACAGAATTATTAGGATATATCACAAGACTTAATGGTTGATCATGGGACAGACAATCGCTTTGGCACAGGTGATTAACACAATTTTTTAATTACTTTTTCTCACATAAATGAACTCAATGTATTTTAGTGTAACTGAAAAGTGCTTGGGAAAAGACATGGTATTGCTTGTGCCCAAAATATTTCTGTAGGAGTTCAATTTACCCACACACTTGTGGGTATTTTCCACTCTGCATTGTAATTTCATAAAAAGAAAGCAAAATAATTACACATTTTTTCCTATGCAAGATTTGGTTCGAGAACATACTTCTCTCATGGATTTCCACGAAATATATAAATGACTTAAGTCAATTCTTATTAATCACCTGCAGTAGTCTCTTTTATGCACACATATTAACTACTACCTTCAAACACAGTTCATGAAACAAGGAAAATGTCAAAGTCTATTTCTTTCTTCTTTTTTTTTTGTATTCAATATATGTTGAATTTCAATCAAGAGGAATAAAATACAGTAGTACATGTACATGTTCTATGTATTAAATAATATATCTGCATCCTCATGCTTAAGACTACAACTAAAACATGTCTTCAGCAATAATGTTCTAACATTTTACATGCAGTCTAAAATAAAAAGTAAAGTTTATATGGCATTTTCCATATCATTACAGCAGTAACGTGATATCATATTTCATTATGCCATCATACCTTGCTAGTTCAGAGAAGTTTTGGATAAAAAATGGGGATTGAGTGTATGTCCTTAAAACTTATAAAGCACTAAATATCAAATAAATCTGAATCTTGAGAGTTTATATGACCAATAGCTCAAATATAAGCATTCTCTGACAGAGATTTTAGCAGTTTAATTGATTTGAAAATATTGTGTTTTGTATAAACATATAAAATTGTTACATGTTCCATAACTTATGATGGTCTATCTAATTCATTGTAATATTACAAGAACAAACATCAGCATTAATATTTAGAGACTTTTCAGCTGTCAATCTATTCTGATGATAAATTTATCCCTGACCAGTAGTTGTATGATAGGATATATATATAGAATCAATCACCTGTGTTTATCCTTCAGGTAAAAGAAAAACAAAAACAAAAACAAACAATACAATACAGTGGAACATGTACTTACAAATATAAAAATTGTTACAATAAATTGCTGACAGGTCACTGCTTTGTCAAACATGTAGGAAGCCAAGTATGAGAACATGGTCGCAGATGGAACATAGAATAGAACCAGTAGAATCAGGGACCCCACCGCTCCAGCACTGCTGAGACTGTCAAGCTGGAAAAAGTACAGAAAAGTCAAAAATATGGAGCTTCTCAATACTTCATTATCACAATACATGTATAAAGATAAAATAAAAACTTAAAGCAGCATATTACAGAAGCTTACAATGATAGGTACTTATAAACAGAAATTAAAGATGACAGTGACCAAGTATGAGGCAATATATGATATGTTTGACTGGTACTCTTTGACCTGAAGAGAAAATCTGTTGCCTGCAGCTGACGGCAACATTTTTGTCTGAGGGATCAACAAATCATTTGTTGCCCAAATCTCAAAAACTGTCAAAAACTGTTTTTTTAAACACCCTTCTTTATAAAAAAAATATTTCTATTTCTTCAGCTGATGTGTTGACAAATTAGGATGCTTTCTATATAAAAGACAACTTGTGCACACTCACATCACACACTTCTGTATATTTTGACCCAAAACTGAAAATGAAATTTGAAATTTTCACTAAATGTGTAAAAGAGTTTTGAAGTTTTATGAACATACCTGCATAATGAGCACAACTATTACACACAGAATTCCTGGAAAACTGTATTTAATTAGGTCAACACACAGGTGAGTGCCCCAGTACATCCAGAAACTGACTCCAGCAGAACGCAATTGGGTTCGGAATTTTGTCTAAAAAATAAAAATATTTGATTAATTCTGATGCTTAAAAACTGGTGACAATCTATAGATTTGTCCACTTATGAGATATCACCCTGCTGCTATTCTTGAAAAGAATTTGAAATATATATTGGAAGTATATAGGACTTTTGACCCTCATTTGGTTCCAGCAAAGCCCCCCAAAGCCATGATTGATAAATCTGAATCTAAACTCTATAAGGATGTCTATATATACATATGACTAAATGTGGCCATTTTGTTCTTGAATAACAAATTTTTCCTTCACTATATACATGTTAATTCCTACACCAAATTTTATCTTAATTATTTGTGGCCACACCTACAAATGTAGTTCCAAGAGCTATCATTTGAATTAATTTGAATCTACACTACAGGTATACACTGTATCTAAGGAGGCTTTCATTAAGTTTTGCCTTTTCTAACCCCATCATATTTAACTACATGTATTTCTTGATTATATCCCCAGTCAATTTGAATCATAAAAGCTATTTTGAAATTTAGGACAGGGGAGCTAAAGGCAGATCATCTGTAAAGCCACCAATCAAAATTACTGTAAATTCCATATTTTACGCGAGTACTTAATATCGCGAAATGGCCCAAGAGCGTCAAATCGCGGGAACAGTAATTCGCGAATCGGTGATTTATCTAGAGATTTTACATACATTAAAGCAACATAAAAATAAAAGCAAGTAATTTTTTTTCGCGAATGGTGCTTCTCGCGTAATTACGTGATAATTTATTCCTCGCGTATATTTAGGAATTTACAGTATTTAAAACAATCCAGTAAAATAAACTATGCAATTGTATTTCACTCAATAATTAAGAAAAATCAATGGCATAGAAAAGGCAAAGATATGTATACAGCTAAACTTCAGCATCCTGAACACAAATACAGTCAAACCCCGTTATCTCGAACTCCATGGGACCAAGAAAAAAACTAAGAGATATACATGTACCAGGATTCAAGATATCAAAGGTAAAATACTAAAGGAATATGTGGTTGGGACTTCCAGATCACTTCAAAATATCCATGGTATTTGAGATATTGGTGTACGAGATACTAAAGTTCAACTGTACATGTATCTTGAATACCATGAATATGTCCGAGTTGAAGTCCAAACCACTTTTCTTTACATATTTTAATCTCAGTTTCTCAAATCCTTGGATATCGCAAAATTTTTATCTTGGCTCCACTAAGTTTGAGATGATGTATGAATGCATTTCATCTATACAAACCTCTCTATCCTTCACCATATACACTGAGAATGTAGGTGCCACAGAAATGAATGCCATGCCAATAAGAATAATGGAGGAGAATGCCCCCTGGTTGTATCTGTTATTATCCTCCTTTCCCGTCCAGGGGAGATTTGTGGCAGAAATAAAAGACGTAGTGGTCACACCTGATTTGTTTGCCTGCAGGCTAAATAAGGAATTCGTCAAGGCATTAAGAATCATGGGGATACTGTGTGGAGCTGTGGCGTTGTAGAAGATGGAAAATGCACTGGCAAACTGCAAAAAGAGGAAATGAAATAAGAAGGTAATTTTTTGCTACACTAAAAGAAGACACAAAACAAAGGCAACAGCGCAAAATTGAACAAAGTGCATATTTCTATAAAGAAAAACATTTTATTAACATTACTTAAAAACCTGATCGTAATGGCCGGTACAGTTTTAATTAAGATATACTGGTACATTTATCATTGAAAAACACTTTTCTGGTCTTCACTGTAATCCACATGTTGACAATATATGTATGAACAAGATATGGCTTTTTTTCTTTTGACAATAAACACTATGAAATACAGTCTCTTTATTTGAAAAATTTGTTTTTATTTTTGCTAAAACCACATTTTTAGCCAATAGAAGAGACAAAGACTTACAGAAGTTGTGTACAGAAGCTTGGAGATATCCAATCCAGCATAATGTGGGGCTATACTCAAAAGATTGGTGGTGTTGTCAAAAACATCAGTGTAGTAGGAGCTATTTATCAGGTTTATCCAATCATTTGCTGAAGAACCTAAAAAATATTAAAATAAGTTACATTACTACATATATATAGAGGTCCTAGGAATTAAGGATTATTGATCATTCATTTTATGCAATTCACATAAATTACTAAAGGAGAAAATGTTCCTATAGATTTTAAATTCCACTGTAAAAATATTAATTCAACAGAACCAAATTTAAAAGACCCAGGGGACACAATGCTCACCCGAGTCACATTGCCCTCTCTCTCTCTGTGTCATATAAATACAGATACAAGAGTCCTTCTGGTCACAAACTATGCAAAATGCTATAAATGATCCAGAAGCCAATTATCTGGATCACCTTGCAGACAAAATTTGCGACAACACACACACAAATATACTTGCCTGAAGAAACTTTGATCAGAAAAATTCTCTAAAAACCTTAACCTCAACTTAAAACATAGAGTAAATTAAACAAACCATTAGAATTGCGAAGTAATAAATTTGGTGCTCCTGATGGTATACTCCTTGTCCTGGCATATGCCGGCAAGCCCATCAGACTAAGGGGTGTTGGTGTGAGGTCCTTTGTAACATTGGTTGCCGTTTTATTTATTACCATACCAATCACCACAAAAACAACTGGCAAAACAAGGGCAAAAATCAAATTGGCTTTATTACGGAAGTTGAGAACAGCCCACATTTTCACCATGGCTTTAAACTGCCTACTGGAGAGATTTTCAGTCTGTTTCTCAAGGTCCAGCAAATCTGTGTCAATGTTAACTTCAGTGGTGTGGACATCAGCTACAGTAAGCGGGCTAACTCTGTTCTTGTGGACATGGACATTTTCAGTGTCCATTGTTGACTCTATCAGTTCTTGCAAATTCTCAGTAGAGTCATCTTCCTCTGTAAATATTTTGTCAACATTTTGTTGCCATAAATAGAAATGCAACAATACATGCAGAAAGCTTTTCAATATTTAAAATAGGTTTGTCTATTCACACATGCCCTTAATACTGCACTGCAGTGATACAAGTGCAACATTATGACAGCCAAAAAAACTCACGATTCCTTGTTTCCTCCTGTCATTTATATTTAGTTTGCTATATTACAATTCAAGTTATACCAATAATAATGGTGTCATTTTAGACCATATGAACTCAAGCAATCATTTTCTAGAATAACTTATTAATAAAATTTTTTTTTGATCAATACACTTAATCACTACCCTACATTTGCATTGCACTAAGGAAAAAGTGGCCTTTAAAGAAATAAGCTGTATTAGACTGTGCATTTTACAAATACCTAGCTTCATAAAGACCTCCTCCAATGATGTCATGGAGACTCCATAGGACCTGATACCGAGAGTCTCGGCTTTACCTCCATCCAAGTCACTGAATAGACCTGTTAAGTTTAATAAATGTAGTACTGATAAAACATTCACTAAACAATTTTACTTGTACTATGTAAATATTTATAAAGCATGATATCTTTTTAATTCCCTATTTCACTTTTCACAAAAATGTCAAAAGTTTTATCTTCATGATTTCTAAATTGAAAACCTCTCTTGTTTAAAAAAGTTACTTTCTTTCAAGAATCTCAATTTTCCAATGCCATTTTTTAGTCTGAAGTTGTCTTTCCTTTCAAGATGTCTCGGGCAAACACTTTCATTATTTGTTCATTCTCACAATACTTGGAAACCCCCTGCAAAGGGGGGGTTGCCTAAAAGTACCAGGGTAATACTGAAATAGTGTCAGGGATTACCTACCTGAGAACTGGTCGACATTACTGAGAGGAAGTGTGTAAGAGAGCTCCTTCCCATGAACCCGAGTGAACTCTGCCCCATCCACATGACCTTTTACGAACTCTGTGACCTCAGTGTCCTTACAACTTGGTTCAACCACCATACTAACAATTAACAATGTCAATTGTAAATATTCTTGTATATACTTCATAACACTAAGAATTTTTCTAACATACAGTAATTTTCAACAACAGACTACTATACTGGACATCTTTTTGTTTAACATACTTCAAATGATATCCAATGCCAAATCTACTCTTCAGAAACAAGGAGGAACCGCAGCACTTGAGTTTTCCTTTACTTATGAAAGCTTTCCTGTCTGTGAAAATAAAATAAACTCTACTTTAAAGCTGTTTCAATAGAAGGTTCTGATTTATTTTATAGGAGATACTGGAATTTATTTGATCTACAGAGAATATTTTACCTGCCAATATGTCTGCCTCATCCATAAAATGAGTGGTCAACAGAATCAACTTGTCCTTTTTCTTCTCTTTCAGGACATTCCACAGATGCCGTCTGGAATATGGATCCATACCAGCTGTTGGCTCATCCAGATAAATAATCTGACAGAATTTTTAAAAAAAATTTATTCTAGCCAAAATTGAAGAACACTTTTATTTTCATGACATAGTTATTTACTCTTATTACCAAGTCAAAATTTTCATGAATTTTGGTTATTACTCTATAGAATTTTAGAATACAAACCTACATGAGAATGAAATTTTTGGGAGTAGAATGTCTGTGTAAATACATGAAAATAAAGTTCTCAAGTATAAAAGTGATTTACAGTATATTCTTAGCTTTAAACATTTTAACTGGTAAATCTTTCAATCACTATCTTACATACATGTAACTATCATATAAGTATATGTAGTAACTTTGTCTTTAATAAAAAAAAAACCCTCTCTTCAGTGATAGGTACAAAGGTATATTGTTATACCTTAGGGTCTGAAACAATTGCTATGGCAACTGACAGCTTCCTCTTCTGCCCTCCACTGAGGTCCTTGGCAAACGTGTCCTTCTGGTCCTCAAGTCCAACATCTTTTATAGTCTGGTCAATCTACAATTTTTAAGTTAGACATATTTTATATTCAAAACATACATCACTATTAAAATAGGGAGAATATATTATGTGTGAGCATTTTTATTAAATATTAAAAACATCTTTGCCAGATAATTTCCAAAGGTTGTTCCTGGATATGAACAGGATATTAAACAGAAATGTAATCTTCTTTTTCCATGATGTTAAATGCATTAGGCAGGAACTGATGAAAAAAGAAGGGGATAGTAGGAAATTTTGTCACAGATTTGAGTCCAAATATCCCCATAACCCCCCCCCCCCCCCAAAAAAAAAATTTACTCAGACTGAATACTTCATATGTAAACCTCCCCCTCCACACACACAAAACAAAAAAAAAGTCACTCAGTTATCTGAATATAGCTTTATTTATCCCTGTAGTTTCAGTTTACTTACCCTTCTGGTCAGTTCATCTCCTGTAATTCCTTTCAGACCAGCGTAGAAGGCGAGGTGTTCCACACACGTCAGAACTTCAAATAGAATGTTGTGCTGAGGGCACACTCCGGTAATAGATCTCATTCTCACCACATCAGATGGGTTAGATACATCCTATTTAAATATTTAAAGGAAAATCAAACTTTTTATGCCTTTTTTCATGATCTTTTATTTCTATAAAATATCCTGAAATACTTATTCACTTTCCATTTTATTGTATTCAAAAATTATTTTCAGACTGAGATCACAATTGTTTCATACTTGGACAAGTAAGCAATATTCAGCAAAAACAAGTTAACCATGACAAAAAAAAGCAAGACTACAGCATGACTTACGTATCCCTGCACTATAGCTGTACCACTTGTGGGAGTCACAAGACCACTTAACATATTCAGAAGAGTTGTCTTTCCTGCCCCATTGTGACCTAACAGGCAAGTTATCTGCCCTTCATAGAGTTCAAGGGATATACCTAAACAAGTGATATACATGAACATTTGTTCAACTTTATGGAATTTAACATCCCAGCAAAAACATTTCACTCATACCAAGATGTCACTTGAATTATTAACTTCATACGTTTTACCTTTTTGTGACAAAAATAAAGTACAAATGTAGTCCATATAACTCAGAATCAATATATTTTTGTTTGGTTTTACAATATTTAAATCATTTTTTGCTTCTGTACATATGGTGTACATTTCTCGATCATTCTTTTAGAATTAAAAAAAATACAAAAAGAAGGCAGGTGCTCTTCATCTATCATTTTTGTCTGCACATTTTTGTTCAAACCAGACAATGTCTGAAGTTTCTTAAGTAAAAGAATGCCCTATAAGAAGTAATTCACAGTGTATCATACCATATAGAAAGGAATGCTAAAATAAATTTATCAAAGTTGCTCACCATCAACAGCCTTGACCATGCCTTTACCCTTCTCCTTGGATTTGAACTCTTTTGTAATATTGTAAATTCTACAAAGAAAAAAAATTAATATCATACACATAAGTATCTTGACCTAAAATAATTTCAAATCCATTTACAAGCTACATGTAGTTCTTTAAAAGATGGATCTCAATTATATTAACTTTAAACAAAATGCATAAGAACTTTTGGATCCACCACCAGATTTGCTATACAAACCTGATTCCCTGCTTCTGTCTTGTTTCTGCAGTTACAGCCTCAGTGTCATTTCCAAAAAATAATGCAGTGTCATCCCCCCTGCTGGAGTATTTGCTTGTCTTTTTTCCAAACCAGTATGACTTTGTAAAGATATAATAAGGGGGAAATCTGGGACCATAATTACCTAAAATAATGATATTCATTGTACTTTTTAAATTGTTTACCCCAATACATATTGCCCATTATAAGAATTCAATCAAAATTCCCTAAAATTAAAAAAAAAAATTTTTTAGCTCACCTGAGCTGAAGGCTCAAGTGAGTTTTTCTGATCAAAAGGTGTCCAGTGTCAGTCTGTCATCTGTAGACTTTTCACATTTTCAGCTTCTTCTCAAGAACCACTGAATTTAAACCATACTTGCCACAAAGCATTCTTGGGTGAAGGAGGGTTAATGTCTTTCAAATGAAGAGCCGCACCCTCTTTCAAGGGGAGATGATTAAGAATGAGTGAAAATTTTATGGCATCTTTCAAAAATCTTTTGAGGGATTAATATATTTAAACTTTTCAACACTGAACTGATTTATGCTTTTCTCTAGTCCAAGTGCTCAGGTGAGCTATGTGGTCCATGGGCCTCTTCTTTTAAGAAGGAATTGGTTACCTTTAATGTTATATCAAATGAAGAAAATGAAGATATTTTTAAGCTTATTTTCCAGTCTGCTCACCAACTTCAGCAAAAATTAACTAGTGGCCTTGCTTGTAAGACAGTGGCAACATCTCAAGCTTCTTTAGTTCTAACTTGTTGTAGATTTGCTTGAGATTAATTGTATAACCCCCTCCAGAGAAGTACTCAAAATGCTTACCTATCATTTGAAAACACAGTAGAATAAATAGAATTTACAAATACAGGTAAACAAGTGATATCAACTCTCTAGAATTTCAAATATTGGAGAGCTTTGCATTTACAATCTTGGCATAAAACTAAGACATACCACATAACCTTTTCTCTATCACACAGCGAGGACATGTACTGTAAAACCAAATTTTATTTGCAAGTGAGAAATATCCATGAGTTTTGCAACCTTCTTTTACTCACGAATATTTCTCATCATGAATCAATTATTTGCATATGTATTTATGTAGAATGTTGCCACGGTCACGAAAATTGGAAGTCACGGATGGATTCTAAACAGAAGAATCACAAATAAAAGATGTTGTGAATAATAAATGGTTTACAGTATATCAAGAAAACACTCTAAGTTGGTCTTTCTTAAATATGGCATCAAAAATTAGAGGCCCATGGGCCACAATGCTCACCTAAATAAAAAAAACACGAGATGTTTGTGAAACACTAATGCCCCCCCCCCCCCCCCCCCCCCCAATAATTGGAATTTTTCTAAGTCCAAGGGGCACAACTCTGTCAAAAATTGCTCGATCATATCCAAAACAGATCTTGACCTAGATATTCTTATGATAAATCTGTATATAAAATTTCATTTCAGTATGTGCAACCTCTGCGAAGAAAATGAACGGAAACTGTTGGTGGACCGACAGACCGACCGACCGACAGACAGCACCAAAGCAATATGACCTCCCTTCTTCGAAGGGGGGCATAAAAACTATGATAAAATCTTTTATTTACCAGGGACAACATTATCCAGGTAAACAGCCAGGAGGCCATAGAGAACAGCATCAAGCAGCAACATCAGTATGTATCCATATAATGGGAAATCTCCAGACTTAACTGTCTCAAAGTCCATCCCAACAGTGATATCCAGGAATAAACTCTGCAAAATAATTCTTATATGGTTAAAATAATAACATATAATTTATATTCGATCATTGCAAACAATAGTTTGAATCAGAATTCATTATTAGCATTGATTTCTTTCCTGCATAATTTTATAAAAAAAAAAAAACAACCTCAAATTTTCATACATTTTAAATTCTTACAAAGGGCTGTCAGATACTGCAATGATAGACAATTGATAGAGGTCCATTTAAATTCTAGTTTTTCCTTACCTGATCAATTGCCAAAGCCACACCACAAGGGGATATCAGACTTAGGAAACCTCTGCCCACTGGGGGGATAGTGTAAGTCACCTCACCAGTGCTGGTGACCGTCCGGGTCATACTGACCGCCAGGTAAAGTGTCGAGGTCAACATCGAGGTCAAACTGGCAATTCCACCAGCTGTCTGAGCTTTTTGGAAAAATGGTGTTATAAGCCAGGCAAAAGTGATCAGAGACATTCCATAAAATTCCAGAATAAGAAAAAACAAGAACATGTTGCTGTTTTTATAAAACTGGGCCAAGTATGCTATCAGAGTCACAACAGCTGTAACTATGGTTATCAGGACGAAATATATGCTTGCCCATGAGGCCCAGTATGCGGAATCTCTCAAACCCATCATTTTCATTCCCTCTTTGATCTTTTTCTCTTTGTCATTAACAATGTTGGCAGCGAGAAAATTGACAAACTGAGCATAGGCCAGCACAAAGTAGAGAGAAGATATGATTTGTATGTAAGAAGTGTCTGGCTGGTATTTGTCTAATGGCATCAATTGGAATGAGAGATCAGGTGGTTGTATTGATGTTATGCCAAAGTGACTCTATTAAAAAAAAGACATTTCAAAAGTTACACTCAATGCACTGTAATGTAGGCCTACATTGATGAAACTTTCTGAAATTGTTTATCATAAAATTTGCATGTAGTTATAGAGTTTTAAAAATGTTTGTTCAGAAACTCCTATGTGTGAAAATACCAGTAAATTTTAAGAACCTTTGAATACATAAAACAACATACTTAAACTTGAATTTGACATTTTTTTTTAGATCATTATGAAATAAATAAACAGAGTCATACCCTCATCAGAGCCGTATCTGTTGCCACTTGGATCATGCTGAAGCCAGTGTGCAAATACTTCAGAGCGTCACAGGAATAAGAATCAAGACCATTACCACCTCGACACTGGTCATCTGAAATATTGATACAACATACAAGATTTTATCCTTTTCTAGGGACAAATTTGCTATTCAAGTATAATTGTAGAACATTTTACTGATACATGTACTTCTTCCAAATTACCAAATTTGTTTTAAAATTTAGCTGAACATGTCAATAAGAAATTGAAATACAGTTGAACTTTGCAATCGCGAACTTTATTTGATATCACAAATACCGTAGATATGTTTAAGTGAGTTAAAAGTCTCAACCACTTCTTATATATTTTAACCACAAAATCTAGAAGTTTTTTACTTGGTCCCATTGGGTTTGAGTAACAAGGTTTGACTGTATTGGGTAAATACAAAAAATTGGAAACTTGTATTGGGTAAATACACAAAGTTGGAAACTTTACTTATTGTTGGAGAAATCTTCTGAACTTACTTGCAGTTCTATAAATGCTGCTACTCTTTGTATCTACAATGTCCTGAATGGGCATCCTGATGGCATATGACAGATTACTTCCATTATTATACATGAACTGTAGTCCTGCAAACCTTGACAAATTAAATAGAAAGACAAAATCTACAGACTGATCATTCCTCTATCTGTAATATAATCTACTGTGAAAGCATCATCTTCCTTAAGAAATTCCTTATACTTCAGCAATATCTATTCTTCATGAATTTACAACCTTCACAAATATCAATTTATTGTAAACCAATTTTTTATTTATTATTTTTATTTGTGTGGAGATCTGCACTTTTATACAAATTGAATAAAAAGGGTATTGGTGGTAACTTTCTCAAACTTTTGACAGACATGTATACAAATACATACTATTCTTGTAAAAAAAAACAATCAAATGAGTGAAAAATTTAAAGCTAATAGAGGAGTCAAACAAGGTGATAATTTAAGTCCAACACTTTTCAATATCTTTGTTGATGATTTTGTGAATTATCTTAAAAATGTAAGCACAAATCCTGCATATCTAGATACTATGCCAATAAATCATATGTTTTTTGCTGATGATCTGGTCCTTGTATCAGAATCAGAAGTTGGTCTACAAAACTGTATAGATGTTTTAGGAAAATATTGTTCAGACTGGAAATTGTGTGTTAATATGGATAAAACAGATGTTATGATTTTTTCAAGAAAAACAGATGATGAAACATCATTTAGATTTTATTACAATCACAAAATGATTAACATAACGAATGAATATAAATATTTGGGTGTTGTGTTCAGATCTGATGGAAAAATGAAATTTGCAGCTGAACAACTATCAAAACGTGCTAGGAAAGCATATTATACTATTAAATCAAATTTTCCTGCAAACATTAATTTTTCAGCTGAAATTATGTTAAAATTATACCAGTCAATGATAATACCAATTATTACATATGGATCTGAAGTATGGATAACTGACTTCAAATGTGATTTAATGTCTTCAGACCAATTTCCTTTTGAAAAAACACAACACTTAATATTTAAAGACATACTAGGGGTACATAGAAAGGCATCAAATCTTGCTGTTTTATGTGAATTGGGTCTTTTTCCTTTGTACTATTTATGTTATGAATATATGTTTAAATATTTTAAGAGACTTAAGGAAATGGAAAACAAACATGATTATAATAATTATTTAGTGATTTCTGCATTTAAAGAAGACAAAAAACTTGTATCTAGAATATCTTGGCAAAGAAAACTGTCTTCATTACTACAAAAATTAAATATCACTTCTTTGGAAAAACAAATTACAAGAGAATTACCAAAACAAGATACATGAACAACTGAAAAATATAAGCAAATCAAACTCTGGAAAGTTAGCTTTTTATAGTAAAATTGTAATTCAAAATGAATACAAATTGCAAAGTTATTTAAAGCTGCCTTTAAAGAAAAGTTTTAGATCTGTATTAACAAAATTAAGGATCAGTGCCCATCCATTGTATATTGAAACGGGCAGATACTGTAAACCCCCTATTCCTAGAGAAAAACGTTTATGCTATTCATGTAAATTATTTATTGAAGATGAAAAACATTTTGTTCTATACTGTTCAAAGTATGACCAATTTAGATGCAATTATACTGATATATTTAATGTAAACACATATACTAGTGATAATCCCATTAGAAAAATTGTCAATCCTACAAATATTACAACTGCTAGAAGGATATGTTTTTTTTGAAAAAGTGCTTTGACACCAGAAAAGAAAGTCAGCAATGAATACTTAGAAATATGTGAATATACTCTACATTATTTTGTTCAACTCACATTTGTCACTTTGTATATGTATGTATTATTCTTGTTAATTCGTTTTATGTCATGACTGTATGCCGACATGGTAATTGTCAATAAAGTGAATTGAATTGAAATTTACGACCATATGAATTTCCATGAGTTTCACAACCTTCTTTTATTGGCAAATATTTTTCTCCACAAACTTAATTTAATTGTGTTTTACGTAGTCTAAGAATGTTTCCTCAGTCTGAAAAATTAATTGTCACAGATGGATTTCAAAGAAATTGCATATGATAGTTGTCCTGAATAATAGTCAGTCTACAATGTACATGATATTGTTGATAATGAGAAAAACGTCTAAGAAATTACATCCCCACAAAATTATTAATTTTCAGGCACCATAAAAATAGCTCCCCATAAATTAAAATGATTCCAAAGAATTCACCAAGTCAAAAACGTAAAAATTTATGTGGCAACATCATGAACAATTTCTGCTGCAAAATATACTGTGTCCGAATCAGAACGTATAAGAAATATCTACCCTGAAATACCGGAGTAATTTGCCTTGAACGCTGCTACCATGGCGACATCATCAGGATAATATTCCAGCGTAGGAGTGGAGTTAAGACTCAACAACTGCTGAAAAATGCCCGCGGCATCAGATGCTATTGAGCGGGTATAGTTTGTGTCAGGACATACTAGAATTTTCCCTGTGCTCTTGACAGAGAAGTTCTCCGGATGCACCAAGGGAATGTTGGTAACAGCGGGTTTGGGATCTAGGGGAAGGAACGCTTTGGTCATGGCCAAGATGGCAACAAAATAAATTGGAGATAATACTTCCTACAAAGAGAAAGAAAGCTTATATAGAAATATTTCTATGCTATGGACATGATTGTATACCGTAAAACTACATCTCTACTGCATGAGCTTTTGATATACATATACTTATTACTTTTCCTTTTTACTTTAAAAAAAAAAACTATTATTCTTATCTGAAATGACAATTTACATTAACAGGAAAAATAAGCAATAACTACTTCTTGCTGTTGAATGAAAAATTATTATCATTCTTTAATACAAAATAAAAATTATTGATTGAAATTAACATATCATTAAAAAAAAAAGAAATAGTTCATATGATCACCTGTATAAGCTGGCCTTTGTTTCTTTTCTTATACAGAATATTTTTGTACATAAGGGCCTTGAACTGCTGAAAAAATGTGGCCATTGTGTTGGGTTCTGAAAGGAAACATGTAAAAGTATTATCAATATAGGCATGATATATATTTTAAAGAGTTCACTGAGAATTTGTAACATGGTAAATTCCCAGTTATGAAACATAAATTTAACTAATTTAACTATTCATTTTCTTAATGTCTGGAAATCTCTGCTTAAAATCATTGAAAAAACAAACAAACAAACATTTTAATGATTTTAATAATCATGACACGAATTAAACTATACAGAGAAACATTCTCTTTTTCATACCAAGCTTCGTGGGAATCAAAAGTGAAAAGTGGCTAGAGAGTGGCAGTTTGAAATCTTTAACAGGAAATTCTATTTAGTATCCATAGCAACATCCAGCAGTATGTATTTTGGTAACCATTGCAATTCCACTTAGCAAAAAATTAAAAAAAAAAAAAAATGAATTAAATATCTTGATGTAAAGTTTACTCGTGCATGTACCAACTTTTTGGACCTAAAAATATATCTGTTAGTAGGAATAGCATTTCAAAGAAAATTTAACCAAAAGATCTATTTTAGGTGACCATGGCAATACCCATAATTCATCTAAATAAAAACTGATAAAAGATTTGTCTATGTAACATGTTGCCTTGCACTATCATAGCTAACAACTGTAGGAGGAGTGTGTAGTACGTATTTTGAAAACTGTCAGACAGACAGAGGGATAGACAATAGACTCAAGCTTCCTGCAAATACATATAAGCTCTTACATCAGCCATGTTCATTAGGGAAATTGATCTTTAACAAATATGAATAATTTAAACTTGAATAAAAGAAAATAACTGGCAATATACTTGTCTGGGACAACTTGACAATGGGCAATTATAAGAAAGAGGCCAATTTAAGCTTTAATTGCAGACTTTAAAATTTACATGAATTAAAGAGTAAGTGGAATTTTATACTGAAAGGAAAATGAAATGAGCTTGTCTCAAACGCTCACATGAGCACTGTATGCCTTTTTTTTCAGCATGTTTACCCCCACCCAACGCACCCAGAGTATATCAAGACTTTCTAGCAAAAAATAACATTAACTTATTCGACTGTGTCCATACAATCTACCTTTGTCTCCAATTGAACATTTGTGGGACTATATAACTGGACTGTAGAGTAATAAGGCGTCAGAATATCCCAGCCCCTCTTGATCAGCTAAGGACTACCTTGTTGGAAGGATTGAATAATATCCCCAGGAGAAAGATAAATTAATGCCCCGAAGACCTCCAGGCACAGGAGTAGTAAGGCTGTGACCGATCCATAAGAGAGGCATAGGAAATAATGTCTACATTTTCAATTTCACTTTTGTGGGGGTACCATTAAATGAGTTTCAAATTCTCTTGAATTATTTTCTAAATCAAATGAAATTTTCTTAACTTGTTGATTGAAGATTTGTCTAAATGTTAGATAACAATATTGGAAAATACATTCAAAATATCATCATTAAATCACATCAAAAGTTTCTTTTTCCTTTCAGTATATTTTTTATAAAATCAATCAACATATGTTTATTGAAACTGCTAGTTAATTTAGATCAAAGTGTTAATTAAAAACTAAATATCAAATTTACCCTTTTCTGTTTCCAAAATATATTGTCTCTCAGAATCACGTTGTCTGCCATATTTTTGCACAGACATTCTTCTTATACACCCTATAACACGTACGATCTGTAATCCACTAGCTACTATAGACACACATAAATGGTGTGATTTGCAAACCTTGCACAAAATAAATTAAAGGTACAAAATATTTCCTGTTTTTATACCAATTAAATCTTAGATTTCCCAGTTCATCATTTTCACATGAACAAATGAACATATGACTTGGATCATATTGAAAGAAGTCATTAAAAATCACAACAGATTTCAAAATATCTTGTATATATGTACATAGAGATCTGATGTGGTACGATAAATGATAGTATGATATGAAGTGTGATAATTAAGTCAATCGTTATCAAAATAGCACACCTGTATACAACAAGGATTGCAAATATAACAAAATTGTATCACTGATGACTTACTTATGCCTAGATTAATCAATGAAGTCCATCTTAAAAATAGATTATGTTTATGCTTTCATGTGAATTATCCTGAAGAGAAAATGATAACTTTCTTTAATTATGTCTGATTTTGCTGAATTCTTGCTGACCTCCATCTTTGAATATCTTGACAACCAAACAATGTGTAAGCAAAAAGGAATTTTGTAAAAGCCTTGTGGTGCCTTTGGGTCAAAGCATATGTCCTGTAGCTGGGCAAATCAATAATTATGTGTACATGTTATTGTTGTGTTGTATATAATGCTGATTTTGGGATAAATGGTTGACAAATAAGATTTGTGTTATTGAACACAGTAATTCAAATTATTTGAAGTACATGTACATTTATTGATAAATTTTTGAACTGATCACTGATTTTTTTATTTTTTGTTTTTTTTTTCCCCTTTCTTTTACTTGCAGGTCTTTTTATGATATTAATTAATGAATAAACTGTGTTTTTTCTTCGTGCAATTTGCAATTTCCCTGCTAATTTTTGGTTGAAGGCTATAAGATGAGTAAGAACTGGGTAGCTACTTTCTGATATAAATTGCTTGTGATATAATATTTTCTTCAAAGAAATGGAAATCATTATTAATGCAAGAAAATAAGCACATTCAATGGTAACAAAATTTGATTAGGATTCTAGCTAGTGTCACATTACTGTATAACCTTTTTATAACAAAGTGTAAATTTCACACATCAGGGACTTATATATATACTTAATATAATTATTTCATTGACAAAATTAAATCAAATGCCTACCTATCTTTATTTGCAAAAATGATCAAGGAGTTATATCTCTTTATTCGGAGACATTTTTTAATATAATACTTTCATGTAAATTACTTGAATTTGATTCGTCGCGAAACATTTGTTAAAAAAAAGTTACCCTCTGAATGATAAAACCACCCCCTCCAGCGCGACAGAACTTAGCAACAGTCAATATTGCATGACGAAGAATGCTATTCCAAACAAGAGGCCCATGGGCCACATCGCTCACCTGAGCACATTGGCTAGGCAAAAGCACAAATCAGTTCAGTATTGAAAAGATTACTGGGGGGGGGGGGGGGGGGGGGGGGGGGCATGAATTCTAAACAACCTGATGATGCTTCCATGTCAATATATAACACATGGTTTTGTTGTACTTGAGAAGTTTTTAAAAAAAATTTCCCATATATTCCTTTGTAAAAATTTGATCCCCCATTGTGGCTCCTCCCTATCCCAGGGGTCATCATTTGAACAAACTTGAATCAACACTACCTGAGGATGCTTCCGTATCAATATGACTAAACATAGCTTTTCTGAACTTGAGAAGAAATATTTTTTCTATATGTTCTTATGTAAAACTTTCAATCCCCCATTGGGCCCCACCCTACCCCTGGGGGTCATCATTTGAACAAAATTGAATCAAAATGACTAATCATGGTTTGCAGTTCTTCATCAGAAGATATTTTCCTATATATTTCTATTTAAGACTTTGATCCTCCATTGTGGCCCCACCCTATCCACGGGAGTCATGATTTGAACAAAATAGAATCTACACTACCTGAGGATGCTTCCAAATAAATATGACCAATCAGGGCTTTGCTGTTCCTGAGAAGAAGATTTTTTAAATTTTTCCTATACATTTCTATGTAAAACTTTTATCCTCCATTGTGGCCCCGCCCTACCCCGGGGGTCAAGATTTGAATAAATTTGAATCTACACTACCTGAGGATGCTTCCATATAAATATGACAAATCTGGGCTTTGCTGTTCCTGAGAAGATTTTTCCTATGTAAAACTTTGATAGTCCATTCTGGCCCCTCCCTACCCCCGGGGGTCATGGTTTGAACAAACTTGAATCTACACTACCTGAGGATGCTTCCATATAAATATGACTCTTAGGAAGATTTTTAAAGATTTTTCCTATATATTTCTGTGTAAAACTTTGATCCTCCATTTTGGCCCCACCCTACCCCCCGGGGTCATGATTTGAACAAACTTGAATCTACACTATCTGAGGATGCTTCCATATAAATATGACTCATCATGGTTTTGCTGTTCTTGAAAAGAAGATTTTTAAAGATTTTTCCTATATATTTCTATGTAAAACTTTGATCCTCCATAGTGGCCCCACCCTACCCCCTGAGGGTCATGATTTGAACAAATTTGAATCTACACTACCTGAGGATGCTTCCATATAAATATGACTCATCATGGTTTTGCTGTTCTTGAGAAGAAGATTTTTTAGAGATTTTTCCTATATATTTCTATGTAAAAATTTGATCCTCCATTGTGGCCCCACCCTACCCCCGGGGGTCATGGTTTGAACAAACTTGAATCTACACTACCTGAGGATGCTTCCATATAAATATGACTCATCATGGCTTTGCTGTTCTTGAGAAGAAGATTTTAAAAGATTTTTCCTATATATTTCTATGTAAAAATTTGATCCTCCATTGTGGCCCCGCCCTACCCCCGGGGGTCATGGTTTAAACAAACTTGAATCTACACTACCTGAGGATGCTTCCATATAAATATGACTCATCATGGCTTTGCTGTTCTTGAGAAGAAGATTTTAAAAGATTTTTCCTATATATTTCTATGTAAAACTTTGATCGCCCATTGTGGCCCCACCCTACCCCTGGGGGTCATGATTTGAACAAACTTGAATGTACACTACCTGAGGATGCTTCCACATGAGTTTCATCTTTCCTGGCCCTGTGGTTCTTGAGAAGAAGATTTTTAAATGATGCCATTATTTTTTCACTAATTCCTTATTATCTCCCCTTGAAAGAGGGCATGGCCCTTCATTTGAACAAACTTGTATCCCCTTTACCCAAGGATACTTTGTGCCAAGTTTGGTTGAAATTGGCCCAGTGGTTCTTGAGAAGAAGTCGAAAATGTGAAAAGTTTACAGACAGACAGACGGACAGACGGACAGACGGACGCCGGACAAAATGTGATCAGAAAAGCTCACTTGA